GTTAACTTTCGTCACTCCAGAATGTAGGTCCATTCAAACCTCAACCCAAATTGTAGCCATGGCTCTGAAATCACATCCCAGAGTGGCCGGATCCGAGGGCAAGCCATCAGAGCATGCTGTATGGTTTCGACCGCGTCGCAATCATGGTACGGACATTGCATGCAGTTTGGGTCGATTAACTGCATATGGTAGAAACAGTAGCCAACTGGTAGCACTCGGTACTGCGCTCGGTTCCACACGTCAGCTTGGAGAGGGGTTGCAACAGCGACAACACGGCGAAAGAGCTGGAGGTACTTATGTACTTGCAATAATGTAGCATGAGTGCGTAGCATGGGGTGGTTGCGGGTGGGTGTGGGTGGATTGAAGCAAACCAGTTTAATTTGCTTTGGAGACCATTCACGAACTTCTGTGAAAGTGTCCTTGTAGCTGGCGTAGAATGGGAGACGCCAAGGAACTTCCGCTTCGATCGGTAGGTGTGCATCATGTCCAGTGTAATCAAACACTTGATGTGCAATAGTGGTGAGTCGGCGGTAGACAGGAGCCAGTGAGTATGGTACAGGACCATCATACTCTAACCGTCGTATTGCAGGGACCACGATGTTGTCGAACTCGTCTGCCGTTGGCCACGTGCGCACCGCCACCGTGGTCTAGCGGTTTGAACATGGGGACCGAAAGGTCACCTGTTCAACCCCAGCTTTTTGCCCACTTTTTCCCCATTAACCAGGACTTCTATAGCGTAGCGTAGATAGACTTATACGTAGCGTAGCGTAGATAGAGTGTAGAGCGACTCGCACCAAAGCGAGCGCTGTGGCGCGACGCCATCGTGCCCCACGGGGACTTCCCATCTTTTCCTCTCGTCGAGAAAAGCAGCAGGTAGGCCGTAGGCCGTGCCGCTCCCAGACGTGGCCTGTTCAACGACAAAGTACCTTGACTTGGAGTTTGTATAGCTCTCAAAATCTGAGAAAAATGAATTATAGCCAATGAAAACAGCCCAAAATGGGTGCAAAGAGGTTAGGTCGTCGTAGGAGCGGTCAATTAATGGGCTCTCTACTTCTGGCAAGAATCTACTACGTAGTACTTCCTCCGTTCCAAAATTGTTGTCTGAGTTTGGGAACGGTGTACATGTCCCTGTATAATAATATAAGGTAAGTTTGAAATGCTGTTGTCACCTTCCCAATTTCGATTTCACGTACAATGATTGGTCAATTGCAACGAGCGCGCCAAGAGCTATCGCGTCATGTGCCTGAATGACGAAATATTTGGAGAAAAGTCAAAGTTTTCGTGCATCAAAACTTCAATACAACAATCTATATAAAACCAACATTCAAATACATTCATTCCGCAATGGGGGCGGGAAGACGTGACCTGACAAGCGAGGAGCGCGAGGCCATCCTCGATGAGATCCTCCTTAAAAGCGTCGGTAGTGTGTTTCATGTCACGACCGGCAAAAGGCTTCGGCGAAGACCTAGCAGCCAAGTAGAACTGCAACGTCAGAACGATCAGGCGGATTCATGCGCAAGCCAAGGCGAACGGAGCGCTCACAGGCGTCATGAAGGTGAATGTCGCCAGCAAGAAGAAGAAGGGTCGAGTTGGCCGAAAGAAGGCCTTCACTCCAGCCCAAATAAAGGCCAAACTCCGTGCAATTCCACAAGCCAATCGTACAACACTTCGCGCAATCTCCGAGCAATTAGGTGCGATGCAACATCTAATCCAAGCTGAACGATGCGTCGCAGGAGTAAGCCTATGTACTTTGCATCGTTGCTTAAAAGCCGCGATGTTCCGCGCTCATTCGAACACTATAAAACCGGTGCTTACGAAGGCCAACAAGTACAGTCGCCTGAAATACGCCATGAGTTACCACTTGGGATGATGCTGAGAAAATGCACGTTCGTGAGAATTTTTACAAGTTGTGACCGAATGTTATTTGTCCAAACATTGCCTTATATAGTACTTTTTCAGTTCGTTTTATTCCTGGGTGGACAAATCTGTAGCTACTGACTTCTGTGGCTAGGTACTTAGTAAGCTCACCCAAATGAGGTTGCAGATTATAATTGAGAAAAGTCGAATTTCTTGATTTTTTTGAAGGAGTAAGGGCCACAGTGCACATTCTTCTCCATGTATGAGGGTTTGTGATATTTGGTCGATCGCTAGTATAACTGATGACGTCGAGTACATAGCATTGTGATGCACGGGGCCCCAGGCTTCTATTGTATTGCAGCTTTTGCCGATTATGGTCATGCGGGGATTTACCACTCATACACCCATCGTACATTCAGTGGCATAGCCAGAGCCACCCTTTTAACATTATACATTGACAAAAGCACACAATATAGATATTTGCAGGATTCCAAATTTAAATGATGGGAGGAGTACGCCAACTTTCTGAGTCGGACAACAATTTTGGAACAGAGGAAGTACTACGTAGTGTACTTCGTAGTACTGTACATGTCACGGTACTGTGCAGTAATACAGTAACCTTATGCTTGAAGTACAACGTACCAGACTTAGTAGGTGGTGGGTACTACAGTATACAAACTGTAGTAGTACTGGACTAGAAAGTATACAGTGTAGTTGAGATAGAGGGGTCATTCATGGATGAATCTATCCACGAGATGTCTCGTTGGTATCCCAAATTGCGATGGATATCCCATTAACTTATTCGCGAGCTTGTTTGTCGCTTCGTCATACTTCAATATACCAAGCATGGTCAAGATAATCGTGGCCGCCTTGTCCGCCGCTGTCGCGTCTGCTTTCGGCACCATCTCCGAGTTGCCGAGAGAGATAAGCAGCCTCATGGATGAAACCGTGGATCCATGCACTGACTTCTATTCGTATTCGTGCGGGACGTGGCAAAACAACACCCTCCTCTACGACAACCAAATTATCAATGTGCACACCGTGCTCGCGACTGCGGCGGACAAGCTGGTCGAAAAGTTGTTGGATGCCAAGCTGCCCAAAATTACGGAGTTCTACGACGCGTGTATGGACACTGACACTTTAGACACGTTGGGCTTGGCTCCCATCGAAGACCACCTCAAGGCCATCCGCAGCGCCAACTCGACCGTCGAAGCCATCTTTCGCGGCGCGGCCATCGCCAAGGCCACGGGCATGCCGCTCTTCATGAAGCTGACGGTCTCGGGCGACAATGCCGACGCCACCCGCTACGCCTTGTATGCCGAACACCCGGGATTGCCGTTGGAGGAAATTTTCTTCAAGGAACCGGTGTTGTGGGCCGCGATTGAAAAGCCATACCGCGAATACATCGCCACGACTTTCACGCTGGCTGGCCGCGCGGACGCGGAGGCGGCCGCCGACGTCGTGATGGCGTTTGTACGCGCTAGTACCGGGGTACAGGAGTCCAAGCGTAGGCTCCAAGAGGGCGTGACGTCTAGCAACAACCGGTTGTCACTCAGCGCCGCCAACGCATTGTACCCATTGGGGGTAGGTCTCCAATTGCAAGGGTTTGGGTTCGACGTCCACAAAGAGTGCAACACGAACACAATCCTGCTGGAGAACCTGTACTACGTAGACGTCATCGAAAAATTGCTCCGCAGCTTGTCCGTCGACGAACTCAAAACGATCATCGAGTACAATGTGCTCAACTTCAACGCGCCATTCCTGTCAGCACCGTTTTCAAATGCACACTCGGAATTCTATCGCAAGGTGCTATATGGCCACGAACCCCTGCCGCGAGCCACGATCTGCCGCAGTGAGGTGAGTACGACCTTCGGCGAACTGGTGGGTACGCACTACCTCAAGGAAGTGTGGACGGCCGACACCGCCAAGCACATCGAATCGTTCGTGCAAACGCTGGAAGCGTCCTTCGAGACCGGGCTCGACAGCGCGGGGTGGCTCGATGACACTACTCGCGCCAATGCCAAGGCTAAGTTGTCCAAGCTCACCCACCTCTTTGGGGGGCCCAAGAACCCCAAGACGTACCCCACCTTGACGTTTGACCCCAAGGCGTACATTGCCAACCGGAACAAAGTGTCTGCGGACAACACTGCATTCAAGCTCGCTCAGATCGGCACTGCCGTGGACAAGCAGATATGGGAGACTACTGCGCAAACCGCGAATGCGTTCAACCAGCGGGAGACGAACGTGCTCATGCTTCCCGCCGCCATCTTGCAGCCCCCCAGCTTCGATGCAAAGGCGGACCCAGCCGAGAACTTTGGCGTCATTGGCGCTAACATCGGCCACGAAATTACCCATGGTTTCGACGACGTTGGCCGCCTCTTCGACGGCGACGGCAACGTCACTCAGTGGTGGTCGGCTGCCGTAACGAAAACGTTCGACGAAAAGTCCAACTGCTTCGTTGAGCAGTATGGGTCCATGGACGTGCATAGCGAGCTCACGGGTGAATTGGTCGGCAACTTGGACGGCGAATTGATTTTGCCCGAAATCATCGCTGACAACGGGGGCCTCAACATTGCGTACCGGGCATACCGAGACTACGTGCACGCTGTGGCCGATGCCACCAAGTACACCAAGGAAGCAGGCGAAAAGATATTTTGGATCAAGTATGGCCAATTTTGGTGCGCTAAGAACAGCGATGCGTACCTCCTGGATTTGCTCCGCGGCGAACACCCCCCAAATCGCCACCGCTTGATCGGGTCGGTTCAAAACTCGGTCGATTTTGCCAAAGTGTTCAACTGCCCTGTGGACTCGCCCATGAACCCGACCAAGAAGTGTGTTTTATGGGAATAGATTTAACCAAATACTTCAAAGTAATACAGTAATAATTTATACCCGGAAATATTTCAATATTCAGGCCCAAAACACCATTTTGGGTCATTCACTGTAAGTATGTTCTTAACTCGGGTTAAATATACGACCAAAACCTTGTGTTACTGACATGAACAAGTCACCAACTTTCCCAAAACTCTGACCCCTAACCCCCTTTACACCCGCGCACCCTTTTACCCCGGAATACCACGAGTACATACCTGACTGTCAATCAACAACCCCATTTTACCCAAGGTAAGCCCTACTCCGGGGGTTTCGGGGTTTCTGTAAAACAAGTGTTAATCCGTTGGGGAAGTTACAAATGCGACATTCCCGTTCGGTAAGTACACGATTGACATGTGAATAACTTAAATTCACGTGCATTGTACCTCAAGTATCGTTGATGGATGCCTTATCTTCGAGTGGGCTCATCAGTGTCGGTGGACTTTTTACTCTGCTAATGTCAACTTGTATGATCTTATAAAGTCCTTACACGTTGGAATCCAATACCTGTATTTATTTATCAAATCATGGTCGTGCAAAAATGGGGGCATGACTGTAGAGTGATTTTGCTAACTTGAAATTACCTGTGAAAATTTTGGAATACTACGTAGTACTCGAGAAGGATCCAGAAACGAAAATCCTGTGTGAAATGATTTTGCTACATCAAAATTTGTTGTGCAAAGTGCTTGGCTGACATGATCATACTCATGTCGACCATGGCACTACTGCTGGAAGAGTCCCAAGGGCATACACTAGCGATACACATACCTCGCGGCCGATTCAACCTCATGGCACAAAACTATTCAACGTGCACCATCCACTTTAGCTTTAAGAAGAACGAGATTCAGCAATTGAAAGTGCTGCTGGCGATTCCCGACCCGATAATCACGCCCCAGCGCTAAACGCAAGCGCCGAGCAGCTGCTCGCGCTCATCGTACTCCTCGTTGGTCCAGACGCACGATGGGCAGCAAGGGTTTGTTCTTGAAAAGCATTAAGTCGTCATAACGTTTTCGTGCTCTGTTGACCGTTATGGCTTGGTCATAGCGACCAGGCACATATACTACACATGCTGCGTCTGTGGGTCTAACTGTCGGTATCGATAAATTCCACTCTACATCCGACTCCACTAGTAGAAAGGGCTCTCTGTTGTGTCGACGAGTCGAGTGACGCTGATTGACCACGTACAACTGGACCTATCACGTTGGAGATGCTCTGTGACCACTGTCCTGCGCTTCTTGACTTCGCCATGGGGCGCTTCGAACGGCCTAACATGAATTACTTCGGCACCCCTTAAAGCGGAATGCTGTCCTACGCTTCAGCACGGACTCGGACCACATCGTTGTTGCCCATACACCAAGAATGTCACAATAAAATTTAAGTTCTCTCTGAGGTTTTATGACAGTGATTTTTCTCGAACAAATTTGCCTGTGGATGGCACCTATTTCTTCACAGTGATTTTTCCACAAAGAATTACTTCGAAGTATATAGCAAAATCACTCCAATAACGTTACAGGAGTTTTGAAGGTAGGCACCCCCTGCTGTCGGGGAATTAGTCTCCATTTTGGTAGCTGTCCCCTTCCCAATTGACCTGAAGCCGGAAGTGCATGGTATGACATCGAGAGGCTGCCAAGTTCACTCTGGAACGGAGTTATGAACGGTGTTTGCCTCTCTCTAGTTGTAGTTAACTTTTCAGAGGTTACGGCGGTATAGCATGTCGATGGTGACATCGCCTTGCTAACGTTATTGAGTTTCCCAAGGTCGGTGATGCCGGTACTTGCAAGCCTACTTGACCGCAGCGATTCTGTAATCCAACCCCCTGCTGTCGGGGAATTAGTCCATAGGCGACTTTTCGAACTTGGCAGCATTCCAACACCCAGCTACGTGGTTCTGAGCGACGAATACCCTGGCTTGCTTCAGCTGAGTGATTTTGCTTATTACTAATAACGTATTTTACGACTCACAGTCAATGTTGAGTGTGGTACTACTACGTAGTACTAGTACACGGTTTGGCAACCTCTAAAATTTGGTAGTGCTTCAACAACTCGTAGCTACGTGAATTTACTGACTTGTTAATGGAATTCGCAAGGTTAGCCACCTTGCTCCTTTTTAATATCCAATCAGAGTCCATCACACCTTGTTTCTTACACACGATTGGCTATAACACTGACAGAAGAGGTTACAATTTTGAACTTTGAATTTTGTACTCTGGAGTAGAGCTTTGTGTGATGCTGTTCCAGAGACTTGTGCATTGATGAGTGCACTCCGACTGTGTCCAATGTGGTTCTCCCCTTACAGCTATCATTGTGTTGTGCGCTCGGTTGGGTCGCAATGTCGTGGTGGCTCTGGTGGGCCAACGCGGTGACGCAAGAGGTCTTGGTAGCACCCATCGCAAACGCAAAGTGCTTAAGCCGCCACTTCAGCACTTGCGATGGGTGCCACCAAGATGTCTTGCGCCACCGCCCGCACAACCACGCGATCACACCGGCAGGGAGGTGTGCGGCACTGACACGGGTTGGATGGTGGAATGAGGGATGACCAATTTCATTGGGTTTGTAGGCAAGTGGTGAAATGAGACCTGTTAGAATTGTCTGAGTCCTGAATACCACATCACATGATCTTGCTCTCATACACAGCCTACACAATTATCTCAAGACTCCTTGCATCAACCGTCATCACAGGAATATATCGCAACAGGGCGTGATGAATCTACGCAGGGATTTTCGTGATTTCACCGCATCTGATTGGACAAAATTGGACAATTTTGAATTCGCAAGGTGACCTGCCTTGCGAATTCCAAAAAGAGACAGACACATGAAAAATAAAAATCATCAATACAAACTTGAAGATATATTTAATTGAAACTATACAATTTCAGAATTATTTATGGAATTCGCAAGGTGGTTCACCTTGCGCAGCATACAAAATTGCCTATTTCACCTTGCTTTTTCTGGTTAATGTTAAATTAATACAGTCGCGTCTTACCGAACGGGAATGCCGCATTTGTCCACCTTACCCAACGGATTAATTCCAAACACGATGCTACTGTATGTGCGTAATCATCACCCATAATGTTCAGTTAAAATGGGCCACCCCACTACCAAAAGACTTACTCCGGAGTACTAACGTTAACGTTACGCAGTACTGTACTGGTACAGTATTGTGGTTACAGTTAATTGAGTTTTGGATTCTCATTGTATATACAGTAGTATTGTGGATTCCGTACAAATTTCCAATCAGGGAATTATTCCTGCAACGCTCTCATTACTGGTAACAGCTACTACAGTAGTACTACGTGTAGTGCTTCAAGTACTAGTAACGGGTAAAGCGATTTCTCGGAGTGATGCACCAGTTCGCATGGCTACAGCTGTACAGTACCGATACTCGGAGTACATAGTATTCTCGTAGCTATTCCATGAGTACAACATAGTATCAGGACTATTTAGCAATAATGGTCGAGGTAATGTTGGTTCGAGTTTGCTGTGGTTTGCGATGTGGTGCCGTCTATGCCAGTGGGGCGTAGAAATTTGTTAGGTGGGATAGTCCAATTTTTACCCGTTTGTGGCCTGGATATCTTGCCAAATCGAAGTTAAAATCGAAGTTGTGCGTCGACAATATGTGAAACTGTATCGCCTCCAAAATCGAAGTTGATGAATACTGGAATATTCGGGGCAAACTCAACCCCATTTTGAATCCGTCCAGATTGTCATTGATCACCCCCGCAGAGGAAGCTTATTCGCATATCGTCCGTCACAGCCACATACAAACACGATAATGAAGTTGACGTTCCCATCGCCGCTCCAGTTCTTCAGACGCCTACGCGGCAAAAGTTCCGCCGAAGAAGGCACGAAGAAACTCAGCCCCGTGCCACTCGCAGGCGCCAGTCGAGCCTTCAGCGGCAGCTTCACTCTCTGCAACTCGCATGCCCCTGGCACCGACGCGTCCGACAATGACGGATGCAAGACGTGCTCGTCCTGTCAGCGCAAGTACGTGCCGTACTCGAGCACGTTCAACGACTTCTGCTCCCTTGACTGCAAGTCCACTGGCTACGCTCAGATCACCAAGGCTGTGTATTAAGCGACGATTCGCGTCGTCGCACCCTAATTTATGCTCATTTATCGCTCAACCGCTTTCATTCTGCAGCTCCACAACCTGGCGCCAGTCGTCGTGCATTGGGAAGTAAGCGCTACGACCACGTAGCTGTCCTCCCTGTAAGCTCAACGTAGGGCCAGCGTGAAGTTCCTCTTGTAATAGTATGCCGCTGAGCACATTCATACCGGGATCTATTACGGCGAAATATACCAAAACAACTGCGAGAAATACAAAATAACGGATTCTAATTGGTCGATTTTCATTCATACTTGACAGAATAAGTCGGAGAGTTTCAAGTTTGGTCAATCGGAAAAATGCACTTCTCAACGATCGCCAAGGCCGTCGAGGCCGAGCTACTGCCAAAGATCAAAGGGTCGCGCTTCATCGGATTCATCGCACCTGTGACATCACGACAAGATGCGCTGAATGTCGTGTCACAGAGGCGAGCCATGTACCCCCAAGCCAACCACCACTGCTTCGCATACTCACTGGCAGTGGCCAACGAAAGCTATTGCTCCGACGACGGCGAGCCGCACAGCACAGCGGGTCGACCCATTCAACAAGTGCTTTCCCAGCATCGAGTGCAGGATGCATGCCTCGTGGTGTCGAGAATATTTGGCGGTACCAAGCTCGGCACGGGCGGACTCGTGCGCGCCTACGCGGGCGCCGCGGAACTCGTCATGGCCGAAGCCACCATAGTGGAAACCCAATTGTCCACGTCACGAACCGTGCAAGTGCCCATTCGATATGCAGAAATGGTCAAGAAGTCCATCGTCAACTTCGACGGCAGAGTCACAAGCTTGGACTTTGGGGTGGACTCGGCAGCATTAACCATCCAGATTCCCTTGGTGCACTCCACCGCGTTCCATACTTACGTCAACGAACTCACAGGCGGCCGAGCGGCATTCTCGTCCAGCTAACTCATGTAAACATACAGCGCTTGCATTGTTGGACGATTAACACTGCCCAAGCCCCTTCCTTCCAAAACGTCCACTCGTCAAGCGTAGATCTAGTGTAAACCTTCAATGCTAGAGTACAGCGATGTAGATGTAAAGTACTATTCTCATACTGCTTACGTACTTCAAAGTACTGTACAATATATAGCGACCGCGCCACGAGTAGATAGACTCAACCCTGTGTATGCAGTTGAAAAGTAGTACTGCATAACTAACGGGAAATTAGTTGGTGGTGCACCGTACTACCCAGAGTAGTTAGTACCCATGACCGTGTGTGTGCAGCGTCACAAGTCTGACTGTCGCTTAGAGCATCTCCAACGGCGTTTTTATTTCTATTTTTAGCAAATGATGTTGAATTGCGAACCAGTTGCCACCCCCATGTTTTGAGTGCCCTTTTCGCCCAAACGTACGGTACCGAGGTAACGTTAGCACTTTGATATGTATCCTGCAACCCCAAAAGAGGTATACATGAGGTGGGGATGCCCTCATGTATACCGACAGCTAACTTAACTGAAGATAAATATATCAAACTAACATCGACAACTACAACGACATGATCCAGCAAGTCTGGGAAAATGCGGAGACGTACCGCATGGTGAGTATACGTCTGGGGACGTTGGCAAGCCCTCCAGTTATTGCTTTGTCGCCGTGGAATACCTCCGCCGAATTCGTGGAATCCCTCAGGAGGCTGCGGGAAATGACGAACATAGCCATCCTCGGCGACATAAGCGAATGTAAACGTATATCTAGACGAAGGAGTCGAGTTTTGGTGCAAGGCAACTTTGTATTCGATTCCGCTGTTCAATAATACTACTATAATATGTACTATTAATACGTAGTACTATTAGTAGTGCATTTTGAATGACTAATAGTGTGTAGGTGGTATACTGTAATCAGGCCACCAGACATGTCGACGGGGTTTCGGGGTTTTAGCGATGAACATTCATTCGCAAACAACTCGAAGACCTGCGCTTCGACTTGAGGGTCGTGACATTGTAGCTCTACACCACCGGGCTCATATCTTAAATACAAAGCGCTTGTGCATGAACACCCACGGAAGTCACATCGTTCGTTGGGGAATCGAAGTTCATAATGCCACTTCCACGAACAAAGTGGACTCCACGCACTCCATCGTAGGACTTGACTTCCGTCGCGGTTCTGCACAAGTGATTATTTCATATGTGATAGTGGACTCCACTACGACGACTGTATGACGCGAATTGCGGACGCGTGGCAAGAAAAACTCTGCACTTAACCCTTCCTCAGAGCCATCCGCATCGACACTTGGATCATATTCTGTTTGCACTCCTAATACTATGCACGAGATGGACATCTACTACGGTGTGCACAACGTGGTCCGATGGGCTTAGCATGTACGGGTTGTACTGTACCGTACATGTTGAGCCCATCGGACCATAACGCATGTAACCATCGAGGATACCTCGGAAGTTGCCCAGTGGATCTCGGTCATGTTGGGCCACCACTTGTCCATAACAACGCTGACATTGACAATTTCGTAGACATGCAACGTTGTCGACGGAGCTGATGATAGCACCCATGACAGTGGATCACTTCCAGAGTTTGTACCAAACGTATTCACGCTTCATTTGTTGGTGACCCTAGTGCTGCACGCGTTGCTCAAGTCCACAGTTATCGGGGGACTGGAGCAATGCTTGCGCCACTACAGTAAGGCCACCGACGAATGGGCGAGTTGTCTGATGATCTCCTTAGTCAAAGTCCGTCCAATTGGAAGTGAAGGCAGCATTCACCACTCACAACATTATGATTGCCTCTTAGTAATTTGTAGCGATGTACATCGTACACTATCTACATATATTACACCCTCGATAACCTATCTTAACACGATATGAATAACAATTGGCCTGGGGGTAGCAATGAGATGCTGTGGAGTTTATGGTGTTCGCGTGGGCTGTCGAGGGTGTGCTTATCTCCCCTAGGACCAAAAGGCGTCTTAGACGTACCCCTAAGACGTACGAATTAACTAATTTGTCTAAAACATTTTTGCTTACAGTCAACGTTAGCATCCATCGACCTTTTGTGAATAATTCTATCAAAGTAACCTGAAATGGTATAAAACTTGTACCAGCCTGTATGGAATTTTATTTGGAATCGGACAATTGTATTGTTTTTCGATGAAACCCCAAAACGTGATTGATAAAACGCCTGAAACGCAGGAATGCACGTCATTTTTCACTGTATCATCCAATAGTCTTGCTAAACTTGATGGTCACTAATTGTTTCATTGACTTTTTGTATCAATACTACCTCTATAAATGAATCCGGATAAGAAAACGTCGCTTGATGCGGACGTTGACTGTTAACTGTAAATCAAGAGAAGAAATCTTCATGAAATTTTATTGAGCGACATGAGGAGGGGCGATTCTGTTCTGTCTATATTTAGCTCATTATATATTTACGTAAGTACTGCTTAGACGAACGTCAAAATATACTTATTCGTCTTCGACGTACTTAAAATGTTTACGAATGAAATGCTAGATCTTGTTGCTCGTTCACATTGCGGCACGTGTGAAAGATATCGGCATGACTGCTATTACCTATGTACTTGAAAAAAGTCGAAAAAACAAACAATCCTACACGTGATGGAACCCATGACCTTTTGCGTGCCATGGAATAACTTTTCAGTCTAAAACCTTGGATTCCAAGAGGCGATCTCTACCTGCACACATACCTGGGAGATTTGATATATCCTCTTACATTCGACGAGGCATTTCTCAGTCAAGTCATTACGGTATCCTACAGGCCTATGGATGGCAAAAAGTCTTCCTCCTTAAAAATGATAATCCAAACTCAATTAATCTCAGTCAAGTCATTATCCCACTTGTACACTGAGGTTGCCGTTTGCTCCTATGGTGGCAACAATTCTTCCAAGGGCTCCTCTGGATACCACGCCATAAAAATATGCCAAAACTCGAAATGAGATTTTACAAAATTTGTCCAATATACAAACGCAATACAAAAAGAAACCGTCTGGATACCAAACATCACTCACGTTTCATCCGGATTCAAACTTGCGCGCCAAAACGATGCTCACGACCATGATGATCCTGCTTCGTCGGCGGCGCCTCAAGCGACGTCGCATGATGTTGATGTCATACCTGGTCTACCACTACTCCATCTACCTCTTGAAGACGTCAAAGCGGGTCTCCATCTTGTCGGGGGCTTTGTGGGTTGCCGAAATACTGCAAGGAAACGGGGATGCCTTCGAGGAGACGTTTCGAATGTCCCGTGATGCGTATGGTGGACTGCTGCACGATCTCGTCCAATGTGATGTTCCAAAGGCCCATCTGTGTGCTGTATGGTTGCTGCGGTTTCGAAAAGCGCCGTTTTGACAGAACATTGATGTTGAAGTGGTCACATGGACGTCTGTCTTTACATGAGAAATTGACCATTTTGGTCCATTTTTTTATGCCATAATTCGTGAATTTTCTTGCTATAAGTTTGTAATATTTCCTTTGGATTTTGTGGTATCCAGACGAAATAACTTCGCAACTTTGTCATTTCACCATTTTATAGAGATTTTCGTCATTTTATGCCATAATTCGTGGCATCCAAAGGAGCCCTGAATAATTACTGGTAATCACATCACAATAACTTCATCTGAGTATTGTGTACGTAATCATGGAGATGATTAGTCACATCAAAATAACGTCATCGGAGTATCGTGGACGTAAACATGGAGATGAGTATTCGTACACGATATTCCGGATAGTTCTATAGTAGTAGTGTTGTAGAGCACATTTGACTCAAATGTTGAACGTAATAATCTCCATTCAAAAGAACCAGTACTGTATGTAGCCCTGTAATCTCGAAGCCCTCAGGACCCCTTGGGTTGCTATTCACGGAGTTTAGTGCATCACCAGTGGTGATAGCTAACCACAGAAATGCACAAAATCCCTAGCCGGAATGCGTTGTTTTAGATTACACGGCGTTTGGCTATGAAATACTTCGAAACATTAATAATAAGAACAAGTGAATTGACTACTGTCCCCGCAGTCGTTTTCTACCAGAATTCCCTCATCTCCACAACTCCTGGGTTAAATTGTCACCGGTAAGATAACTGTACGGAGGGGATTGAGGTTATGTACATACTATACGTCGTCCACCCAATCTAACAGCCGTCTCGTCGTTCAATAGTGAACTCCGCCCAAGCCGTGTGGTAATTCCGAAATTACGACATAATGTTTGATTGTAGACTAGTAGACTGTACACACAACAGTTGACGTGATACATATATCGCGACGGCAACGTGGTGCATCCAGCTCGAGAGTCATTGGCCTTATTTTTGCAATTCCATTGTCCCATCAACATCATGGTTCAGTACCGTTTTGTGGCCCTCGCCGCCGCCACCACTGTCGCCACGGCCAAGATCTCGGTCCAAGTGCATCGCAACTTGGAAGTCGCCAAGCAGTCGAACGTCGTGGTCAAATTTCACTGTGACGAGGCCCACGATACCCACCGCCGCCGACTCAAGGCCGGTGCGTCTCGCACCGAAACCATCGAGTCGCTGGTTGATTCGTTGAAGGAGCACACAACCACGTCACAGGCGTCGGTCAAGTCGTTCCTGGCCAACCAACTTGAATCGACGGCTGTGGAAGTGGCCACGACATGGATCGACTGTTCCATGTACATCGACAACGCCTCCGACGACCTCGTCCAGAAGATCGCGGCGTTGCCTGAAGTCAAATCCATTTACGAGCCAGTTGCGATGGCACTCGAAGAAACCAAAAGTGACGACCAACCAGCCAGTGCTGTCGACGTGGTCAACCAATGGGGGATCGAGAAGATCCAAGCGCCGGCGCTGTGGGCCAAAGGCATCAAGGGCGACGGCATTGTCGTGGCCAGCATCGACACCGGTGTTCGACACACCCACGAGGCGTTGAAGTCGAACTGGCGAAAGGAATACGGTTGGTTCGACCCGTATGATGAGACGAAGCTGCCCAACGACCCGCGGGGCCACGGCACTCACATCATGGGCATCATGGTGGGAAACACGCAAGGTATTGGTGTCGCCCCGAATGCCACATGGATTGCATGCAAAGGATGGACCACAACAATGTTCAATCGACGTGAGTTGGTGAAATGCGCTCAATTCCTGCTTTGTCCCCACGACAAAGACGGCAACAACGACTGCAGCAAGGCACCCCACGTGATCAACAACAGCTGGGGGGAGTACGACACGCACTTTGATATGGAAGATACGATTAAAGCGTGGAGAGGTGCGGGAATCATTCCCGTGTTTTCGAACGGCAACGACGGCGCTAAAGAAGTCTGTGCGTATTCGAGTTATCCTGGCGCGTCCCCTCAAGTGATTGCTGTCGGCTCCACTGACAACATGGATTTTTTGGATACCCATTCAAGTTTGGGACCTTCCGTGAAGAACCGCACCAAACCCGACATTTCGGCTCCTGGTGTCAGCATCCCATCCGCAGTACACACCCGTGACGTAGGCCTTTCGTTGAGATCTGGCTCGAGCATGGCTGCGCCTCATGTTTCTGGAGCCATCGCATTGTACTTGTCTGCAAACAAAGGCGCCTCGTACGACAAAGTGTACACAGTCCTGACCAACAACGTGGACACGGACACGTTAACTCCACCCAACAAGTCCTGCGGTGGCATTCCCAACACGCAATACCCCAACAACCTCATTGGCTACGGCCGCTTGAACATCTTCAAGGCCGTGACTGCTACCACGTGTGGCACCTTGGAAGACGACACGCACTATATTGGCGGCAACTTGGGTTCGACCAAGCAGGCAGCTGCTGAATCCTGCTGTGCCGACTGTGAAAATACACCGGGATGCAAGCTGTTCGTGTGGACCGACCACAACGGCGGCACGTGCCGCCTCAAGCATATCAAGGGGCAGAGGGTGACTGTGGTCGGAGCCAGGGCAGGCCTGCTACCAGCCCCAGCCTTGGCAGGACCGCCGTTGTTTTAGACCAGCTATTACCATCGTCATCAAACTCACCGACCATAGTTACACTCTCAACTTCAAGGTAAATGCCTGAATTTGGGATTCAGTTGCTTCGCAAGCACTATAACTTGAAAAAACTAGGGATGCCAACTAATACCATACTACTTAAGTATTTCTCAATATTTCGATAAATATCGAGATAATTTGAATTGTGTCGAAACGACGTGTCCGGATAGCATTTTGATCGCAAGTTTATGCGATATTATTCGGCCGAAAATATCCTGAAAAGCGGAATAAAAAATATACTACTCCAATTAGTATACTTTGCAGGATATCGCAGCATTCCCTGTCACTGAGCTCGTCGTCAAGTGTCCCTAGACACAAGCTTGTCGGCCACATGTCTATGGCGTACCCCACCAAACGACAACGTCCAGACACTTTCCACGGGAAGGTGCGGATGTGTCATTTGAATGTCAATGTCCGCATGCACCATGTTCCACGATCCCCGCCATCCAGCACGGACAATCCATGAAGGAGTTCTGGATAGGACATCGACGTTTCAGTGGATTGTCCGTGCTGGATGGCGTGTGTGACGGTCGTACGGGCTAGACGCACAAAACTTTCGAAAGTCCCGAGATTCAGACTTCAGAGCATCCCCACCGGTGCGACTGTAAACGCTATTATACAGTTCTATCCGGATTATTTACAGTTTTGACAACCCCACCGGGCGACTGTAAAATACAGGTAACGTTAACTGTAAAATTTTACCGCGAGACGCCAAATCGGCCAGATTTACAGTCGCGACTGTAAAATGCAGTTTTGACGAATTAGCCAATAACATGCTATCAATGGATAATTTTGTCCAATCATGTGCGTTATGGAGTCAATAATCAGTTGGTTCAGAAATGGAATCAGCCAAGGCCATCCGTGGTTCCAACTTCACGACCGACGAAGACAGCCAGCTTGCCCGGTCATGGATCAACATCTCTCAAGATGCGTCCAAGGGTAGTAGTACTCATCACGCATCACCACACCGTCCATGATTCGTTCAAACAGCGGTCTGGCCATTCGAAAATGACGGCGAAACTTGGCTTCGCGGTAGATTGATTGGGGTCAAAGTAGTAGGTAAATCCGAGCATGCGCAGCCTCGCTATCTCGTGGTAGGTCTGGCTGGCGGTTGACAATAGAGCCTTTAGGGCGCGCAGAAGACTGATGAAAGCCAAGAATCTCCCAAGCTTGATCCATGTCATCATCGTCGTCCTCCCACGCCATCGCACCAGGCGTTCATTTCCGGATAATAACATTATTCGGATGTTTTACAGTTTTACCGCTGGGGTTGACAAAATCAAAATACAGGAACTGTAAAACGGTATTTTACAGTCTGATTATACAGTCGCATGCATGCCCTCAGGACCAGATTCTCTCAGTTTTACAAACAGGGACACAAGCAAGGATCCAATCGAGAGGTTTAGCAACTCATCTTTATCATCACTCTCAGCTGTGTCTATCAAAACTAGAAGTGTAAAACCTAATTACACTGCAAAACTTTACTAACAATCCTTGGAATTGGCCAATTGTGATGACAATCATCATTGTCCTCATAGGTCGCTTTTGGTTCAGCAGCCACCTGCGTGAGGGGATGGTTGTGCTGGTCAAAACCTTCCTTGCTGCGAACGCCTCTAATTGGCGTCAGTGGTCTCTAAGCCCCTGATGCAGTTGCAGGACGAGGTCTTCGACTGACATGCGCACATGTCTGGCCAAGCAAGCGCCGACCCGTCTTCGTTGCTACACTTCGTACTTCGTGAAGAGTCTTCACTGAAGATTGTTCACCAAGTGTCGCTGCAAATGGTGCTCCAGACTCGACGGGGCCACTTCATAGAGCTACGTGTACTGTACACTGTAATGTTGTACTCTTGACGCATTTGCAGGTGGATAAATGCTTGCGCTTTTCTAAACGACCCACCAACAAAAACAAACACATTCTTGTGATAGTATTCGCTTGTTCTTACAGCTAACGCTCCCTCGAACCCAGAAGATAAGTACCGTTAGCGACAACATTAGCTGTGTCATTTGTCGTCGCGTCGAGCTATTCACACAGGGCATCACTAATGGGAGGTCGTTCAAGGACTTGTCAGAAAAAGAGCAGGGGAAAACTCTCGAGTGCGCGCGTCCTAGCATGGGACACAAGAAGCCTAATAAAGGTCTGGATGCTTGACAACGTACAGCATGTATCCGAATAACATATTTAACCGGAAGCAATGCAATGAATGATGCGACGGTGTCGCACGACGGTGGTCCTACCAGGAGAAGGTCTGCCTTGTCTCCGACCACAGTCGTCTTGGAGCCTTGGGTATGCTTGAGCCAGCACGTGCCGCCGTTGTGGTTGGTCCACACGAGCAGCTGGCATCCCGGTGTCTTTCACAGTCGGCACAGCAGGATTCCGCAGCCGCCTGCTTGGTCGAAGCCAAGTCGTTGCCAGCGTAGTCCATGTTGTCTTCCAGGGTGTCACAAGTGGTTGGGAGTTTAGCCGTGTGGAGTATTCGGGCGGAGTTAGAGCCATGTTTGTACTGGTTGCTAAATGTACCAGAGACAGCTTTGATGTAGTATTGCGTAGTAGAAGTAGTATCATATTGTATTCCATATTCAGTTTTTACTAGACGATCGCGATCACATGCAGGTGGCGACTGGCGGCGGTGGTTGGCAGTGCCACGAGGTCGTTGGCGTCATCATCTTGGCCCATCTTGGCCGCGACATGATCGACCTTTGACCTGTGTCTGGAGGCACGGTGGAACAGATATACCCCGCCCAAGACGAACATCATGCCCACGTAGTTGCCAAGCGTCGCGGGTTCGCCATATCGGTAGATGGACAGCACGATCAGGAGCGCGCGCTTCAAAGTGCTGACGACGCTGTGCGACACGGGCGAGAGCAGACTCATGACGCGATATGCCAGTGCACTCTGCACATAGTACGCCATGCCATTCAACATGAGGCACAGTGCCACAAACAGCTGGCCGCCGTCCGGGCTAACCCGTCTAGATGAAGTTGCCTGATCAACCACGACATAGATAGCTTGGAGACCCATCGCGACAAGGCTCGAGTACAGCTGTAGTTGCGTGACTCTACAGAAGAGATGATTAGAACATATGTGCATAATGCGATAATGCGGTGGTAGGGACGTACGAGAAGGCGTGGCTAGAGGATGTGAGTAATTTCTTGGACAACACATTTTGAAAGCAATCGGTGCAGTTGGCACTCAGAGCTGCCAGTAGCCCGAGGCAGGACAAGAAGGAAAAAGCAGGTCCTCCCAGGCTCGTGGAGACATTGCAGCAGCAGCACCACGCCAGGCCCAACACAATCGGCACCAGCGTCCCACTGACCCGCCAGGTTGTGGGCGTGCCCAGCACAATGTACGATAGCACGACGGTGAAGAAAGGCGCGGACGATTTGATGGTTTCTACAGGGGATAGAGCATACAAGCTAAGCCTTATCTCTGGCTACATTCTTGTGGAGAGATGCTCAAGTAGGTCGTACGAGAGAGAGAGACGGAGATATACTTGAGAGCCACCAAGTCACACACGAGGTTGAGGATGCGCACACCGCCAAGAGTGACCATGTCCGTGATGCGACATGGGATGGGTGGTGGGGATGCCGTGTATGCATGCGCTGCTTTCGAAGGTGCATTGTGTGGTGGGAATGAAGTAGTCCACATAAAAGCACCGCGCAAGTCGACCGCAAACTTGGCCGCGCCGACCGCGCGAACTTCGACCAACGCGCCACAGGCCACAGACATGACGAGCTGCATCATGGACAAGAGGCTCGTGTCGATAGCAATTGTCGACACGAGGAACTTGTTGGCCCATAGAGCCAAGAGACTCATGACATACCATACTACCATTGGATCCCAAAAATGTATGACTGCATATGAGCTTGTGTACGGGTGGTGTACTTACACCCAATGAAAATGACGAGGTCAGCATGCTGCCGCGGGCCGCTACCGGACGTCGTCGTCTTGGACGACCACCACGACGATGGAGACTGTTTCGCCCACGGCATAAGGATCGTAACCTGGCTGGAGGAAGCCTGCGAATCACCCAGGCAAAGCGGTGCAATGGCTGCCACACCTCAAACGACACGAGCCCAGTGCTAAATTTAGCATTCTCTTCCACCAATTGTTCGCTCAAAGTATCCATTGGCATGTACATGCAACCCTAGTTCATCTCTGAAGTGGCGCCAGCGTGGAAACATGCACGTAGGCGACGATGATACACTGCTTGCAACGCTCTAGCGAGCCATCTTTCATTCCTGTCGGACATGCAAGGAAATGAATAATTCAATCTGATTGGTGGATGGAATCGAAATCATCGTATTTGATTGGTTCATGGGGTTTAGTAAGTCTATACGATTGGACAATTCAAAATCCAAGTTGCTGTCTCCATCGCCGCGCAAGCTGCAGGACGACGCCATGTCGTCGGACGAAGAGTTTGAGAAGTACGTCCTTGATGACGACGGCATGTTGCGATCATTCGATGACCGTATGTGTGTGTATCCTCCAGGTTCCTTCAAGGAGACTCGGAAGACGAGCAAACGGCGTTTGCCAAGACCAAGAAGAAGGTCGCCAAGAAGAAGAAACACCCCCCATCGTCATCCAAGTCGAAAGCAAACGGTAGTAGTTGTACGAACTATATGTGTGTCCACATTGACTCAACTCCATCAACTACCGGTAGATGCAAAGCCTGCCGCAGCAACCACGACACTTGACGACAGGTATCCGCCCTCGATCGCACACGTCGTGACGCATGTTCCTTGCCTAGTGCCGATCCATACAACTTTGACATGGCTCCACCTGCCTTTTCCCGCAGCAGCGACGAAGAAGAACTCGAGCGACAGAAGGCAAAGAAGAAGAAACAGTCCGAGAAAGCGCCGCTTGTGAAGAAGGTGTCGCTGGAAGACCGCATGGCGGACATCTTGAAGCGCCATGGGAGCTCCATGGCCGAGTCCTTTGCCAAACCCGTCGAAGTTGTCACCCCATCAGACGTCCCATCCCTTAAGGCGGACAATGAAGACGAGAGCAAGAATGACGCGGCCTCTGAACATGCCCAGAGTAGCTCATCATCGGATTCACTTGGCATGGAGTCTGCCGACTTTGAAGTACTGTACCTGATAAAGTCCCCAGATATATATATATATATAATATATATATGTATATATAATATATATAATATATAATATATATGTATATATATATATATATAATATGTATGTATTGCACTCAACTAACTTTAGAACGACCAGGTCGGTGGATATGCCAAGAAGTCATCTGTTCCAGTCAAGAGCGCTCCACCACCATCAGCAATACTTACCAAGGTACCAATAAATGCTCTAAATACAATGGAAAAACCTTACTTTGATTATATTATATATATATATTCTTTCACAGGAGAAGGACGACATAAATACATATTATATATATATATATTTATAAAATTTCTTTCACAGGATCAGGACGACACGACGTTTCGCGTCAACCAACCATCCGTACCGCCATCGTCACAAACAGGTGTGGCATCCCATAGTCCCGTTGAACGTTTTCATATATATATATATGAAATTGTTGTATAATATATATATTTTCCTGTATATTCTCACGTGGACGCAGTAGATCGGTTTCGATATGCAGCCGCATCGACTGAAGAGCATTCTGATTTGGATGATCATAACGAAGAGGTCGATTACCATCACTCGGTCGGCACTCCCGCCTCAGCTTCCCCGCCAGTACCCTCCGCTGCCGCTGCGCCTAGTAATACTAGTGCTACTACTACTCCAGCCGCCGCGCCATTCCAGAGTGAATTTCAAAGAATGAAGGTGACGTTTTGCATTCGTAAACCCAGCTAAAATGAGCGTCGTTAGGAACTGTTTTCACGACCGGTCGAGGCCGAATACGCCACGGACGAGTTTGAACCATCGACTGCTCCAACAACCCAAGACAACACCCTAGTATGTACTAGATAGACGCTACTAACTAACTAACACTTAACTAACACTTAACTAAGTAACACTTAACTAACTGTTGCATTAGGCCAACACGGACTTGGACAAGTACGACGACGACGAGTTTGAAGACTCGGAGCCGCCGTCGCCTCCGCCATCGCCACGGCATCCCGACCGCTTGGTGCGTCGACATATATATATATTATATATATATATATATTGATATATATATATATTGATTAATAATTATATACGTGACGAATATGGGTAGTCGCCTGGCCCGCCGCCACCACCACCACCTCCTCCACTAACTCCCACGTCGATCCCCGTCGTTGCCATGTATAGTACTAGTACTAGATCGTGTGTACTAGTATATTTCTATATTTTCACTGCTAGGCCCGCATTCAGCTTGGCAGCACTGCCAGGTACCGTCCCTACTAGTTCCTCTAGCTAGCTAGTACTACTAGTCCTGACCACGGGAGTAGATGATCTCGAACCCCCTCCGACTCTGTCGTTCAAGTACGATCTCCGCTCCAAAGTGGAAACGATTGGGTCTGTGGATGGTGTCGAGGACGTCAGTTCCCCGCCTTTGGATCGAGACCAACCCGCCATGGAACCAGCATCCACCGACCCAAATCCCCCAACCCTTTGCACGACACAAGGGAAATTGGAGCCTGCTCCATCCATCGTTCCCCCCCCTCCCCCTCCTCCATGTTCCACCGCCGCGCCGTTTTCCATGATGATGGCGGCAGTGCCAGGCTCTGTTGTTATGGCCACTGCTTCTAATGTAGTACCCCAACCTGAGACCCCTTGTATAGCTCAGAATGAACTCGAGCGGCCATCACCACCGGACCACCACCAACCAACACAGTCAAACACAGCCAATGAAATCGCAGCCAAATTTCACTCGTTGCAAACGACGCTGAATCAATCCAATGCGTCGGTCCACACCACGGACACCCACGCGTCGATTGATAAGTACCACTTGCGCACGCCATATTCGACCAAAGAAAACCAGATCAAACTGCAGCTCCAGGCCGCCCAGAGGGAGATTTTAGCTCTGCGACACCAATTGGCCACGTCTGACCAGGACGTCCACACGCTGTCGCAGGCGCGATCCCACGTTGTCACAAGTACCAGTGGAGGCGTGCACATGACTAGCCAAGCCTGGGACGCTCTACGCAAAGACATGGATGTAAGACGGGTCTATATGTACAGTATATATTTATATGGAAAACAAAAGTCTGGAGTATTTAGAGTATTTGTATATATATATATATATATATATCGTCCTTTGGAAAACAATGGACATAAGACTGACCCATATATATATATATATACGTACATGGAAAACAATGAACTGGAGTATATATATATTATACATGAAAAACAATGAACTGGAGCATATAAATATATATATATTATGACGTATTTCGTGTATTATATGTATAGTCGCAAGAAGCGTTGATTCAGGGGTATCAAGTCGAGAACGAGCGGCTCATGCACCAACTCCGCGACGTCCGGCGGGATCTGCAGGTGATTCCTATGGATGCGTCAAGATATTTGGATGATAAGTATTATATAGTATGACGTGCACGTGACCAACCAAGAGCTCCAGGCCACGATCAAAGATCTGCGCCACCAACTAGACACCCAACCGCCCCCCCCATCTGGAGCCCATCCCTTGACCGCTCAACTACGGGCGGAAGGCCGTGTATTGGAGCTACAAGATGAGCTGCATCATGTTCGGAAAGATCACAGTCGCAGAGAACGAGAGCTCAAGATGGAGGTATGTACGTACTTGGGTGTGTGTGTACTTCATATGGAGGCAGTTGTGTATCGAGATAGATCGTTATCTATCAATGTTCTTATTACATGTATAATATATGTGTGTCTTGTCATAATATGTCTTATTATAGATTATATGTCTTTTAATATATGTATAAATCGACACTTTGCTATTGCGAAACGGTTTATGTCTACACCGACTGTGCAACATTTCGATTGTTCCGATCTATATACAACAATTGTATGGGTAGTTTTTTACTTGGATGTGGTTTAGCAGTGTGTGAGTGGAGCGATATTCCATATATATATATATCCATATTTAGAGATGGAAACATTGACATATAATATATATATATATATATAGCTAGAACAAGTGAAAAAAGCCAAAGTGGACGTCGAGTGCCGCGTGGGAGGCGTCCATATGGCCACCCTCCAGCAACAAAACGAAGCATTTGAAGCATTCAAACGACAGAGCGACATCAACCTTCACGACGCCCACGCTCAAATCACATCGCTGCAGTCGAAACTCGAATGGTAATATATATATATATTTATTTATTATAAAATATCATGATATATATGTAGGTATGTGCAAAACCAGCGTTTCATCGACGATCAAGACGAACTGGTCAAGCAACTGCAGCACTCGAACGAGCAACTAAAGGAGCAACTCCACCACTTGACGAGTACTAACAAGGCCAAGTCGCATCGCCCGTCTAGTAGTACTACCGACAAGCGGCGCATTCAGGTACGTACTATAATAGTACCTTTGCAACAACGATACATAGTTACATTCGTGTGCACAACATCAGACCTTTTTGGAATGAGTGTCATGTATTGATTGAAATTAGTGTCATACGTAATGGAATTAGTGTCATACGCAATGGAATTAGTGTAATACGCAATGGAATTAGTGTAGGCTTTGGAGGCTCAAGTGAAGGACATGCAAGTGTCATGTATTGATTGAAATGAGTGTCATGTATTGATTGAAATTAGTGTCATACGTAATGGAATTAGTGTCATACGTAATGGAATGAGCGTAATGGAATTAGTGTGATACGTAATGGAATTAGTGTCATGTATTGATTGAAATGAGTGTCATACGTAATGGAATTAGTGTAGACTTTGGAGGCTCAACTGAAGGACATGCACGTGGCGATGCAAAAGCGCCATCCAGACAGTTTGGTGAATTTGATTCTGGCGTCGAAACCTGACGACGTGGTGGCGCAACTGGAGCGCCAGATCCAGCAACTGCACGACCAACGCCTGGAAATAGAAGCGCAGCACGAGGTGAAACTCACGCGGTTTCGCCAGCAGCACGAGCGCGTGGTGCAGCAACTTCGACAGCAACTTGAGAGTAAGCCAAACATGGACGACGAATCCACCGAATCAGTCGCCACTGTGCGGCGGTTCTACCTGGCCAAAATCAAGGTACGAACCTCCATCGAGTAGTAGTACTAGTACTAGTACTAGTAGTAATGTACAGTAATAGTAGTAATGTACAGTAATAGTTGACGTTGTCATGTGTCGTTTTGATGGGTAGGAATTGGAACGAAGGCTGGAACAAGCCAAAGGACAACCACCACGACAATTGGACAAAGCAAGTGAGCCACTGACCAATACAGTGGTCCCGTCTGCGACACTGGTACACTAATTCACTGTATTCGTCGTCGACAACTGTAACATTTCTACCAATGGATTGGTGGTGATAGGAGCAACTACGAGAGCAACACATGGAGCGGGAGCTGGCGCTGCAGCGTCAACTAGACGACAGCGAAAACGCTCGACGGCAATTGATTCATGCGTTTAATTTGGGCAACACCACACATCCCCAAGGCAGCAACACCACACATCCCCAAGACATTTCAGCACAAGTACGGGAAAAGGAAGCCAAGGACGATCAAGCTCACGTGGCCAAAGCAGCCATGGATGCATTGAAAGATGCCCACAACGCCCAGATGCAGCAAGCAAAGGACATCTGGCACGAAGAACTTTTGCACTTGTCCGACAAACTATCAGCTTCGCAAGCGGTATACATATATATACACCACTACATTCGAGCGTCCTCCTCTGTATATATATCTTCTATATATATAGAAGATATATATGCACATTTACCCTATATATATATATATATAGGGTAAATGTGCATATTTATTTATACATCTACAAATATCTACATATATATTTGACACAGTGTAGTATAGTATAATATATATATATATATTATATACATGTGTAAATATTTTTATATCCTACATGGAGAGCATATGTTGTATTATGATGCATGTTCATATTGTCGATAGGTGAGTACATCACAGGCTCAATGGAGATTTGTTTTTACCATTCTATTTTTTCGAGGCCATTATTCTCAGTATATGTTTATATACTTGTATGTTTCATGTCGTGGATAGTTGAGTAGTGAAAGTATCTATCTGACTCAAGTTGACATTCTTTTAATACAATATCCTTCGACGACATCTGACTGACTTGGTGTTTACAGTGTCCATCCATGTAGTTCAAGACATTTGGCTCGTGTGACATTCTTGTAGGATTGCCGCAAGTACGCCGACGTGGCCGCGCAGGTGCCGATATTGGAGGCCGCCGTGCAGTCATTGGAATCGCGGCTGTCGGTCCCCAACACTCCGTCCATGCTGCAGTACCACGCGCTCGAGATGCAAATTCACACGCTCACTCAAAAGCACGCGATTCGCGAGACCGAGCTGCACGTGTTGCTCCAGAACGCCACGCAGAGCAGCAAAATGGAGGTGATGCAGCTGCAGCAACGCCACGAACAAGCCATGGCCGTCAAACGCGCAGAAATCGCTTCATTTCAAGCCCAGGTATGTATATATATATGAATATATATATATATATATATATCGAGCAATTGTACCCAATCTCGTATTCCATCTCATGTATTTATATATTATACTTATATAGCTCGACGAGATGTTGGCCGAATTGAAGCGGCTGCACCACCAGCACCCCTAACTTTGTGAAACGATGCTACTACGTAGTAGTAGTACTAGGGTACAATATGTGTACTAGTAGTACCCACGACCAAAAACTGTCCACGATCAACTACTTAGCGACTCATAATGACCTGTTCAGTGGATCTAGTACTACTACTACTACTATTACTTTTGATCGAGTTGCACTCCCTTCCGTCCACTCGTGTCGTTGTCCACCGCTTGATCAAACGATCATAGCAAATCAACGCCTACTCTTATAGTAGCGTCTTCTTGTATTCAGTACACACCTACTACGTACTACTACTAGTAGTAGTACTATTCCACAAACTCCTACCGATCCAGTGTGACTTCAGTCAACTCGACCTCTTCATCCTCATCGTCAATGGTAAAAATCGACGCGGCCGTCTTGTCTTGGCTCGGGTACTTTGGCGTATCGCCCTTATTCACGTCCACTTCGCAGTACTCGGCCTTTCGCGCATGCCTCTTGACATAGACGACAGCCGCCGCCGCCACCGCCACCGCCGCCACGAGCGCCGCCACGGACGCCCCCACCAGGGTCTTGACACTGCCAGAAGCGTCTTCCTGCATCTGTTGGTTCGATAGAGGTGGCACATTTGCCAGTACTTTGGTATCACTTAGCACGTCTTCGACGTTCAGTAGCAGCTGACTCAGCACGGGGAAATTGGGGCTGCCGAGCCCAGACACGGCATCCCATCCACTCTCTGCATGAAACGACAGGTCGCACACGGGCATGCCCGGTCCCATCCCCGCGGCGTTCGTGCCCGTGGTAATGTCATGGAATGCGAGAGGGTACGCGGCTTGTAGACGGTACAACGCCGGGTTTATAAACCCCAACGCTGGCTTGCCTATATAGAATATTCAATGATAGGAATATATATATATACAACTCGTCGTCGCTCAAGTCGAGATTTATGTAGATACACATGTGTCTGTTCGATATATAGAGTAGTCCTTGGTATATATATATATATATACCCAGGACTACTATATATATATATATATATATAGACTGAAAAATACACTTCAACGTACAATATCGATAAACCTATATATCCACATTCACTGCGTATCCACCACTTTTACGTAGCATCATCGTTCGTTGTAGTATATCGTACGTAAATATATTGAATACAATCCGATTCTACATCGATTCATATATATATATATATATATTTCCATTTTTCACTGGAGATAGTTTTACAACGATATATATATATATACATAAATATAGAATCGACATACCAGCATTCAATCGTAGGTCATTCACGAGTGTGATCATGGCGGCAAACGCGGGCGTCGACGCCGACGTGCCCGAGATCAGCGCCTTGTCGCCATTCAGCACCACAATGTAGTCGTGACCAAACGCTGTCACATCCGGATACGCTCTTCCGGACACGTTGAAGAAGCTCTACAAACACATGTTCACCAAGGTACTGTAGGTGTATATATATACATTCATGCAACCAGTACATATAATATGTATCAACTGTGTTGTTCAAACAAGGTATTCTTCATATACATGTGATTAGTACATGTCATACCGGTGGCGGGATGTTCCGAGTGGCCAAGTACCCTTGGACGGCGGCGTCCTGGTAAGCAGGCCGCGCATATTGCGTGGAAAAGCCGCCGCCGGACGTGATGGCCGACCCCAAAGAGCTCGTGCACACGACTTCGTCCAGCGTGTTGAAGAACCCCGACGAGTCGGTTAATTTGGACAGCATCGTGGCGCCGACGGAGGTCACGTACGGGCTAGACGTGGGCCACTGGGGACCATGCTGCTTGCACCACTCCGACTTGTTGTCAATGTTGGTTTTGCGTAGACCAGGACGTTGGCCCTAGAATCATAGATTTTATATATACATGTTGGTAACAACTACACCCAACTAACTACACCCACGCACGTCCATACACATTCAAACGCAAAGCAGCGGTCAAGATGAGATCAATGTCGCTAGTGGTTAGTAGCTACTAGCTACTAGATACTAGCCACGGTCGTTGCGATCGAGAAAATAGTGTGGGTGGTCGACGACTAGATACAATAGATAGATAGATATAGCAATCATAACTCCCGGGAGTTATCACATAATAATGTGCTTTTCGCACGTACTAATATTGGCCAATAATATTATAGGGGAATTATAGTTGAAATCATTACAGAACTCGAGCAAAGCAGTATGATTGGATCAAAAGAAATGAAAGTTGCTATTTGATTGGCTAACACGAATGACTCGTGGAGTAAACAACAAACGCATATAAAAAAGAGAATCAAACAACATACCCGTATGGGTTTTGGTTATTCTAACTCTAAACTGGAGTAAAATATGGAAAATGAATACATGGATCGACCCAACCAAAACTAACTGTAAGTACATATAGCAGCATAATGAGCCAATCAGATTGCAGGAAACATACTAGTATCACCATCCAATCTTTCTAGTTAAGCCAATCAAAAAATCACGTTGTGTCGAATATTTTCTGCCAATCCAAACGCTTGATTCGGCTTAGTCTCTATCCATTGGACAAAAAACTCACGAAGATCAATCAATGGATTCGAATATTTTATATTTCATGTATCCCACGTCCAACGTAAATATCAGTGCACCATATATACTCAACGCAAGACAAACATACCGCGACGCCGTCGTCGCCACTGGCCACAAACACCGATACCCCGCGGACGCCCAACTTCATGAGCAGCGGGTCGAACGATCGAGCGTAGGCTTCCGACGCGGCAAATATATGCTCTTCGTCATCCGCGTACGACAGAGACACGACATATGGCGGCTGTTTCATGGTCAGAATGTCCTCTGCCCACTCGACGAACGGCTCGTCCGCGGCGGAGAATGGATTCGATCCAGACTGGGACCACACATATGTCGTGGTGCGCGGGGCTAGCGCCGTAATGTACTGCAAGTCCAGCGACGCTTCTGCAGATGCCTGTCCCTCTGTGTCGTCCCGGGAGGGTACCTACACAAAAGCATATATATATATATCATACGCATCAAAATATATATCATACGCATCAAAACAAGCGCGACATGTTGAAGATATATATATATATATGTGCTTTTGGATAGTTTTTGGTTGTGGATGTGTAGGACGCACCTGATGAGTGACCAGGGTAGGAATAGCGTCGCCATCCATGTACTTGTTGAAAAAGGTCGAGAGGTCCTTGTCAGTCCACGCTTCTTCGTAGAACTCGGGGATGCCCTGGGCGTTGGTCTCGTTTGCGCTGGTTTGTCTGGGCACGCCATACCATTCGCGCAAGAAGGCGGGCGTGATGCCGCCGCCATCGCGGACGCTATCGACGGTGCTACTTGTATTGTTTTTCGACTCGTTGCCGTGCTGCTTGCCGTGGCCTTGGGTGGCCAGCAGCCGGCCAAGTGGATAAGCGTTCAAGCTGATGTACGACACGTCCGATAGCATCGATGGCGGCATGGCGAGCGGCTGGGACGCGCGCAAGATGCGACGATTGCCGCGACCGACGGGGTGGCCCGCTACACCATTGTAGGCATGGATTTCGGTTGCGAAGACGGCTTCTAGCGAGCGAACGGACCCGCGCACCTACCAGAAGCATGATGCATGGGTGGGATGTGCGACATGACGGACGACGAACAAGCAGCGGGTGGCGGTACCTTGAGACGATTGGTAGCGGGGGAGAACGCCACGTCGGCAATGTCGTGTTCTGCCAACCAACGGGTGATGGAAGGAACGGCGTCCGGTCGCGGCGACGTCAATGCGTCGGCTTCGTCGGCGGACAAGTGGCGGCCGTACGCTGCATTTCTAGCCTCAGCATACACGCAACGTGACTAAACGATCGCGCAGAGAGTGGATACGTACGTGGGGTCTGAAACGCTCCAGAACAGGTCCTCCAATGCCCGAGGTGTCGCGGCGGCGATGCCGATCGTCACGTCGACCTGCTCGTCGTGCAGCGCGCGATGGCCCTTGGTCCACGTCGCAGGGTGCTCCACAAACGCATTGAGCACGGGGTGGTGTCCCTGTGATGGGCTTGTCAGCGCGAGAAGCACAGCGGCAACCAACGGGCCATGGAAGGCGGCGCGACTCGGCAGATGCAGCAGCATTGAGTTCTGGAAAGACGACAAATGGGAGATGATACTGAGCTTAGGGGTAAGTAGGACGATGATATTATTCCACGAGTTAATCCAACCTTGTATTTGTATGCAATTAAAATAATTGTTTTGATAAGACACACATCCTTTACTCTGATATTGCAAAGTCGTCGGCGCAGCTGGTACACGAGTTGCGTCAACTGTCCGTCCGTCCATGGGGAGTCTCGGCACCGTCACCGATGTGGAACCTACTGCCCATGGCAACCTCGGCAGTTGGCTGAGTGTCCAATGGAGTTGGGGTCGTATGGTTACCAGTGGCTTATGACCAGTCGAAAGAACTTGCGAAACGTTGTGATGGTCACAGCGGCAACGAACGACTCGTGGGGTGTGCGATCTGTCTATCGTCCACACCATCTCGTTTGCTGATAGAGGTCGGATGTCTTCTGGGCCAAACTCGATCGCACATGCTTGCTCCACGCCCCCCAGAGTTCCGACATCACCAGCTACATCTTGCACCACTACGCCATACCATGTAGATGGCTGGCTGCCATGTTCGCAATAACCGTGGCCCAAGAAACAGTCTTCGGCTTTGTTGGACTTGGCGTCGCCTCAGCATGTAGGCCACCGCGGCGCTGAGACATGCCAGGCACTACGAACCGTAGGTGGATACATACAGTAGAAAGGTACTGAAGTGTATGCAGGTTGTATACGTATAGGTATGTAGGTAGGTTGGTGTACTTGCACTAGTGTGGCTTTGCAGGGCACACCTTGCTGGAATCCCCAAGCGAGACGCATGAAGCCAATACAGAGATTGTCGTCGTCGACATGCACTTCCCATGCTGCCATGAGCCTGGCTGGCCCCACGATGAGTTCCAAGATGCCGGTTGCCTGCGTTGTCCATGTCGATTTGAGAGAGATCGTCTTTGACATACATTCTGTCAATCACTCTACTGTAGAGCGTAGTACAATAATAAAAAAGAAAAAGATCGACGTAAATTTAAAAAAAAAATCCCTCCATTTGGTCGACAGTTGCTGTCACTTGCATGAAGGTTGCTGGGGATGCATCGGTCGGTACATACAGTCGCGCCGTCTTTGCGGGTTGATGCGTCGGTGGTGTCGGCTGTACACACCATACAACCTTCCATGTTAAGTGGTGATCTCCATGCCTGCCTGTGTGGTCCACTGATGCTCCATCGCCGTTCTCCTGTACGTCGGAACGCGAGGCAGCAGAAAAGCATGCGAATCTTATTACTCTTATCGAGCGACTCCACACGCCATACGGCTATCTACACTGGCCTGCCACAAAGTGTGGGGGACTCCTCGTTGTTGTACATACCTATCGCGTGGATTCACGATGCGCTGACATGGAGAACCAAGTTGATTCTTCAATACCTCGCCAAGATCGGAGAGCGCTTGCCCCATCGCGAACAGTCCATGACGAACGTAACTCAAGCTAGCATGTGTCGCATTGTTATCGCCTGTATATGCGCTCCTACGTGATCGGCAAGGCCTTCCCTGGTATGTCCGCAGATGCACCCGCAGCAGCAACAGCTTGGGTCGGGTCGTCCACGACACACCTTTACCAAATTAACGTGTAAAACGTTGTTTTTTTTAGTGCGTTTTTCGAAGAGCCATACCGTTAAAACGAGTTGCTAATTGCCCAGCAACTCGGTTAGGGGTCGACACAAGAAAGACGACGTGTCGAGTATTCCAATGAACGATACGTATTCGTGCCATTGGTGGCATTTAATATGGCGTTATATGTACTAGTATACTTAAGGCGCGGAGCGTGGGTACTGTTGGTAGTACAAAGTGGTAGAGAGATTACGACTCTTGTTACTCCATTTAACGTGTTTAACGCGTAACGTTTTATTTGTTCTTATTCGTGCGTGCAATTTCGAGACATACAACAGCCATCTGGTGCAGTTCCCTGCCTACAGCTCGAGGACGCCACAGCACTTCCAGCTGCCTTCCTGCTCCATCACACCGCCCTGTGCTGCGGACATATTTGCACCGCCTGCCTTCTCGTTCCATTGGCCCCATCTCCTTCATGTCGGAAGCACCACCATCAGCAAGAGGAGGAGCACAGTCGCAATCCATGTTCATTGCATCCAACGTAGGCTTCAAAGCGAGTGGCCACGGCATGCTCGCATGCGACTTTGACTCTGTCGCGACCCAGTTTCAACCCAAGTATTACATGAAGCAGCAGCAGCACAAGCCGACCCACACCAACAACACCACGGGCCTTGCTCCTTCTGACGCCATGCCGGTCACGGCCGACGACGATGACGAAGACGACGACACCCGTCGGGAAGTCGAGTTCCCCGATCCCGAGTACTCGATCAACCGCGTATCCGGGTTCCTCTGCGACTGTGCCACAGGTGCGCGCATCATGGACACATCCATCCTCAACTCGGAGGCCATGCTGTCCAACGTCATCGCGTACGTCCATGCGCGCATGAGCGTTGAACTCGACTTTGTCCAGCATTCGATCCCGTACGCTGGGGCGCCAGCATCGTGCCAGTTCTTCGCGTCCAAGAACTACAACGTGACGAAGAAGCTGCTGGTGTTCGTGTGCAGTTCGCGCGGGTCCACTTGCGGCATCTGGAGCCGCAGCCTCCTGCTTCGCTCGGGAGTGAACGTCGGTAGCATGCTCCCGTACTTCCGCAAGGCCATCGACAAGGGCTTTGGCGTGGTCGTGCTCAACCCAAACGTCAACTCTGTGCTCCGCGGCGCCACGAAACTCGCCATCCCGTGCTCGTCCACACCGGAAGAGCATGTCCATCATGTATGGGAGCACTTTATCTTTCCAAGCGCAGCCCATGAGATTCACTTCTTGGCGTACGGGTATGGCGGCGTGCTTGTGTCCAACCTGATCTTTAACCACGCGGTGATGGCGAACCTGCAGCCCAGGCTCGGGAACCTCGGGTTCCTAGAGTGCACAACCAGTACCAAGTGTCCTCCGCAGCTGCAGCATTCGATTGGGCCACGGTGGGTGAGCTGGGAAACGTCCAATGAAATCGGGTTCGGCAAGCAGATCCCGAATCAATCCGTCAACTCGGTGGGAATCACCATGTCGGCGGGGCCGACGGGGTCGTCGGATGGCGGCGGCGGCAGCTCGTCGTCCATCACGCAGACCGTGTTGGACCCTGTCTTTCGCTTCTTCGACGCCCCCAACGCCTATGAATTCCTCCGAACCGAAGCTAGGTGGCACAATGTGAACGTCGTGGATCAGTTCTTGAGCAAAACTCAACGGCGCAACGCCCCTATCCCTGTCAAGAAGACCTCAATGACAGTGGATGACTTCGACTTGCTCAAGGTGTTGGGCAAAGGCGCGTTCGGCAAGGTGATGCTCGTGCGAAGGAAATCCTCGGGCGCGACGTACGCGATGAAAGTGCTCAAGAAGCAGCACGTGGTGGCCAAAGCCCAAGTCGAACACACCCGAACCGAGCGCAAGCTGCTGCAAGATATTGACCATCCATTCATTGTTCGGCTTCGGTATGCGTTCCAAAATGGAGGGAACTTGTACTTGGTGATGGACTATTACGTCGGCGGGACGCTGTTTCACATGTTGCGGCAGCAGCGGCGATTCAAGGAGCATCAAGCGAGGCTGTATGGCGCGCAATTGGTGCTAGCATTTACCCATTTGCATTCATGCGACGTGGTATTTCGAGACCTCAAGCTCGAGAATATCCTCATGGACGGCGACGGGTTCATCGCGTTGGCCGACTTTGGCTTGAGCAAGGAACATGTCAAGTTGGACCACGACGCTGTCACGTTTTGTGGCACCCCCGAGTACCTCGCCCCCGAGGTGCTGCGGCGAAAAGCATATGGCAAGGCCGTCGACTGGTGGAGCTTTGGCATTGTCATGTACGAAATGCTCAGTGGTAGCACGCCGTTCTACAACACGAACCGGCAAAAGAACTTTTACAATATCCTGCACGAACCACTGGATGTATCGTCCAAGTACTTTTCCGACGATGCGCGGAGTCTCCTTCGCGGACTTCTTACCCGCAAGCCGCACCTCCGCCTTGGCTTCCACGGCGGCACTGAAGTGATGGCTCACCCGTTCTTTGCGGACGTGCCGTGGGACAAGGTGTATATGCGACAGGTGCGCCCGTCGTTTGTGCCCAACATCACAGCAGACGCCCCCCGCCCCAGCGACCAGGACGACATCCCCGCCTCCGTACGGAATGCCGGTGACTTCGACATGCCCGAAGCACACGTCGACGCGTTTGCCAACTTTACGTACCGATGCACAGAGCAAATCGACAACTGGAGCGAACTCCAACACTATCCCCATCTCAGCGTGCAGAACCCGACAACGACCCACGATGTGTGATCATGCTTCAACTGCGAATTGTAGTACCCCATGTATAATCATTCTAATGCTAGTACTAGTAGTAGTATGTACTATTAATAGTAGAAAAAGTGCTAGTATTAACTGGTGTTGCGTTCAATAGTACTTACTACATATAGCATGAACAATATTGGCGGTAGTACTACTAAGTAGTTGGCACCGAAACGAACCACGATATGTACGCAGTGAAGTGTTATCATTGTGGGACACACGCAGTACACTACGTACTGCAGTATAACTACGAAGTGGTATACTGCAATAGTACTACAGTGATGCTAGTAAGCGTCGTAGTAGTACTAATATAAATCGTACTACTATTATAGAATATTAATATTAATAACGTCAGGTCACGGATTATTGTATACGTCGTACTAGTACTACTATTAGTACACCGAACGTGCTGTTGATATTACTACGTACTACTACAGTAGTACGTAGTAATAATAATATTAATAGTAACGTTATACCTTATAATAGTAGTACTAGTATTAGTAGTACGAAGACTGTGGGGCTATCCAAAGGTCTACTAGTATGTAGCGCCCGCTTGCAATGGATCTCAAGAGTATGAGCTAATGTTGTTAGGGATATTACAGTCGAGATGTGTGGGTGTATACTGATGGGGTGATGAAGTATGTATTTATAGTAGGTATAATAGGTGGTACTGTACTAGTGCCGTTAGTACCTCTGGCATCTCGTCAAGGGCAATCACGGATTCAATCATATACTGTCTCATGGATGCAATATCATGGTATAGAGTTATCCAGTGCATGACGATGATCTGTCTACTGCCACAACTTGCGCGGCTTCATGTGGAAGTTTTCATACAATCGCATGAGGTTGCGCTCGAGCATGGCAACTGTCACCTTTCCGACCAACGGCACGTACGTCACGTTGGGAATCTATAAACCCAAGTCAGAAATATATATATATATATATATATATCGATTGGAGGATAATTTGGATATATATATATTTTTACCTGGAGCAGCGCTTGTTCGTCGACGTTCTTGTACGAGGCGACGTTGATGACAACCGTGCCTTCCGACACCCAGTCGAGCGGAAGCTTGTAGCTCTTGACCGGCACGCCCGTGATGATGACATCCGACTTGCGGCATGCCGACTCTGGGGTTTCGTCCGTCTATAGATGAATGAGGTACGATGAGAAAGAAGGGGAGATGAACATGCGGGGGGTGATGGACATACTTCGATGAGTTTGCCGCGGCGGAACAAGTACAGCGAGTTGATGTCGACGCTAAAGACGTCGGCGCCGTCGTTGGCGAGCATGGCGGCCAGTGGACGTCCGACGATGTCGCTTCGGTTGATGATGGTGATGCGTCGTCCGAGCAAGTGTTCTCCTTCGGGTTGCCTGCGGATGGTCGAAGAACATGTGTGACGATGGGAGATGGAGTGAGCAATGTATGACGTTGTATGTACAGTGTACGTACCCAAAGTTGTAAATGTTGAGGTGTTCCAAGATTTTGATGATTGCAAGGGGGGTGCACGGGAGCACGCACTTTTGCGTGCGTTCGTCGTCTACGTATCGAATGTTGCGGTACAAGTTGGACCGGTAAAAGTGGCACAACCCCTCGACGTCCTTCTTGATGGAAATGCTGTCGCGCACAAAGTCGTCCATGGTGCCACCGTAGAACGATGGAAACGTGCCAAAGCACGGATAGTAGACTAGGATTCCATGAACTTCGGGGTCCCGGTTCGCGTCCTCGACAGCTTCTTGCAGGAACTCCTTTTGGACTTCACGCAATTCGTATCGGATGCCGTCGCGGATGCACGCCTTGCCCGTCCATTCCGCGTACTTGCGCGCAGACGCGTCGTCGTTGGCCAGGAAGCCCACCAACTTGGGTCCCACGCCATGGAGCTCCTTGTTCACGTACTCCTTCATGGCGTCGCAGAAAGGCGCGGCCACGGCACCTGCATCGAGCTTCATGTTGACGTGTAGTTTTCTTAAATGGGTCAGTTTCGTGAATGGCTCGATCCGGACTGCTATCTTATTGGTGGTTCAATGAAAATATAAGCCAATCAAATGCGTTGGTTTGCCCGAACGAATGGCGAGTGTGGACTGGTCGGCGCCTTCACCTTTGCACTCGCTCAGTTACAAGCCAAGGTAGAGAGTCCAAGGCACCATGACAAAGGACTAGGACTCGAGCCAAGTAGCGTGTGCATGTGGCTGGGTTGGGAATTGCTTGTTAAGTCGAAGCGCACACTGTGTGGAGTTGCAAGCTGCCGTGTATTGGTTTTGCGAACTCCATGCAGAGTAGCCGAAATGCGTGGGAATTGAAGCGATATACATGCCGCAGGATTGGTATTGCGGCACGATGGCGGCATCCAGTCAACGCCAACTAACGCTGCTACAGTACAGTAGCTCCAAGTGTGTGTGAGCTTCACATCTCTAGCTTACATCATCACCTTGTCTCGCCTGTCCAAAACGCATCCGAATACAATGGTAAACCTCCGGATAACATTGTACAAATTATAATACAGACGTCCAAGTGTTCCATACAAACAAAGAGATATTGGGTGGATATTATAAAAGACGATGTGGTCCCGTGATTGGTCGATCCGATTGGGCACGATTATTGGTTGGGGAGAAGACTGGTTGGCTGGCTGACACAGCATTTGCCTCGACTCAATTTGGGTTTGCATTTCCTCAACACAAGAAACCAAGGTATGTCGATGCTGGTTGTGTGTGTGTGTGTGGATGTGGAGAAGCACGGGGACGATGCTTAGACTATGTGCATGAAGCGGGGGGGAGGGTGGATGGTGTCTTGTTTGGATGTGATTCCACAGGCGAGGGGAACAGCGACAGACAGGGCCAGCCATCCTCCACCAACTCGATTGCGTTGCAGCGACTCAAGGGAAGGACGCTCATGTTTGGTGTGTGTGTGTGTTGATGCGTAGATGAGCAACGATACCTTGACGTGGTTGTTGACCAAGAACAACAACGCCTTTTTGGTCAAGGGTGTGCAACCCAACAGCGACTTCTCGCGCGCCAAGTTCAACTTGTTGAACCGCCACAGCCGCAAGTACGACGCGTTGTCCGCCAACAAGGCAGTCGGCATCTCGTTGAACGATAAGAAGGTCGTGTTGACCACGAAGATCGCGAAGAACGCCCACTTCCCCGTCAAGTCGATCCACTCGGTGCCCTTGAACAAGGGTTTCCGCGCCAACGCGCACACGATCCGCGCCGAAATCTCCCGCAACTTCTACCGCGGCGACTTGAAGCGTGCCGCGCTTGCCCGATGGACTCAATTGAACCGCGTGGCCAAGATTGAAAAGGGCGTGCTCAAGAAGTCGGTCGCCAAGACCAAGCGCAACCAAGTCAAGGCGTAATTGTTTACCGAGAAATAATCATTCCACGGTTTCTTGAAATGCAGCGAAATCAACAACAGTGTCACATAACATTTCCCATGTTTGTGTGTGTGATGATGTTCTTCAGCAGCACTCATATAACTCTCGACCGTCAAAATCTGCGGCACTTGCCGTTGTCATTTACATGTCGAACGGCGGGTGGCTCTATTTCTGCTAAGCAAAAATGAGATGGTATCTCCAACGGTAAATTCAAACCTATTGCTAAAGCATAGGGTAAAGTCAAACTTCGTTTTTACGGTTGCTATTTTGGCAGTATCCGGACTTTTTAGAAATTTCGATGGCAGAAATTGTATTTTCGTGTGAAATACAGTACTATTATAGTAGCAACAAACCCTCCGGATAGAGCAAGAGTTTCTAACGTTATTCTAAATCCGTACAAATTGAAATAGAAATAAAAACACCGTTGACGATGCTCGATTGATGTTACAGTAGTAATCTACCGTATATTGTATATGTATTGCGACGGATTAATCTATTGCGACTCCTGTAATACAAGTACATAACTGATAATTTTCTTGTGGAAGTAACTGATATTTACTTGTGAACATGTTGAATATACTTCAAATTTGTATGACGCAATGGATTAACAAAGTTTTGAGAACGAATGTCGGCTGGTTGTGAAATATCACCTGTCGCAATACATATACACTATACGGTAATGTGTTTGGAACTGGTGAAGTGCCATGCAAGTGTCTTTAGTTGATCTCATACTAATGGTACTGTACTGGTAGTAATAATTCTGATGCGATTGATGTATAGAGCTAAATATAAACCGCACAGCAGGACATTCGAGGTTGAGTTTACTCTTTGACGTCAGGTTAGTGTCCATCCATCCCCCTCATATGTTGGTGCTGCAATGTCGACATGACATTTACGAGCTCAAACCTGGCTTCAACATCGTGGGAACTGACGACACTACGTGCCACTTGGTATACCCGTTTCCTTGAACTTCGTCATCCTTCCTGACTGACATGACCACCAGGTGCTCGAACCAGCCAACCATGTCGAGCCCATGCATGCCATCATCAACGTGTCCACGGACATGCAGAGTGCGGTGCTTCGCCCCATCGGGGTTGTCGCTATCAACAACACTGCCGTGACAACGATAACGTCATTGCGGATGGGCGACGTCGTGTCGTTTGGTTGTCCGACGGATGCCGAAGGGGTGTTGTTGCTGTTCAAGTGGGCAACGTCACCCTATCCTTTTGATTCCTCAATTGGTGTGACGTGATGATACTCCACAGGTTTGACGCGTATGTGACGCACAGCGTGGGCGATTCCATCGTAGCGCGCAACCGCAAGAAGCCCATGTTGACCAAATTGAATCATGTACCAGTAGCGTTTTCTCTTACTAGTAGACAAGGGTCACGATAACACATGTATGTATACGTAGGTACTGGGGCACATTCCGTACATGAACGACATGTTTGTATCGGCCCAGTTGCTCGATTCGGCCAAACTGTAGCTACTCCTACTACTCCTCGTTATTGCAAGCTCCACACGTTTCAATGTAGGAAAAACCAAAGCTTTGACATCGACAGCGACGACGACGACAGCGACAACGACGACGACGTGACGGACAAGAACAACGCTGCTGCTGCTTTTGATGTGAATGAAGCGGACAAGTCGACGTTATCGCTAAAAGTGAAACGAAGTAAGCGCACAACGGTGGTGGCAGCGCAAGTACGACCGACTAGAGTTCAGCCAGTGGATGATATCAGTGGAGCTATTGCTACTCTGCAATCTCGTCACGTTGCAGAGCGAACGCAGTGGCAGGATGACTTATGCGCAGCAAAGAAACAAGTCCAACGGCTGCAGCAGGAGCTAGCGTCGAAACAACCCGCGACGTGTGAGTCGAGCTCGCAATGTAACCTTCCCGAGACCGTTCCAGGAGCTGATGCCAGCCATGAACAAGAATCGTCGATACAGAAGCGCGCAACTCCAGTTGCAAAACCAGCGTCGTGGCTGTCGGTGATCGTACTGGGCAGAGAATGGCCCGTGCACACCAAACATGTTTTGGTGGTGGCCAGTGTCGTCTACTTCACTTGCAAAGGTGCGTACCGTCATGTCTCCACGTAGGCTGTGGTTGTCATGGTTCGTTTAGGGGCATGTAGGGCCATCAATAAAGCTTAGCCGTGCGAGCCGAAAAGTTCATTAGTGGGGTCAACAATTCGCTCATTGGTGAACGTGGGACCAATCAGAGCTAGGAGAGTTGAATTAACCGGAACACCTCCAGTAATATACTAGAGTAGCATACAAATATGCATTATAAGTTTGTATGTGGAGAAATTATCCGGATTTGAGTTCTTGTCGAAGGTGTGGATCTTGGAAGGAAAGGCCATCTCCTCATGCCTGTGCTGGTGTGCAACGGCGAAGAGCATGAGCTGAAGGAAGGCCGCAATGTCATTGGGAAGATCAAGGCAGCATGCGATGTGGTACATCCACTCCTTCGCACGTGTATTAACTTGTATGCTGATGCTGTCATGGTTGTTGTTGCAGATTCTGGAGGGATCAAGCATCGCCGATACCCACGCGGCATTGGAATTGATTCAAGAGGGGGTACACGCTAATGATACATGTACCTTTCCATGGCCCATAACGACATATTGCGTGTGCTGGTCAGGCGGTACTCACTGACCTGGGCTCAGCTACAGGAACCTTCTTCAACGGCGTGCGCATGACGCAGCCTCAACGTGTCGTCCACGGCGACTTGATCAAGTTTGGTGACACAGGACGCGAATACAAGTATGCTTGTCCCCTGGTTTATTGGTAACTTCCATGCTTAACCCTTGTAGATTCGACATGACATCGACGCCATCCGTGATGCGATCCATCGCGAGTTCGTTCCGCGATTCCCTCGTTCCTCCCATGTTCAGCAGCAGCCTAGTGGGTGGAGTCGCCGCATCGTTGCAGAAAGCACAGAGTCCGCTTCGAAAATCCAACGTGTTTGCATCCTACCAAGACCAGCGCTCCACGGACACTGCATTGCGCGACATCGTGGAGCGGCAGCTGCTTCGCCGATCCGGTGCCAACATCAAGGCCATCCCCACCAAGGTGGTGGCAGCGGCAGCGACGGTCCTTCCTCTGTCTCCTTCCCAGCGAGACTTTGTCGAGCGACAGAAGCTCCGACTATCTCAAAAGATTCGCGACGTCAACAATGTAAGACATGTGTGTCCATGACGCAGTCTCATATGCACCAACCATGTTGAGCGGTTTCGTACAGATCATGCTCGGGTATGCTGCCATCGACGACACGTACTTGGCGTACTACACAAAGAACAATCGTGTGTACGTCCCGTAACTCTAAGCCATGTATCCTCAGTACGATACTTGGCTGGCAGAATCCTCCCCGACGATGACAATCACGGTGACAATAACAACAGTGACGACAACAGTGACGACGACGACGACTTGCCTGAAATGTCCGACAAGGTGCCTATGGCCAGCAGCAGCATTGCTCCAAACCCATCCTTCCCACCACCACAATCATCGTCTGTCGTCATGACTAAATCAAAGCCAATCATATCAACGCCCAATGACAACACCAGTGACAACACCAGTGACGATGATGACAATGAATTGCCAGTGACAATGGAGCACCACCAATCCCCCCCCCCTCCACGTAAGTCCCCCAAAATCCCATCGATCCAACCACCCAATCAACGTCGTCCTCGGGTTGCCCACGAGTTGTCATCACACCTCCACACGCTTATGCAGACCCACCGGGTGAAAGCGTGTGCTCGGGCATGGAGCGACTGGCGGCGGGCGATCGACCTCCGAAAACGGACGGACGCCGCCGCCACGACACTCCAGCGGTTCGTCCAGACAGTTTCATGTCGAGACCGCGTCGCTCGTCGCATCAAGCAACGCCTTCAGCAACGTGAGAGACAAGTGCACGTTCGTCGCGTAGTGCACTTGTGTGCGCGCCGGCAGACTCGGGCCGCACTCGCTCAGTGGCGAACGTATTCGGTCGAGTGTGTTGTGGTGAACGTATTGCAAACCCACATTGCGCTCTCGTTTCAGAGAAAACACGTGGTTCAAACGACGTTTGACCGGTGGAGAAACGTGTGGTCGGCATCTGTCCTCCGAAAGCGGACCTTGCACCGCCTGCTTCGGCATGTGACGTCGGCGGCGACTCGCAAGGCGTTGGTGACGTGGCACGCCTGGCGACTCGAGCGCGAAGTGCTGGCAGCATTCACCAAAGCTCAAGACGAGCAAACCAAACACAAGCTACTGGTGCAGGCCATGACAGCTCAATCCCAAGCTGAAGCCACGTACGTTCTTTCAAAACAATTATTGGACTATATGATATGGAAATATGTAGGGCGTGGAGCGACCAAGCCAAGGAATCGAGCGAGCATGTGCAGCGCGAGGCGGCGCTCACGGCGCGCATCGCGACCTTGACCACCCAGCTACACGAGTGGACAAGCAAATCCAAAGCTGATGCCGCCGTCCAGACGGAAGCCGGCGCATCGGCGTCGGCGGCGCGCACCGCGTTGTTGTCGCATACGTTGCTGAAAACAGTGGTTGGTGAAGTGAAAGAAAAGAATTTGCGCGCGGTGATCGATAGCTTGGAGACAGAGTTGCAGGCCACGGCCGAGCGCGAGGCCAAGTATATATATATATATGCTATATATATGTGCTATATATATAAAGCGTGGATTAGTAGTGTATGATAGTTTGTTGGAGGTGTGGTTGTTTTGCTTGATGATGATTTATTGATTGTGAATATATATTGTTGATATTATGGTGGTGGAATGGGATGACGAAGAGATGAGTGTGTTGACGATTGTGGTTTTAATTGATATTTGCTAGTTTGATTTAAATTATTTTAAATTATCTTTGTATATATATATATATATATATTTGTATTAGATTACAAGACGAGTACAAACACGTATTGGAGAGCTTGGTGCGGCATGCCAGTCAGTTGGCCGATGCGCAAAAAGCACTCAAGCGATACCAAGTTGTCGTTGACGAGCAAGCCACAGAAATGGCCAAGTAAGCGTGGAAGACGCCATCCATCAAATATATATATATATATATATATTTGGAGAATATATTTAGAAACATTATTGTCCAAATAGGATGGAAGCATCGTTTGCAGACGACAAGAAAACCGCCATTGATACCGAATCGACGTTGCGGAAACAAATTCACGACCTCGAAATGTCCATGGCCGATGTAAAACGGCGCGACGACGTGAAAAAGAGCGTTGAATCCACGTACGTTGTGGATTTATTTATATATTTTTAGACAGAGTCTGGGTAAAATTATGTCAAATAATACTATTCTGACAGAGAATTCCCTTTTCAAACAGGGGGATGAGAAAAAATAATATTTGCAACATATATTTTGATGTGACCTCTGGATGATGCCATGATGATGGTGGAAGGAAAACTATTTCTGGAATATATATATATATATATATAGTAATATCAGAAAAGTAACGATTGGACAGCTGAAATTGATTTTATTATCTGTCCGAAATCAGTACAAATTCGACGTATTATATCAATTTATATACATGTCAGAGTTGGACACATGCACCAAAGGTGTGGGTTGTTGAAACATTGTTGTAATATTTCTGAAATGGGGGATTTCGGACATATATATATTTATATATTGGTGTGGCCTTATCGGCTGTGTTTTGATATATATAGTGCAACCCAAGACCAGACGATGGGGCTGATGGAAGACTTGAGCAAGCGAGAAGCCACTCTGCTCCAAACCAAGATCGACGCCTTGGAGCGGGACGTCCGCGAGCGCGAAGCGGCGCAGTTGAAGATGGTGCTGGCTCATGACGTGGCAGTCTCCCAGTGGACGGCGAAATGCCAAGCATTAGAAGCTACGGTGACGACATTAGAGGCGAGATGTGCCATGTTAAAGACCTCATCAACCCCACCACCGTTATTGTCGTCACCAGAGGCGTCACCACCACCAATGTCGTCACCACCACCAATGTCGTCACCACCACCAATGTCGTCACCACCACCAATGTCGACACCACCACCAATGTCGTCATCACCACCAATGTCGTCATCACCACCAGAGGCATCAGCACCACCAATTTTGTCACCACCACCAATGTCGTCGTCACCAATGTCGTCACCACCACCAATGTCGTCACCGCCACCAGAGGCTTCACCACGCCGCGAAACACCCTCCCAACGAGTCGACTCTATTGCGTACGCTATCTTTATTAAAGATATTTTAACGGCATTCCCATGACGATTGGTTGTGCATGTGTGTGTAGAAGGGAGCAGCTGGAAGTGCATAAAAAGATGCTTGAACTGGCGGAAATGAAGCTATTGGCGGCGACTGCTCAACTTCACGACAAGGACGTGCTGGAGCGGCGCAGGATCGAGGCAGAGGTACGATAGAAGCAAACAACGAGCGAGTGGAGTGGGGGTAGTACATACTACCTACCGATTAGATGCTACTAGTTGTTGGATGTCCCCAACTAACTACTACTACTACTACTACTGTACCGATTAGATACAAGTCCATGGACAATTCAATACCCACGTCGAGTCGTTTCTGGAAGCACTCGTGACCAAGGTTGACTTCAAAGAGTTTATACATTTATACTGACATTTTGTATGACCAGTACGACCTCCAGCTATTGCGAGTGGGTGGCGAGCTGGAATTGTTAACCATCCAATGCGAAAAGGACCCCAAAGGCGCCCAATTCCGCGCGGCCTCGGTATGTAGGCAAGATGGATGTATATATATATATATATATATATTGTGGATTTGGTACGAATTTCCAGACCCCGTCGAATGGAATCTCGCCGCCGACTCGAATCACGAATCGACGCTATTGGCTAATTCATTTTTATTGAGTAGATTTGATTGGCTCTTGAAGTAACCAATCAGAACTCGGAAATGATTCAATATTGAGTAGACAAACCAGGCGAATTTCACAAGTTTACTGCGAATTTCACTATATCGGTATCGATACATACTTTGGTTGTGTGTAGAATCTTGTGGGGTATGTACAAGAGGAGCGTCTGGCCCAGTACAAAGACCTGAGTGACCTCCACGCTGAACTGCTGCATCTGCGACAACTGGCGTTTCAAATCTCAAGTCCTGCGACATCGTTGGTCGGGCTAACGGACCTGCCGCCATTAACTCCAAATAGTCAGTTTCTGTACGACATGCTGCTGCAGGTAGGAGCAGAGTACTCATCTTGCTTTTTATATTGTTTATTTCATGGCTATCGTAATCATATATATGCGACGGAGTAGAGATTGAACCGATTGCATCAATTGAACCAAACCATGGCGCACCAAGCAGCTGCATTGGGACCGAATATGCAAGACACCAAGAAACTCGACTATGCCAAGGTAGGGGGGGGCATCCAGTAGGAATGTAGTAAACACTTGTCAGTACCAACTAACGGGATGATGCCTGAGTATGTAGTTCCTAGCGCAGACCATGTACGCCCGTCAAGTGGACTTTATAACCCAAGCCACGACCGTCCTTGTCCATATTGCCCGTCTGCAAACCCACCTCGAGCCATATCGAGTGTAACGTACTAGTTAAGAGATCGCTTAACTACCTAGTATTTGACCACACTTAACGTTAGAAACCCGATACAGCACCTAACCAAATTTATAGTAATGATAACAATTATGAAGTAAAAGCTCTTCCACCTATGAAAATTGAAATTAATATAGGTTTATAATATATTAACTTTCCTTGTCCCAATTCTAACTATAAGTATACATTCTCGGTAGGAAATTGCGTACTTCGAAGTAGCTTCTAGCGAAAATAAATATAAAATAAATAAAGTCAACCAGATATAAACAATACAATCTTCTTTTTTTGTATTATACATATACAATAAAACTAAACACCCAGATATAAAAATACAATCTTCTGTTTTTGTACAATAAAACTAATATTGAAGTTATATTTTTATGTAATATATATAGAACATATAAATAGAGTTATACTGTGTTACCAAGTACCGGTACTCCGAAGTAATTGTGATGTAGTTTTATTTATATAGACTGTTATTCTACCAATTGAAACAATTTCCCTTTGACTAGGTAGTAGTAGCAGTTACAACATTGTAACCGGTAGTGGAGTTAGGCGTTTCATATCCCATCCATATAGTATACAAGGAACCAACTACTCCATTTACATACTACCGGAAGTTTTAATATACAACGCGCCACGACACACAAACACACATATGCCAGTGACACAGCAGTCGATAACGAAGGATGCTAGTACAGCCCTCGACCTCCTCTTCGTCTCTACCGTTGGGCTCTCGCTACGACGCTCTGCCAAACTTCTTCCACCACCTTTGTCGACCTTGGCAGGTTCTGACTTGGACTCTCGAGAATGTCAGCGTCAACTGGCCGCGTTCGACGTGCGGCTGGCAGCAGCAGAAATAGCAGCAGCATCCTCCACCCAGCACCTACAACCAAACGACACCGCGTCGGCGTCCGTCCCCGTCACGGCGACACCCCTGCCTGCGGTCGCGTCGACAGCCTCGCTGGCATCGTCGGCGTCCAAAGCATCCGTGGGCGGAAGTAACAACAACAATAATGCAGACGGCAAGCAGCAGCTGGGCGGCGCGGCGTCGTCGAAAGGGTCGCTGCTGCCCCACTCCAAGAGTGACGCATCGGTCGCCGATTCCTCGAAAGGCAGTTCGTCCTCTCCTTCCGACGCCGACGACAACGACAGCCCCCACGTGTACCTGCGCTGTACCCTCCCCGATCGCCACTCAGACATTGACGCGTGTTCGCTGGATTGGTGCGCCGAGCTGCACGACATCGTGGTGGCCACCGAATCGACAACCACCCCCTCCATCGATCGCGCGTTCGTGTGCAAGATGGTGCACAACCTCCGCCTGACCAAGCTGGCGATCAACCACATCGACGCAGCATTTGCCAGGGATTGCATGCACTTGGAGCGGTTGGATATATGCGACAACGTGCTGAGATCCCTTGACCACCTGCCGCCGAGCCTGCTCGAGGTCGACGCGTACCGGAACCAGCTGCAGACCGTCCATTTGTCCTCCTCATCCCCCACGCCCCATCTCGTACATGTTGGCCTTGGACTGAACATGCTGACGTCACTGCCGACGCTGTCGCACCCCCACACATTGCTGTCTCTGGATCTGTCGTACAACCACGTCACAGATTTCGCCCACGTCCTTTCGGGTCTCAACGTGTTTTCTGGTCTTCGCCATGTCTTCTTCACGGGCAACCCCGTCGTACTTTGTCGAGGCTACCGCCACGCGCTCCTAGCTGGCCACCCCAACCTGTACGTGCTGGATGACATAACGGTCAGTGACAAGGAGAAGGACGTGCTGCTGCAATCCCCTGCCATCCTCGCCGACAACGGCGCCGACTTGACGGTGTACGTCACGGCAGTGGGGTTCCCCCTTCGGAAACCTCAATCGGATGCCACCGCGCCATCCATAACATATGAAGCGACGTTGGATGTGTTGCCGGGGCAGTGGAGTGTTACCATGAAGGAAGAAGGTAGCATGAAGCAGCCGGACCAACCATCGGTGGCGGCGGTGCCAGCCCCTGGCGGCGCGCTGAATTTTGAAGCGACCAGAGTGCCTCTACCAGTATCGTTGACGCTACGAGACAGTGTGAAATGTACACGACTTCAGAATGTTGATGGAATGTATAGGATGGTGGTGATGGATTGATGTATATATGTATGTGTAGTTCATCCTGCGAGTGTGCGCATCTACGAAGTCCTCCAACCTCCACCGTCGGCGCCACCGCCAGCTGGAGCCGCCACCACGACGGACGCCGAGCCTCGACCTCCATGTACGTTGAAAGGCGTAGTATGAAGATTGGTCTGATGGGGATGATGCTATTCTAGTGCAGGAACTGCGTGTATCGGTGAATGTCGATCTCGGAGGGTTCCTCAAGCCATGTTCGTTGGAACATCGATTGGGCGAGGTAAGGATGCCGACGCTACATATCTATGTCATCGTGGTATCAAATCCGAGCTCACGACGTCCGCATGTAGCTGACTGTCGTCAAGTCGTTCCAGTGCATTGCGTTGAAGAGCCAAACAATTACCGTCGTGCCAGATGTGATGCCACCGCCGTCTACGAAAGGAGGAAGCGATAAAGGCGGGCCACCGCCGGAACCACCTGTCACCCAAGACGTTGAGATCACTGTCACGGTCAAGTTTGTCTTGAACGAGTCTGAACGCGTTCGACCAAGTCCATCGCGCGAACAAGTTGGGTCCAAGTCCAAAGGACGCCATTAACACGAAAGGAAGTTCGTGGCGCATCTTGCATCCATCGCCGTCCGTAGCCTAGCTTGGTAGATGATGCCACAGGAGCCAGACGGCATCCCAATGGATCATCCCTTCCCCTTCTTCCGCTCTATCGCAAAGAACTTCATGAATTCTGGCAATAAGAAATGGATACCCCTGACATTTAATATTCGCTTTCTTACCAATTGTGGGGAGGTTCAACTTCTGACAGCAAGCGCACCTCCATCGTAATGGATGAGCGGAAGCGGGGTATCGGCGAATCGTCGGGCGTCCAGCCTTCTGGAGAGTCCAAGAGGATAAGACGAGACGAGGGAAACACAAGTAGCCATGATGCTGCAGGTGATAGCGATCCACATCACGTTAAGGACGACGACGACGACGACGATGCCGCGTCGACGGACAAGCAGCTTCGCGAACGCAACATGGCGTTGCGGGATGCGTTGTTGGAAAAGAACCGCCGGATTCAATTCCTCGAGACCAAGTGCGGCGACTTGTTTGTTCACCGCCACGCTATCGACGCTCGGCTCCAAGCCGTGCTCAACCAGTGGACGATCTTGCTGAAGACATTGCATACGCTTCTTCCCAGTACGTCACGTCTATTTCCCCTACGACTCCACGTCGCCTATTCAAAACGATCCAATGCTCTAGATGCGTCATCGAAAGACATCGTCAACGACATCAAGACGTCGTTGGGATTCATTGCGCCGCCCACATCATCGACAAGTCTCCCTCCTGGGATCCAATGCGAGATCGACGCGTGGTTCCTCACCGGCACGGAACCTGCCGCGCCGCCATCCTCCCCCGACAACGATGCCATCCACGGCGCGCTAACGTCTGAGCTCGACTTGGTCACGTCGTGGGTCCACACGCTCCTCGACAACACCATCGCGCCGGACGATTTGACCAAAGCCGCCATCGACGCCAAGCTCGCCGCCGAGCGGCAGGTCCTAGCCTACCAGGACAAGCTCCAGACGGTAAGAAAGATCTCCATGTTCCTCTACTGCACCTCTGCCAACCCATGCATACACATCTCACACGTTTTTCGTTCTTGTGATGGGGTATGAACAGTACAAGCTACAAGTACACGAATTGAAGTCCGATCTGAACAAGAAGGAACTGGAGCGGCACTCGGCCTGCCGCCGCCTCGACCGCGCCGCGACGCACAACAAGATGACCATCTCGTCATCAAAGAAAGCTCTAGACAACGAGTCCAAAGAGGTATTGAACCAGCAGCCACAATCCCTTAATGAGCATGAAATGTGAAAGGAACGATAGGCTAATCAACTGCTGTGTATGATCTCTATATAGCCAACTACAGCGGCAGACGTAGAAGGCAACGACGCCTCGAAATGGAAGCAAAAAGCAGATCAAGCAGACCAATTCGCCAAAGAAGTCGCAGATAAACTAGACAAAGCCTTGACTGATACCCGCAAAGCTAAAGCTTCCGAATATGCGGTAGTACTCTTTAGGGGAAAAATGAATACCATATCCTTGTATTTATCTATCTATATATATACATATATATATATATATATTTCTATATATATTTCTATATATATATATAATTATCATCTCCGTCTTATGCAGCGTATAAACATATATAGATCAAGCAAAGCATGGATGCATTGGAGAAACAACATGCAGAAACCCTCGACCATTTGCAGGAAGAACTTGCGTCGGTGAAAGGCGAGTACCAAAAGCTAAAGTATAAAGCCAAGGTACAACCTAACGAACTAGTAGTAGTGGTCGTCCGGGCTGTAATTTCTGTATATTATATATATATATATATATATATATATTGTGCTGTTTTCAATGAAAAAAGAGCGAATTTTGCATGCGAATCTTGCTGTTTTGAATAAAAAAGAGAAACAAAAGTCGGCATATTTGTAGGATATTGCGGCACACATGAGCGATAAATGGGGCAAAAAGCTCGTCAAATTGTCGGCAGACAACGCCAAGCTCAAGACCAAGCTGGACGACGCGGCACTCAAAAACGCAGAGCTGCGACAGCGCGTCACAACGTATGCAGCATACAAGGACCAGGTACCCCTATATATATAAACAAATATATATATTTGTCGTTCGAATATATATGAAAATCCATTTCGACCGTTGTGCAATTCAAAAATATATAGATATATAAACATCGGTATTGGAGTATTTTTTACTCATAACTTGGACTTGTGTGTGCTGATGATTGTAGTTTTGTGCCAACACTCGATCGATTCGACTTTTGTCCTGAAGTTTGTATGGTCAACGTGTCCTTTCTTGATAGATATCCTCACACTAATTAAAATCACACACGAATGCGATGTGGACGTTATTGGTTTCCTGCAATCGGATTGGCTCAATAATATCCTTCCACTGACCGATGTTTGTGTACCAAATGTAGACAAATGGAAATATATATATATATATATATATATCTGAATCTTTTTGTGCACAGTGGGGCACACTGTGTGTTTTATTATTATTATTCTATTTATAATAAATATGTATAGTATTTGGATTTTTTTAAGTGTGTAGTCAAATTGAAATATATATATATCTGAATGTTGTGGTTAGGTGTCCGAGATGAAGTCGCTTGTATCATCATTGGAAACCGAGTTGACGGGCACAAAAGAACGACTTGATATGGCCAACGCCAAACAGCAGCAGCGCAAGCTGGAAACCACCGACGCCCAAGTACGATAGCCGCCCCATATCGGAAACGATATACATTGTCAACGGATACATGTATGTATTGGATGCAGGAGCTGGTGGAAGCCCACGAAAGCGAGATCAACGCGCTAGTGGCAGAGGTGGAAGCGGTGGCCAAGGAAACCGACGGCCTGCGCGCCCAACTCGCGAAGTCTATGGCCAAGATGACTGCGAAGGACGCGACCATCTCCAAGCTGCACGCGGCCGTCGCCAAGGCGGAGCAGGCCAACGCCCTCAGCTTTGACGAACTGGCCGGCGTCCGGCTGCAGGTGGCGGCACTCACGACACTCCAAAGAAACCAAAAGACCCTAGAGGCTAGCTTGCAGGTAAGGGTAGTTGCAGGAGAGAGAGAGAGAGGTGAGAGTGATGAGGGTGAGTGAGAGTGAGAGCGATTTGGGTTTGACATCCCATGATGTGTGTGTTGTTTACTGGAGTGTGATTGGTGTGTAAGGTGGTTGATTGTATATATATGTATTTATAGGTTATATATATATATATATATATGTATATATATATATATAGATTGTGTATATTCTCACTGAAACTCGACTCTCGTCTGGGGGAGAGATGATGTTTTTGGCCAATGAATATATATATATGTAAACTTCGTAGGATATGTTGGTAGAAATTATATATGTATACTTCGTTGAATATGTTCGTTGGAGTATATATATATGTATGTATGTATATGTTCATGTATTTCTTGGTAGGATATGTATTGGTAGGATTATATATATATAATGTATACATGTTGGTAGGAATATATATATATATATATATATATATATATATATATTGATGTATATCTTGGTAGGAAGCGCTCAAGTTGAAAGAAGACGAGTTGACAAGTGTGCGGGACCACGTCAAGGCGGTGGAAACTCTGAAAACCGATGCCGACAAGGACAAGATCAAGTTTGCGAGGGAAGTGGCGCTGGCTAAGCAGACACTGCAGATGCAAAAGCAAGTCGAGCAGTCGGTGGAGCCAACTAAGCCGTGCGAGCAGTGCCAAGTGCACCACCGACAGGAAAAGCTCCGCCAAGACAAGCTCCGTGAGGTAGTAACTAGTACTCGTCCTAGTACTACTAGTACATACTAGCGTGTTATCATGGAAATATATTGTTGTGATATGTAGGCGCGGGCGTCGTTGGCGAACAATGGAGATGGGGGAGGTGAAGTGTCAGAGCTAGAACGATACGAGTTGGTGGAGCTGCGCAAGAAGGTCAAGTGCTCCGTGTGCCAAGACGCCCCAAAGGAAGTGATGATCTCGAAGTGCTCTCATATGTTTTGCAAGGAATGCATGGAGAGCAACTTGAAGGCGCGCAATCGCAAGTGTCCGACGTGCAAGAAAATGTTTGGGCAAGATGATGTCAAGGGGGTGTACTGGACCTAACAAGTGTTTGGATAAATATATATATATATCCCTTGTACTATACTATTTTTTGCATAGTTACTATAGTTGTTCGAAGGCAACGAGGACGACGAGCTACGGATATGGAGACACTGTGCGAACTTCAAAAAATGAACGTCGTTTACTAGTTAGTATATTTACGATTCCATCTCAACTAAAAGTGTAAGCTATTACAAGTAGTATATACTTAGTATTTACGATTCTATCTCAACTAACAGTGTAAACTACTAGTAGTTAGTATTTCCCAACTAACAGTGTAAGCTAGTTAGTATATCCCAACTAACAGTGTAAGCTAGTTAGTATATCCCAACTAACAGTGTAGTATATTTACGATTCCATCTCAACTAATAGTGTAAGCTAGTTAGTATATTTACGATTCCATCTCAACTAATAGTGTAAGCTAGTTAGTATATTTACAATTCCATCTCAACTAACAGTGTACGCTAGTTAGTATATTTACAATTCCATCCCAACTAACAGTGTAAGCTAGTTAGTATATTCCATCTCAACTGAGCCGTTAGTTTTCTTGGAAGACAGATACGTGGTTGGACGCTACGACGTCGTCGTTGAGCTCGGCGACTTTGTCGAATAAGCCAAACTGGCCGCCCGTGTGCACAAATAGGATACTTTTCCCCGTAAACTTGTGGGGGGCGTCCTGCAGGTCCTTGACCAGCATGTATAGGGCTTTGCCAGAATAGACGGGGTCCAATAGCACGCCCGTGGTCCGCGCCACAAGCGAAATGTACGCGAGCTCTTCCTTGGTGTTCTTGGCATACCCCAGACCTTGGGCATTGCTAAAAGTTATAATGTTATATGACAGTCATGTTAGTAGTAGTAGTAGTATCGTGAAAAGGTCGACTAGTAATAGAGGACGTACGTCATTTGAAGGCAGTCGCGCGACGAAAACGATGGCGCTACTAGTGGTGGTGGTGGGGTTATTATTTGATATATTTGAATTGAATAGTAAAAATTTATTCGAAATATCAAATAACAATCACGGTAGTTTAATAGGTACTAACTATTAATACTAGTAAGTAGTTCAACGGATAAAGTATGAAAAGTACTATAATACCACTGGCTAGTACCACCACTAATCAATATGACTACTAGTAGTAATAGTAGTAGTAGTATAAGTAGTAGTAGTAGGTAGTACCTGTTCCAAGCCCCATGCCTGGCAAGATGACTTGATCGATGTGGTCGTAAAAGTAGGTCGGCGAGTCGCATACAATGTACGCGTGCACTACATTCACATACATGTTAAGCAATCACGGATACTACTATTAATAACACTATGACTAGAAGACCCACGCTAGTAGTACTAGGTGGCATACTAGTAGTCATCCCTCATAAATACACACTCGGGATTCGTAGTAAAATATGCCAACTACTATAGTAGGTTCGACTGGTTCTTACCCGGAGGGAGTTCGCTGCGAGTGAACTGGAGCGAGCTGTCTTGATGGGCTTGAGCGTACAAGTAGGCGCCGACTCCAATGCCAGCAGCCGAGCCGCCACTGCCACATGCAAATGCAATGTCCGTGATCGGTAGCTCCAGCTCCTAGTACAGTAGTAACATGTTGATATTTCAACAATTATATATATGTATACATGAGGTACCTCAATCTGATGCTCCATCTCTTCGATAGACTCCAAGTACCCCCAAGTACCTAATCCATTGCTACCACCCACGGGAATCCCGTACGGCTTGCGGCCTTGTTTTCGAAGTTTCTCAACGGTCTTCGCGATGAAGTAATCGCCGCCGCCCTGCTTGGCATACTCGCGGCGAGGCACGAGGATGAGCTCGGCTCCCACAAGCCTAATGCATGTGATGAGGATATAATACGATGAAGATGGAAAGGAGGACCGGTCAATGAGCAAGTTCCCCACGAGACCCGGGTCGGTCTCGGTGTCGCTTGTCCGAAGCAACAAGTACGAGTCCAAACCCATCATGCGCGCGGCCACGGCGGTGGCGCGGCAATGGTTGCTTTGGACGCCCCCGCATGTGACCACGCAGTCGGCGCCTTGACGTAACGCTTCCGCGAGAAGGAACTCGAGCTTGCGGGCTTTGTTGCCCGACATTTCAAGACCGCTGTAGTCCTACATCATTATCATAATATCGTAAGCATGCATGTCATATCCATAATGGATCGTGAGCGTACATCGCGTTTGATGAACATCTGGACACCGTCGGGCAACCCAGGCGGTCGAAATGGAAAGATTGGGGTCGGAAAGTTGCCTAGCACCACGCGCTCCGTGGGTGGATTCGCCAGGGCCGATGCCCATGTCGGCGGCGCGTATGACTCCGTCTTGAGGAAGGTCTTGTGGCCTGGCATGTAGATGCTGCTGAAGGCGGCTGCTGGTCGAGATGGCGTCCAACGACGAAGTGACGTTTGTCGGGCGACAAACATGATCGCCACTTTTTTGGGTACACGTCGTCATCCGGTATTCGTATCCGGATATGGTACATACACTTACGTACGTCGTACACAAAAACGTACGTTCGAATGTACGTTCCCCTATTGCCACCAGTCATTTCCGTGGCCAGCCAGCAAGTCATGATGGCGAGAGAGAGAGGAGTTAGGTCAGTAGTGAATTTGACGCGATGTAGTTACCTGTCAATCAACGGTCCGAAGTACTTCTAACTACATGAAGCTAGTTTTCGAACATTTGGCAGGGAAACCAACGCGGGCGGGAGCAATCTTGCCTGGGACGTACGCACATGGACTTGCCATTGCCACGCGAGCAACATGCCGGTGTCCCCACACGATTCTGCGCAGTGTGTGATTGATATATTGGATAGTGTACTTGCAGGCAAATCTGCCACAGAGAATCGAACTGCGATTTCGATTTACTGCTATTGTCTGCATATAGCAAGCGGTCTCAAATGATAGGAACCCAAGACTACTCTTTCATTAGTCATTGGAGTCGATTGGCACTAACATCTCTTTGATTAACACCTCGGTTATACTACCGGTAGTAGTCAGGCAAGAATTCCCAGCATAGAACACCCGTGCTAGGAGTAGTTGTATAAAAGTAAGTCAGCAATGTCACGCCCGCCGCCGTAGAGTTATTGCTCGACACACTGTACACTAGTGAGTGTTAGGCGGCAGACACTCAACAGCGAGGCAGTCTTTGATAGCTTTGAAGACCTCGTCGTAGAATCAGCTTACTTCGTCTCTCAGGAACGGGATACCATTTCTCATGAAGCTTAACGTTAGAACTGTACATTCTTGTGATTATACGTAAGGGCACAGTTCCGTGCCACGGCTTTGATAGGTCAATTCGGTCGATATTTGACCTATTATAGCCAATAGAACGCGTCTTTGAAATTCTGATACTGCATTTTTGCATCCGGATAAAATGGCACGGATTTGTTTTCAGCCTTTTGAATATTCAAGGCCATTTTACTTCCAAACTAATGCGAAATTCGATACAATTTCAAGTCACACAATCTGCATTTTTCCTCGTGATTATAAAACACTATTATAATAGCAAATTGGACGTCAGGAAGATCTCCAACTGAGGGCCTCTAAATGTGGCACGGAACTCAGCCCTTACGTATATTTACAGTTCATCGGCTTGAATAGACTTCAGTGTAGCGTTCATGTACACTGTAATATTTGCTCAAATAGTGTAAGTTCTTAGACTGGTATATTTGATTGGATCAAATTACAATCATATTGCTGGATTGGTCATTCTTTTGGCGAATCAAGCCGATTTAGAAAATATTCCGATTCTTGCTCGAATCGGATTGGACACAGGTTTATAGTATACCCAATCAGCTCGTAGACTTTAAAAAGCGTGCGATTTTGCATGTTCCAATTAATAGTAACGTTACAGTGATTGATGGTGAAGTAGTGTAAAATGAGGATTACCACAAGTACTTTCAACGCTCTACTACATATTAGTATTGTCTACTACGCTTTCAGTTTGCGCTGCTTGGTGTGTTTGGAGGGTGCTACAGCCTTGTCCACCGGTCGCTTCTTGGGTTGCTTGGTCTTCACAACCACCTCCACCGCCGGCACCACCTCCACCGCCGGCACCTCTTCGTCTTCCTTCACATCATCGACTTCCTTCACATCATCGACTTCGTTCTCGAGTCCTGACGACGACGGCATGAGCTTTTGCATCGACACAATGGTAAAGTCGACCAAGTACGACTTTTGCAGCATCCGCTCCATGCGCTGGAAGTGACGCTCAGTGTACGCAATCAACCCTTCCAGCAACTTGCCGGCGCCGTCCATCTTGGCCCACCGCGACGGCGGCACCACACGCAAGAGGCTAGCCAGTAGCAGCTGCGTCACTTCGCTGTGCTTGCTGTTTGTGTTCCAGTCGCGGATATACTCTAGCAGTTGGCGGAGGTGGTCGTTGCCGAGTTGGGCCACCACTTTGTCATACACTAGACCATCTTCCTCTCGTGGTTTGGCCATCACGGACTGGTCCTTGGGGCCTTCCTTCACATCGCGGAGAATCTGCATGAGTCGGAATGGGTGCTGGATCTCAAATGCCAATTCAATTGCGTGGAGATAATCGTGCGATCGAAGGCAGTTGGCCAGCTCCTGCTCCTTCAACACCTTCTTATCGCTCTCGATCTTGTCGGCGGCCATCTGTTCCTGCGTCAAGTCTTCCCAAAAGTGAATCGTCGAGTCGGCGCCGCCCGAGATCATCTCGGAGCTGTCCTTGGCCACAGCCAGAGCCCAAATCTTGTCCACGTGGTGGTCCAGCGTGGCTTCACACTCGCTGGTTTTGATTGTCCACAGCTTCACGAGGCCATCGGCGCCAGCCGACGCCAGCTGCATGCCCGCGCACACAAACTGCACGTTCAGCACGGACGCGGTGTGCCCTTCAAACGTTTTCACACATGAAAAATCCTTGACATTCCACAACTTGACCGTTTTGTCACTGCTGGCGCTGGCTAGACACTGGTCGACGGGGGAAAACTCGAGCGCCCAGATCCCGCGCTTGTGGCCGCGGCATACCCCCACGACTGCCAGCGTCGAAGCATTCCAGATCTTGATGAGCTTATCTTGGGACCCGCTCGCAATGAACCGATCATTGGGCGCCACCGCCAGCGCATTCACGTCCTTGTCGTGGGCCTTGGTGGCCGCGGCAGCGCTCAACGTTGTTGTTGATGTTAGGGAAGAAGAAGGCGAGGCGGACGCACGGGCCAGATGCCATAGCTTCATGGTCTTGTCTGAACTCCCCGTGACGAAAAAGGCAGACCCTGACGCGTACGAGTGCAGTTTCTGCGACACGGCGATGGACCCGAGCGACTCGGCGTGCCCGGCACCCACCGCCACACACCGCAGTGTCACAAGGTCCCATACCCGAGCGGTGCCATCCTTCGACGCACTCACGAGCCACTTGCCGTCGGGAGACACGGCCAGCGCCATCACAATGTCGGCATGTCCCGCGAGGAGGTCGCATGAAAGCGTGTGGCGATTCATCACGCGGATCTACATTCAGACCATCGGTTGATTGTCCACTGGACTATGCCCTAATGTGGCCCCATTCTCCTTGTAAAGCGAAATATATATGTATGTGTAGTCGAATAGATACTTGGAGGTCATGCACAATATCGATAGATGTCGACCAATCAAAACGCAAACACACGAATCAAGTGGCCAATCAAAAAACACAGAGTATTGTGAATTCGCTATAAACTCCCAAAACTCGCCTAGTTTGTCGAATCAACATTGAATCACACCGGAGATCTGATTGGTTGAATATACTCGTCCTTTCTGCAAGAGCCAATCAAATCCACTGAAAATTGGATTAGCCAATAGCGTCGATTCGTGATTCGATTCGGCGGCGAGATTCGATTCGACGGGGTCTGGAAATTCGTATCAAATCATCCATATCTCGCTCCTTCACCAATGGTTTAGTACTCAACATAGTACTCCTAGCTTCATTCATCCGGATAACCCCCACGAGCGAATCAACACTAATTTGTCAAAGTATTCAACATTGGCACCTCCATCATCACTCTTTTAGTACTACTAGTAGTACATACTACTAACGCATTCCTTCTATATTTACGTTTTAGGTATTTATACATGTATGGAATTCAGCGCAAGAAAAATTATTCGATATGAGAGAACTCGGGCCAAAGCAGTATGATTGGATAAAAAGAATGAAAGCTTCAACATGATTGGCAAAAACGAAGGAATAGCCGCAAAGAGACCTTTGAAACTTAGATATATATCACATTTCGCAGGTCCGGGCACACAATATATATTATCCATGATATATATTATGGATGGGAACGTGAAAAGACTACGTAGGCACGTGTGTTGTGTACCTGGTTGCTGTTGGTAGCTGCGACAATGCGGTCCGACAGCCCGTTGCCGTCGGCCGACGGCACGAACTTGAGCGACAGAATGTCGTCGTTAAATCCTATGAAAAATTAAATATATATTATTGCTAAATTCATCACAATGGTGGTGAAATTGGATGGGACGACGACGACGACGGACGTACCGATGATCTGACGCGTGCGGAGTAGCGTGGCTTGGTCGAGTAGCAAAAAATTGTGCTCGGACGTGACGGCCACCAGCTCGTTGCCTAGGTATTGGCACACCCTCATAAATACCCAAATACATATATATATTCGGCATCATATATATATATTCACAACGTTCACAGGCCCAACACTGTCCATTACGTACGAGCGGCGTTGACGAGGAGGTCGGTGTACGCAACATGGGGCGAGGGCGAGTCGTCTTGGTCGTGCGTAAGTGAGTTGTCGGAGGACTGCGAGGCCACCACGGAGCAGATCGCGCCCGAAGAGAGCTTCCACTGCTTCACGAGGCCCTTCTCCCCGGCGGTCGCAAATACAATGCCGTCAGAAGGCGGAGACGGCAGCACCACGAGACCTTCAATGGACTCGTGGGCCAGCACGGTTTTCACAAGCACTTGTTTGCGCAAGTCCCAAAAGTTGATCACTTTATCCCGACCAGACGACAGCAGTGTGTACCCGTCTACAGGCACAACATAAGTTGGATCGACATTTCACCTGGCTACGCTCGGCTACACTTGGCTGAGGCTACACTAAGCTAAGCCAGGCTTGGCTATACCTAGCTCAGCTCAGCTAAGCTTGGCTACACCAGGATAGGCTAGTGCTAAGCTAGGCTAGCTTCGGGTATACTTAGCTTCGGCAATGCTAAGCTAATCTAAGCTAGGCTACACCTGGCTAGAGCTAAGACGTACCGTTGGAGAAGGCGACCGTGGTCGCAGGACTCATGTGATCCTTGATACACCCGACTTCTTTTTGCGCCACCAGGTCCCACACTCGCACTAAAGCAAAATAGATCAATGGTCAAACGTCATCGATCGTATCCTCTTGTAGCAGACAATCTAGCTAGGTCGATAATGATACAACTGTTGTCCATTCAAATCAGACAAAGCACCCCAGCTATTCTTGACATATACAACACGCCAACAAGGGAAAGAAGGATAAAACGACTCTTACCGGTAGAGTCGTCGCTCGCCGACACGAGTTGAAGGCGCTTGGCGTCGGGGTGAAACTTGACCAGCGTCACAATCCCCGAGTGCTTTTTAAAGTTGTGTGTGACAAAGCCCTTTTCGATGTCGTACACTTTAACACATCGGTCGCTCGCGCCTGTAGCCACGAGTGTGCCCGTTGGGTCGAAGTCCATGCACAGAATCGGTACGTCGGTGGTCTTGATCGTGCGAATGCACGTGCGGGTCTCGAGGTCCCACAGCCGAAGCAGCGAGTTGCGACTTGCGGTCACGATGTGGTTGTGCTTTGGCCGCAGCGCAAAGCTTAGAATAGCCTCCTTCTCCTCGTCGAGTTTGTCGGCTTGCAGCGTAAACAGCAGCGCGCCGGTCGTGGCATCCACCACCGCCACGTCGTCCTGCAGCATGCACGCAAACGTGCTGCCGGCCTCGACGCCGGGACGCTGAGGAGACAACTGCACCTTGCCGCCGGTGTAGATGCCGGCATGCGTTCGGACTGGCGCCCAGCTCTTGGAGATCACGCTTCGCTTGGGCGCGTTCATGATCTTTCGTTGTTGCTCGCAGGGATTATTGGATGGCCAAAGGTCAATCGAACCGACCAATCAAATTCAAACTTCGAACTTCGATTGAGGAGGCTTTTGATTGGATCACTCGTTTACCACCATTATCCGGATGAACACTTATTCCAATTCCGATTGGCTGAAACGATGTTGTTCATTCGACACAATAATGGCCGACGAGGCGATGCCGCTGTATGCGATGGCCGTGGTGCACATCCAGCAGCAGGTGGATGAGTTGGAGTGTCTGGCCAGCATGTTTCCAAGTGACGATGAAATGCACGTCGATCCGTACGTGAAAGTGCTTTTCGAATCTGCAGCGATGTCTGCGACGGAGGCGTCGGCGACAATTGACCTCCCCCTAATCCACGTAACACTCTACCTCACGGTATACAACAACGACCTGATGATTCAACCCGACTCACGCCACCTTGACGAGACAGACATGCCCTGTGGACAACCACATCGCCGAACTCAAGCTGTCGTTCCCCAAGGACTACCCCACCGAACCGTTGGACGTCGAGCTCGTGTGTCCCACGTTACCCCGCGCAATCCGGACTTCTATCGCGGACGCGCTCGAGGAGATCGCTACGTCATGTGCAGGGGATGTGTCGACCCTCCAAATCTACCAAGAAGCCGTCGCACGCATCGAACAAGCATCCCATTCGTTCGGCGATGCTGCACTCGACCTCCCAACCATATGCCGCCCTCCCCCTCGTCCTGCCATCAACACATCCGAGATCGGTCGGCGGGCCATCTACTTTCACCACATCATCGCGCCAGGCAAGCGGCAAGTGGTCAAGGACTGGGCGAAGGAGCTCCATCTGGGCGGGTTCAGCAAAATTGGATGGCCAGGCGTGATCGTCGTGGAAGGCGTCGAAGCATTCGTGTCCGAGTATGTCAAGCGTCTGCAGCATCTTCGGTGGAAGCAGATGGTCGTGCGCGGCGAGCAAGTGGACATGGAGCGCAAGCTACCCAGTGGGTTGGTGGAGCTCACAGACATGTCGGACCTCGCCACGCGGTGCGCTGCCGCCGGACTCACGGCCCTGTTTCTTACGTCCATGAAAATATACCGATAACGAAGTCGGTAAAGCTAGACAACGGTGTCGCATGTACAGACTGAACCATGACAGGGGACAGTTTAGTAGGTGTTGGCAGTGCACATACTGTTGACATGGTGTCGTAGTACGCATATAGTAGTACTAACCAGGAGGTAGTAGACCTCGCTTACGTCGGGATGGAAGATGGACCTGTTTAGTGTGTCGTCTACATCAGTGACTCATATGCTGGTGCCCGCAGATATAGTAGTACTAGTAGTAAAGGACCGCCATTTACGTGGTTTACTTGTAGTAACTCGCAAGTTGTAGACATTTGAGATTCTCTTGGCCTCAACAACATACTAGTACATACTAGTAACTATTAATACTTCGAAGTACTACTACCGGTAAGGCCTACTTACTACCTACTGGTAGATAGTAGTAGATAAAAGGTAGTACCGACTACGTAGTAGTAGTTCTGTTAATAGTAGAATTGGCACCGACGAGATGGCTTTCCTTGAGCTGCACGCTGCTAACTAGACAGACCAAGCGGCTACAATTCATCCAGAAAGCTCTGTCCATTCCAGATCAGCACATTTGGAAGGTCTACATACGTCCTCGTGCTATGACGTTTCTTCAAAGAACGACGACAGCCGCATCGGGGACGTGCTGCGTTTCTTGCTGCTTTTGCTGCTCTTGTGCTTCTTCTTGTGCTTCTTTTTCTTGTGCTTGTCGTTCTCGCTCGACGAAGCGTCGTCGTCGTCGTCGGACGAGTGGCCGTGCTTTCGCCGCTTCTTGCCCTTCTTGCTGCGCTTCTTGAGCACTTTTTCCCGCTCCAGGTCGAGTTGCCGCCTGTACTCGAGCATCTCCTTCTCCTGGCTTGACGCGCTCAACGCGAGCTTGTCCCCATTCTCCTTCTTGAACTCTTCCCATGTCGGTCGATTCGATGGACCTGCTAGCTTATCCGCCATGGACATCTTTTCTTCCTGACCCGTCAGCATCCGCACGAACGCATCCATGGTCGCAGACTTAGCGCCGACCAACGCGGCTTCCGCCGACACAGGCGGGTGGTCCATCTGTCCTGCCCGTATCGCCCGCTGTCGCTCAAAGCGGTCGTCGTCGATTACCCGGTCCTTCACTTGCGTGTAGTCCACGCCAGACGACCGCTTGAACCCGTAGTTCTCGTCGCGATGCTTCTTGCTGCTCATCGCTCCAATGGCACGCTCGGCACACAACGCTTTAGATATCCGGATAAAACTTCCGGATACACCACCCCACAAAATGGAACAATAAATAAATAAATGAAATTCAGCTATTTTGCCAAAATTATGCGAAAAACAGCAAATCAACCGCCTACAAATCAACTTGTCAAGCAAGCTATTGGGCATTTCACCCAAATTTGGACTTGCGAGTCATTTCACCAAATATAGCATTCGATTCCATTTGATCGCATTTAAGCTTGTACAAACGATGTCTAACAAAGATTAGTAGTATATATGTGGGTTTGCCCCATGCAGAGGAAGTGGGCCGAATCAAACGTTTGGATTGGCAGAAATTTGACATGACGTGATTTGATTGGTTTAGGCAGTTCTTTAATCCATTCTCGTAAGACATTTGATTCTGCTGAGGGCTCCAGTATCGAATCGAATAGACAATATTAGTCCTGGAGGCAGCACTATACAGCACCAACTTGTGCGCAGAACTATCAAAGGAATCGGGTCACGTGGACTTTTGATTTTACACAGGCACCAATGGACTTTCACCATGGGAATTCCAGGTATATATGCATATCTCCATGCCTAGGCGTCACAAGGATTGGAAAGAAATATTTTTTACCAATTGACAGCGGTTTAAACGCTAGTAGTACAGTATTTAATTGTAGCCATTTCGAGGGATAAGTATTTACTTCAAAGTAGTTGTCCATTAGGGTTAACATAGTATTCTTGCAGCTTTATTAATCAAGAATTGTCAATTACTTTTGATTGTATGCATTATTAATACATACAAAAGATAATATTGTGGATTCGATACGAATTTCCAGACCCCGTCGAATCGAATCTCGCCGCCGAATCGAATCACGAATCGACGCTATTGGCTAATCCATTTTTTAGTGGATTTGATTGGCTCTTGCAGAAAGGAGACAAGCATATTCAACCAATCACAACTTCCGGCGTGATTCAATTTGGACTACTGTAGACAAACCAGGCGAATTTTGGAAGTTTATACTAGCGAATTCACAATACCTCGAAGTATTACTATTAATAATTATTGTTGTTGTTGGCAGAACATTGAAATATTCAATTGGATCTCGCAAACAAAATTACACTCCATAATGGCAAGTTTCCCACGCCTTGCAATTCATATTATTTTGTATGTATTTGTCAATTATTATACTTCAAAATGCCTATTTTTTTTCCCATACACGTATCCTGCCCATGCCCCAGTAGTAGTACGTACAGTAATACAAATCTCCTTATTTCATGGTAAACTCCTTGACCTCCATGTTTACGAGCACAAAGAGCGCTTCGTGCATGAGGTATCGGGACGGGTACAGCGGCAGCACGATGCGGTTAAAGCACGTGTGGACCTTGGGCAATGCGCCTTTGGTGTACGGCACGCCTTTCAAATTAAACGGGCACAGCTGGCCGTCGTTGCCCGTGAGCGCGCGGAAGCCCTGGAGGGGGACGCGGGAGCTGCCAGTCGTGAACTGCAGCAGCTTGGCGCGGTCGTGGGGTTGCATGTCGCGCTCGACGACATCCCAGAACCATCCTAGTGCTGGGCTCGCCGTCAAGTCGGGGGTTGCCACCGTCTCAAACTGCCACTCGACAATGTTGATCTCACTCGTGCCGCACAGTATGAGCTCCAGCTCCTTGTAATCAAACCGAAACATGACGTCGGGACTGAGCACATCGTAGAACCCGCGGACGACAAGCGCCAGTGGGCCTTGCACCGCGTCCAGCAGCCAGAACCGCACCAGCGCTGCCACATACTCGGCCTGGTTGGCCTCTGTCACAGCCACGTCGCTCCCCCCTTGCATCAACTCGACAGACGTTCCATCGGGCAGCGTCCATGTAAAATCCAGCGCGAGCGCGCCAACATCGGCCGTGTCCCGCACATACACGAGCGACGTGTACGTAGTTTGGTCAATATACCTGATGTCTTCTATCGATACGGGGTAGCCCAGTAACGTCTTGAACAGCGGCACCGTGAGAGAGAACGGCAGTACTTGGCCATCGATGATCGCCCGACCCAGGAACCGCCCAAGCACGACAAAGTGCATGGGGTCGGCGTCGTACTGCGGGTTGAGGCCGAGGCTTCGGTTGTCGTGCTCGATAAACAGCCCATTGTCCAGAAAGGCCTGCGACAGGAGCGAGTACCACTCCCGCTGGACGCCGCCGGCATCGACGCCTTCCTCGCCTAGAAACACGACCTTGGTCTTGGACGCGGCTCGAATCTCGACGAGCGCCGCGACCGATTCGGGCCAAACGGTGTCTCTGTGGATTTTGATCTTGGTTACACTTGTGACAGTGTGCGTCCAGTGGATTAACGACGTGGCAAACTTTTCCTGGAACGGCACCACACTTGGCACTCCCGTGTCGTCAGCATCATTGAGAAACCACGACGACAACAACGTCTCGCCGCTCAGTGTCGCAGCTGCACTCGTCTCTCGCGTCAGAGGCTGCCACGTCAGACAGTGGCAGGCGTCGTCGTCATTGTCTGTGACGAGGTTGGACGACGCAATCACAAAAAAGTAGTCTGCGCACGTAGTAGCGTGAGTAGGCCGTTGCTTCCACATGGCTACATCGTCGACGTGGTCGAATGTGCGAACCCACTGGTTTCGAGCCCTACATATAGTACAAGAGATGGGGTGGCGGTTAGTTGGTGGCTAACTAATAAACGTGTTAGTAGATAGTACCACGCACTGTGCTGGACGGCGTTGAGGTCACTAGGGGACTCGAACGACGTGCCTCGGTCGGATTCACACAGCATACACGCGCCTTTGTCGGACGGCGAGTCAAACCAGCAGATGCCACAGCGCCACAAGTGCTCGGACCTAGTTGGAGTAGTCATAATATTTATATAAATAGAAATTAAAATAGTTATGAACACATATTGTCGATTCAATCGAATGAGTAGCACCAAATCGGCAGACAATCGATATATCGACCAATCATAACCCAGAACACGAATCAAGTGGCCAATCAAATCCACTCGTCGACCAAGTCCACATTGAAATAGTGTGTTACTTAAATTAGTGTGACACTGGACGAATTTTACATGATAAAAGTCAAAGAATCGAACGATAGATTTGGCAAAACGTCCAAATTTTGGGTAAAAGGGGCAATACTAATGCGTCATCAAACGACGCTACTACTACTCGTTACTAGGAGTATTGTCAAGTTGATTCGAAATTGGAGTGGGGTGGTCGAAGCAGACAATCGATCGACCAATCAAAACCCAGAACACGAATCAAGTGGCCAATCAAATCGACTCGTCGACCAAGTCCACATCGAAATAGTGTGTGACTCTCAATTTTGTACGCTTTTTCATCGATCGATCGATAGGTATGGCGAATCAGCACAAAAGCAAATCCAAACTCTTGGGTCAAAGGACTCTAGTCACGTACTTGTTGTCGATGTCTTGGCGCCGCCGTCCCAAGCTAACAAGAGGTAGAATGTGGTGAGTATATATATATACATGATCTAAATGAGAAAGCGGTTGACTGACTTTTGGTACTCGGGCTGGAGTTGGCGAGGTGTGTCGGTCGTGAGCGGGGCGTTCGGGTAGTTTGCGGACACTTCGGAGCACACTTTAATGCAGAGAATCGCACATCCAGCAAAGACACCAATGGCGCCCACGACGATGAGAATCGCGTTGATGGTCGAGTTGGACGAACTGCTGTAGCTCGACGAAGAATCGTACGAGGACGATGGCGGCGGGCCGAGCGTTGGCACGTAGTTCCTGTACTCTGCAGCCCGCCGTCCAGGGCGGGACATCGTGCTGTTGTCATGGACGTATCCCTTTGATTTGAGGTAGCACGTGCCAGAGCCAGTCACGCCATTCTTTGTCCACACAGTGTCGTTGTACCATACCCACGCTGCGCAGCCATACGTGGCGGCACAGTCGCTGCAACAGGCCTCGGCGCGAGATTGAAGCGTCTTGGCTAAATCGTACCAGCTCCCGCCAATGTAATCCTTGTTTTCCATGATAACGCTACATTGGGTTGCTCGGTGCACAAACCCTGCTCGCTTCCCGAACGATCGACTGCGTGTGCCCTGCAGCGAATACTTGAGCCAGCACGTGCCATTGCTCCACACGAACATGACGCAATTCGGCGTCAACGAGCAATCGTTGCAGCAATCGTCCGCGCGAAACTGGTTGGTGGAGCGGATGTCGTTACCATAGTAGTCGATGTCCTCTTCAATGGCCGAGCATTGGTCCCCCTGAGCGACGGCAGCCAGCACAACTGCTACAAGGGTCAATATCGCCGCCTTCCATGGCTTCATCAAAGGTAGATAGATGAAAGGAATTTGGTCAAACCAGCCAAGGACACCGCGAAGTACTGTACCGGTAGATGCATCCTCGGAGCAATGTGATGCTCTACTCCGGATAATTGACAGATAATTCCGGTTACGAGGGACGTAAGGTAACGTAATAACGTTACAGTAACGTCATCGAGCTTTGCAATAAGTAGTCGCTCAAGATATTGTCACAATGCACTGAATGCTTGAATAGACTACCACCCCATATACTACTATATGTACCCCCCGCTTCAGTACCTATGAAAATGTTAGTGAAATCTAAACTGGTACAGCTCCAAGCTTGAAAACTATTCAGGCATGCGCATTGGTCTAAATTCATCCCTGTACTGATACTTCATTGGCTAAAAATAATCAACGCGTCAGTGATTGGATATTTCTGTCCAATTAGAGACAACTCCCAATCGGAACCATGAAATTGTTCGTCATTGGCCGATATGCTCCAAACCGGTATAACAAGTACTAGTAACAGTTAATAACAGGCATATGATGGTGAACTGAACGTTTCAGTTATTCCAGGGCCTGGTCACATCGTCGTCGTACTATATACAATGCAACAATGTTGACTTATCCAAACAACACACGCTTGAAATGGTCGCCAAATTGGGTGCCGCCCACTTCGTCTTGGCCCTTGATGGTTGCGTAGAGCACCAGCTGGGCCTTTTCGACGACAGTTTCCGCCAAGTAATAGTTGCGCTGGCTGTCTTGGGCGTAAAAGAAGAATTTGTACTGGGGCCCCACATCCCCCGCCGCCATGGTCAGGATGCCGTGGGCGCCGAACGCGCGCTCAATGTCGCCTTGCGCTGGAATCGCCGGCATCTTGAGCTGAATCTGGGACACCACACGCAGCGACCCCCACAGGTTTTGAAACGTGGCGGCATCCATCGACGGGTTTGGGGTCAGCTGAAACGCGGCTGGCGGCGGCGCTGTCGTCGTTGGGTGGGAAAAATCGAGCATCCCGAGCAAGTCAACTGCCGCCGCGGGTGGACGGGGCCCGCCGTGGTTGCCGTAGGGAAGAGGCGGCTGCACGTGGGGTTCATCTTCCTCGTCTTCGTCTTCGTCCTCTTCTTCATCATTATCACCACCGCCAGCATTCGATTCGACATTCAATCGCGTGATGAGATGCGCGGCCGACACGAACGTCTCGCTGGGCTTGGTGTACACAACCGCGAGTGTGTTGAACTCGCGAAAGAGCTTGTCCTGCAAATCCGTCTCGACCATCTCGGCAAATACATCGACAATGTCGGGCTCAAACTGGCGCACAATCTGCGCCGCCGTGTTGACATCTTGCGACAAGAGCCGGTAGTAAAACAACGCCCGGTCCTTCACGTCAATGTTCTACGAGCAACCAACCATAGGAAGTGGGTCAGTGATGATACTGTTTTGCTTTGCTTGTAGGTGGAATACTTCGAGTTCAATATATTATATATCTGTCTATATATTATACATATTTCAATATATTATATATATTGCAAGGCGATAAAAGCAGTCACATGCCAGGATGATGCACGATCATACGAAGAGAAAACACTCATACACACACGGTCTCGGCAAGCCACCAATGATGAACCACATGCGACAAATTTCTTTAAACGATGGACAGGGACGACTGCATCATGTTCACATATACTACGTATATATATAATATATATATATGAGCCAACACGATTTTGTATATATATATATTATATATATACGATTTTGTATATATATATTATATATATATTTGGGGACATATTTTTGGCGTAAGAACACGATCGACACTTTAACCTTCTCAAGACAATTCAATAAAAAACACGAAAATTTACAACAACATCATGCATGTCATCACATACATACACATACAACGATGGATTTTAATAAGGCACACTGAAGTTTATGGGTGTATCCATGTATTGTGGCCAATCAGAGTAAGGTAAGTTAAATCAGTTGGTTTGATTTGTCATTGAAATCGAATTTCGAAGTATATAGACCAATCAGAGTTAAAATATAGAATATACTTTGATTCAAAGCGTGGCTTCAAATACACAAACATAATAGGGAAAACTTATATCACATAGCAAGAGATCGCGAGTCTTCACGTACACGTTGGGATTCATCCATCGCGGCTTGCAACAGACGTCCAAGCATCGATTGCATCTCGGGAGGACGCTTGAAGAACAGCTTGAGCGACGCACTGAGCAGTTCCAGGAGCACGGACGGCGCGATTTCATCGGCAAAGGAATCGATCAGGCGCTCCAACACGTACGGTGCACGGCGCAAGTCCTGGCCAAACTCGCCGAGCATCCAAATCACGGCGCATTTGGCAGGGGCGTGGTCGACTTTGGGGATGATGCGGGGCAGCACGTCGAGGACGTCGTCGACTTTGTGGGGGAACTTGCGGAGCAGATCCTTCATCACGACGAGCGTTTCATCGCGCACATAATCCAAGTTCATTTCGAGGAACTCGACCATCGTGTCGACGATCTGGTCGTGCATGGCGTCCAGGCCTTCGTGGCCAAAGCTGTTGCCGATGGCGATCTGCGAGATGGCTCGGACCGCGCGGCGGCTGAGCTCTTGATCGACGTCCGTCACGTACTCGCTCAGCTCCATGATGATGTCTGCGACGCTGTGGTTTTCTGCGATGCCGCTGAGGATGTCGAGCTTGACATACTTGACATGGCTGGGTTCGTTGTATCGGATGTAGAACTGGCGGTAGTCGGGGGAAAACACTCGGGGGTACTTGCCCACCATGAGCAGAATGTGGTGCAGTACGCAATAGTTAAGTTCGTGCGATCCCCCCGCCATGAGCGTGAGCATGGGCTGCCGCATGCGCTCAAACACTTGGGTGTGGACCTGCGGCATCTTGTCGGTGAGGTTGAAGAAGCATTTGGCCGTGCCGAGCACCACCGCCGAGTTGGACACGCGCAGTTGCGGCTCGAGAATGTTCATGATGTTGAAGATCTCTTCCTCACTGGACGGACGGTACGTGCTCACGACGTGGAGGATGTTGCATTGCCCCCACTCGTTAAACTCGGAGATGCGCGTGAGCAAGTGCAGCACGATCTGCTGGTTCACGGCGATCCCGCCCTCGTCCGCCATAATCTCGTTGAGCGCGACGAGGCAGTTGGACACGACCTGCGGGTCGCGGTCGCGGATCATGTTGTACAGCGTGTCCACCATCTCGCTGTCCTTGATGAGCTCCTTGTTGAGCGAAAACACCTTGAGGATGCCGATTACCCCCGTCTTGCGCACGTACGCACTCGTGTCGGTAAGCGAATGCTGCAAGGGATGAGAATGAGATGGAGGGAGGTGATGTGTATGTACCTGGAGGGGTTCGTGGATGTACTCGAGCATGGTTTCCAAGCGAAGAGAACAGAGGGAGCGAAGCGCCAAACCACGAACAAGGGGGTCTTCGTTCCGACTAAGGAGAGAAAGTACATGCGATGAAAACAGCAAAGGACGGGGATGACGTGGGATCGAGGACGAGCACGTACCAGTCGGTCAAGAGGGTGTTGATGCACAAGATGGCCAAGTCCGCGTTCTTGTTGGCGTAGTTGGTCAGGTAGTAATACACCATCTTCTTGGTAATGATGTCCTTGGTGTCGACGCACATGACGATCTCGCTGAAGATGCGACTCACGTCGATGCCCAACGTCATGTACGCAATCACTTTCTTGATGATCTCTCGCTTCTTCTTCGAGTCGCGCTCGACGGTCGAGTCGCGCAACAGCTATATATTCGAGCAGGAATCGGACGTCAGGGTCATCGCCTACATGCAGGGCATGGAGGCTGATATCATGCCACGTACATTCTTAAGCTCGTTCACTTCCCCTTTCTTCTTGTCACTAAAGTAGCTAGGATTGCCCTTGGACGGCGGAGGAGCGGGGGCGGACATGCTGCGTGGCCTTGGTGCTTGTGTGGCTGCCTTCGTTTAGGGTGACGTCGAAGATTTTGACACCACGTAGCGATCAAAATATCTCCACTTTTCTACCAAAACGCTCGAAATAAACCCTTTTATGGAAATATTCTGAAATACATGGTCAAAATATTCCCAAAATGATGGTACTGCACGTTTCTACTATTAATAGTATTATCCTTTTGATACACGTTGTATTTTTTTATAATTATCCTACTATTAATACCATGAACTGTACTATTTTAATAGTACAGTTCAGGTTAATACTAAGCTTACCACTTCTACTGAAGTATTTTAATACTTCAGTAGTAGTGGTAAGCTTAGTATTATAATGTTTTATTACTACTTTTAAAAAGTAGTAATAAAACATTATAAAAAGTCAACTTTTCATGTCTTGCAATATTTGTTCTGCCGAGATATATTATGTGAATGACACGATTGTTGCCGTTTATACTGTACACTGCAAGCAGTACGTAATGCTGCATGTGACCTTGTCTACCAACTACTGTACAACTACCGGTACAGTAAGTTACTGCAGGCGGTGGCTGCACAAGTGGACATCATGTTAGAGCCACGCAAAGCCTCTTCCAGCAATCACTGACTGCGGTAGCAAATCCAATGATAAGGACAACGATGGCGAGCAACACTGCTAGTATTACAGTCAACCACACATACATGGAGTAGTGGAGAATCAATCATATGCTTGTTCGTGCACAGTTCCTAACGGCGACGCTTGGGGCTACACACACACAAGATATCTGGTCAAGACGACCTGGTTGACTGTGGTGCTTTCAGTACCGCAAGTTCTTGGTCGGGAATCCCGTGGGGTCTTCACGGATCATTTCTGTGGTGTTGTCCAGCGAGTCTGGCAGCGGCAGGCCGCGCTCGACGCGCTTGCGTAGCCACAAGCGAAGGGAATTGAGTTGCTCGTACGACCGGAGTGTGTTGTTGATCTCTTCCAACGACTGCCAACAGATTTCGTCAATTATTCGGTAGGAAATCTCGATTAAAAGGGGGGAAAAACCACACAACACGAACCTGGCCGACTTTTTCCGACACTATTCGCTTGACCTTGCCGTTGATAAGCGCCGGGTTTTCGCGGTGGGTTTGCTCCATGGCTTCCATGATCTGCAAACTTGCCTTCATCTGCTGGATTTGAGGCATCGAAGACACCCCTGGCATCATGGACTTCCATCCAGTCACACCGCCCGCTTCCGCTTGTTTCTGCAACCATGATGAGTGTGTCGGCGGCGATCGAGATGAGCGTACAGATAACGTACCTTCATTTGCTCAAAGTGATCCTGAAGGGTGTACGTCTTCGAGTTGGCCAAGAAGTTGATCTGGTCCACGTATGCCTGGGCTACACACACCACGCATCAACACGCGTCGATGGGTTTCTCTGCTCTTTACCATTCTTGTCGTTCTTGCGCGTTTCCAACCGGTGCGAGATGTTGTCCTTGATGCTTGAGAACACACTCATCTTGCGCACTTGGAAGGTCTGGGCATGGAACACTTCCGCCGCCGGCTTTGGGCGCAGTGCCACCACCGCAAACGATCGGACCGCCGCTCGCAACGCCATTCGAATCAAACCAATCAGTAGATGGAGATAAAGTACGTCGCACTCTCGAACTTTACTCGACTATATTCTATTAAGTACGAGTGTAGTTTTGGGTCGAGTTTCCAACTTGTCACGAATATCAAATGTCCATCGTGATACGCTTAGCCAGCAATCAGTAAGCACTATATCCGCGGCCTTCATGTATTTCCTCTTCAGAATTTGCGCCGATATAAAGTACGGTAACGTTTAACTGGGCTGTTTGGTACTATTACGCAGTGCAATAGCAGCAGCCGCCGCCGCAGTCTCGTTGAGTTCGTCCATGTGTATTCGGTTTTCCCAGTCGTCCCATCCACGTTGCACCAGCCCAGAGATCAATTGACCTAGGCCTGCTTGCAAGCACTGGTTATGGCACGCGACCAACACGGCACTCGATCGCACCACGGCCTCCTGCTCGGCCTGGCGTTTCTGCAGGGACAGCATTTGCTTGAGCATCATCATTTGCAGGAGTTGATCACACGAGTCCTACAACTGTCGTTAGCGACAACCTCGTACGTACAACTTACCTTGAACGCCAAGCGATCTGCTTTTAGGGCCAACAACTCGAGCAGACCTCGAAGCATGGCATGGTCGAGAAGGCTGGCGGACGCAGTATCGGATATCAAGGCACGTTCTCGTCGTTGAATTCCTTGGTTGATGGCAGTTTGAGCGAGCGCAACTTCCGACGCGACGACGTCGACCAGTTGGCTTTGCATGACCTACAACCATTATCTATATGTGACACTGTACAGTCATATCAAAATAGCCGTAACGACAGTACGTCGTGCAACAATGTGTCGAAGAATGCATCAAGTTGTATGTCGTGATGGATCGAAGCGGCTGTTTCGGCGATGATTTGATGCATCCAAGTGTCCAAGAACGCGTAATGTTGTTTTGCCGTCAAGTACTGGTTCACCAAGTCGTCCACTCCTAACCGTATCACGACCACCATCGTCGTACGTACATATATATATATATGTGTAATAACATTCAGTACTTATGTATATATGTACTTATTGTTAATGTTATGTTTATTCTACTAATAAACACTGGAGCGACATGGAGACACAAAACCAAATAAATGGACACAAGAATCGGCAGAAGAATCGAGCCGCAGGAAAGCATCACTAATTAGTGTGTGACTGAAATTAGTGTGAGTACAATCCCTTTTTCACATTCAAAATTCAAAATTCACAGTGCCAAGAGAAGAATCAATCGATGGATTTGGCGATTCAGGACAAAGTCGAAATTTTGGGTAAAAGGCAAAAAAGCAGAATGAAGCACACATACCCTCGACGACAATCTCGCGTAGAAATGGCGCTATCCAGTCGTGGACAAACAAAGTAACCAGTCGTAGCCATGGATGTTGAAGTTGTTGGGTTGTGGTGGCTTGCATGATTGCATCATTCGTTGCTGCTGTGAAATACGCTGCCACAAGACGATCGACAGTTGCCTGCATGACAAGTTGTGAGGTCGCTATAAGTTGATCTGTGGAGGAGATACCGTCGCGATGTCCCGGACGTTGTCAAGCACAACTTCTTGCACAAGTGCATGGTAAAACTGGTGCATGGCTTGCACTTCCACGGGATGCGGCTACCACACAAATGATCGTCCATATTATTACTAGTACTACTTGATTACTGAACCACACAAATGTACCGTATACTCGTCGATTCCAGTAGTAAAGATATCGATGAGGAGGTCTGGAATGAACTCCAGTTGAATGAAATCGCCCACCAACCGTTCCATAATGTCGAATGCGATCGCGCGTTGTGACACCTTTATCGCTTCAACGTGGCGCGTCAAGAGCATTCGTTTTTGGCGGAAGTGGCTATATCTCGTCTGTGCTTGCTTGGACTGTGACTTGATAAACCTTGACACGCCTGGAATGGGGAAGTTACCTGTATGACTTTAGCCGCCCACTCACGGAGAATGTGATACGTGCCGAGATGAGCCAGCCGTGGATGCTTTATGTTTCGACGCGACGTCACTTTCGTCGATGGGAAGTTGTGGTTGCTGGTTGATCGAACTTGTACACTCGGAGCCAAGCGAATCATGTCGTCTGCTTGTTCATGACCGTCATCGAACCGAGGCGCCGATGATTTCCACTGCATGGAGCTTGTCACGACGCGTGAAGAGCTTTCGACGCAGTGTCGATTCTTCATAACTTGATCTTCCATCATACATTCCACGACTGTATCCATGGTCGAAACGACGTGAACCAATCCGATGGCTCTATTCAGTGTACCAATCAAATCATAAGAAAAGAACTGATTTCTACCAATGATTGTTTAGTTGCTCCATGACATTCGGACGCCGCCAACACAAAGACATCGCAATGATACATTCATTGTACCGGTACAGTAGCAGCGATGCGCCAGTCGCCGTGGCTTTGCGCCAGGGCCATGTATCCTGCAAATTCGAATCGAATGGACGCAAGATCAACTTGATGTACTGTACACTGTACACTGTACATGGTGCCAATCAAAAGTCGTACAGTAATGTATCAAGGCCTCCCACACGACGGAGTAGCCTGCTGTGGCGGCGAGATTGTGAGATCCACTGGTTCTGGCGACTTCGAACGAGCACGCAAGTCAGGTCTTATTCTACAAATATGCGGTTGAAACTTTACCACATATTTGTATAATTCTTTCGACTATTTGTAACTATAAACCAACCGCACGAAAACGATGTCCAAGGCGTTCCGTTTTATGGCTCCGCACATCCCAACCCATCCATCAACGTCCAACAGCAGGATGCAGGACTTACCCATTCTGAGAGTCATCGGCGCAGTTGCTTATATATCGCCATGCTGCCATTGCTCTTTGTGAGAGGGAGAGGTAGAGGCGACCTTGGGACGTGCAGCCACCACTGTCCTCTGGGCGGAGAACATTATGACATGCGATTTTGATGACTCGGAGGATACACAGTCCATGAGACGATGTGGCCGAAATCGAAGCGAATCTATTGGTGTTGCTGGCTCTTATTGGTGGGAGGTGTCATTGGTGTCGGTGTTCTAGCCAATCAAACGCAATTATTAAACGAATTTTAATGGAACTCGTCACGGATTGGTGGGAAAAAACGTTACACCCGCCTTCGAGCGTCGCAACTTCAAGAGGCCGGTCAACTTCAACTGAGCAGGTCGTGCGTTGATTGGCTGAGCCACCCAAAGAAAAATCGGTCATTGGCAAGATCAGTTGTGAATTCAACAGCTTCCCAACAACAGCAGCATACGTCCACCATGTACGGCCCGACGTCGATTCTGTCCTCCGCGGGGATGGGTCCATCCATAATGCCGTCGACGCCGCTGCGTGCATTGACGTACAACGTGCCGTCCACCGTCATCTTGCTCGACTGGGACGACACGCTTTTCCCGAACGCGTACCTGGCGAAACAGCGATATACGCTCGACGACGTGCATGAACCACTGTCCACGCAAGATCAGATTCTCATGGAACTCCTGATGCAACACGTTACCACGTTTCTCAAAGCTTGCGTCGATGCGAACCGCACCGTGATGATTGTCACGAACGGAGAAGCCGACTGGGTCGAGCGCTCATGTAAACGCTTCATGCCGGCGATCTACCCGTTGGTCGCATCCTTTCGTATCATGTCGGCGCGGGCCAAGTATGAAAACACATATCCCATCGAAGAGTGGAAAGTGGCGTGCTTCACGTCTGAGCTGACCAAGCACTTCGTTGGGGACATGACCGGTCGCCAGCGTCATATCGTGTCGATCGGCGACTCGCACTACGAACGCCAAGCTGTGCAAATGATGCCGTCATGCCTACCGCTGACCAAGTCCAAGTCGGTCAAGTTCGTCGACTACCCTTCTATCCCCGACATGGTGCGACAGCTCAAGCTCGTGTCGACCTATTTATCGCATTTGTGTACCCACCCTGACCACCTCGACTTGATTCTGTCTCGCGAGATCCTCCGGGGCGTTGTCATCTAAACCAATCTAAGTAATATTATTTATGCACTGCATTCTTATCCTTCTAGTGCATCAGGCACGGAAGCACGACCGAGAACTTCTTGTCGACGGCGTAACTCCGCTGCAAACACCTAACCATGCCTCCAACCATGAGCCCAATCATCCTCATCACACGACCATCATCCTACTACCTCGCAAGAATGGAAGAACTCTTGGTTGTTGGCCAGTCCCAGCGCTTCAAACGTGGCTGGCTGGGAGTCCTTGATACCTACACATATGTCACATATCTCCATCCCCTGTTCACATATATATATATATACCATGCATGGCCTGTAAGAACACTGCGACCTCGTCGATGCTGTCTATTCGACTGTAATAGTCCTTGTCTTCTTCATCATCTAAGTCGTCACCGCCCTAGAACCGACATCATCCATAAGCAGCTGCCCATCCCCCCCATTGGTACAGTCTCCATCTGTTGATGATGTACCTTCAGGTCGTGGAGGACATGCGCATAGTCGTCGTCGTTGTGCAGCATCAAGTCGGCATCTTCGTCCGAGTCGTATCCGCCCTTATGGATCAAGGCCTGGAGCGACTTGTCTGCCGGCGGGAGGTTCGCGGCACTCCCTCCATGCGCCGCGGCTTCCTCGCGCGCCAGCTGCTGTTGGGTCCGCGCGATGATTCGGTGCAACGACTGAATCGCCTTCCACACCAACATTTTCAACGCCCCCTACATTCACTCTGGATTTTCAAATTTTTGCGCGCGCGAAGAAGTTGTGTCATGTCGAAATTGGACACCAACGAAGCACAACCTGCACGGCGACGGGCCAGTCGGCGGCGGGCCGTCCAAGCAGCGCCACGACGCCAAGGACATAGATCTTTTGCTCGCTCACGGACGTGCGCATGTCGGCGTTCTTGTCGAGCGCGTTCAGGATGGGCTCCAGCACCTTCATCTTGTCCAGGGCTGCAATGGTGAGCGTGGGATTGTATCGGAGGGCGGCCAAGAGCGCCGACAAGAGCTGCGTGAGCGGGCGCGGGTCGTCCACGGCGGTGCGGCTGATGCGAAAGCAGAGCAGCTGCAACACCGCAGGAATAAACACTTCGACGCCGTCGCAGTTGTGCAAGACGCATTCGACGATCGCGCTCGCGCCCCATACTTCTTCGTCGTCCACGTGTTCCTTGTGCAGCAGCTTGCGCACGAGGTTGTACACGAGCTCAATGTACCGAATACGCTTGGTCGTGCCATTGGCCAAGTTGACTTGAAATACGGCCGACACGAACCCCGCCGCATCGCGCCCAATCAGCGAATACAACACGACCACGAGCTGGTGCATGTACTCACTGCCCCATAGATCGGCGCCGCGAAACAGCGTCGGAAACAGCGCCCATACCTTGGGATGAATCGCCGCGCTATAGTACGCAATCGACTTGACAATGTCCAGGGCCGACTCGACAAAGTCCAAGTACGCGTCCGAGCTCAAGAGCAAGTGCAGCGTCGGCAAGAGCGCGTCGATGAGCGGCTCAAACAGCTCGGCCTGGTTGTAGATGCTCATGAGGATCGTGTTGATTGTGTCCAGACATGACGCCGCCGTGAAGCACGCGTCCTCGTCGTCGTCTTCCTTGTCTAGGCATTGCTTGAACCGCAGCGTGAGACGCACGACCAACTGTATCGCATACGGCCCCACTTCGTCGCAGAACGAATCGATCAGTTGCTCCAGCGCGAGCACGACTTCGTCTCCAAACCCCATGTCGTCCATGATCACAAAGAACTGGTCCAGCACTTGGGGCAGCAGCGGGCGCAACGTGTCGAGCACGACCGTCGAATGCGCGTACACGACAACATGGCGGAAGCTCTTGGCCGCTTCAATGCGCACGGGCAGCTCTTGATCTTGCAGGCACCGAAGCAGGGAGTGGATGATATGTGACATGGTTGGGTCGGCAAACACGAGTTTGGTCATGTAATTCCGCGACAGCATCTTGACGGCGCGCAGCCGCATGTACCCTCTGGGGTTTTCAAACGCTGGCAGCACGTGCATGAGCATGATCGATTCCATCTGTGCTTGGTGCGGCGGCGACAGCGTCAAGAACGAGTCCAGCGCACACAACGCATGAAGCGCCGCTTCTTTTTGGATCCACTGCGCTTCGTCGGTCGGCGCTGGAACCAGCAGGTCGTTGTAGAACGACAGCACTTTAACCACGCAGGCCTTGCCGCGCTTTGTACATAGCTCGACGAGCAGCCCCTCGGCGGCAAACACTGGGTTCAAGTACTCGCCCAACACGTCGCTGCATCGACGAATGTACTCGTGGGGGTCGCTTTGAAACAGGTCGAGGTCGGACCGCGTTAGGCAAAACAGCGGGTGAATCACCTTGAACAGCACAAAGTCCAAGTGCGGCTGCAGTTGCTTGTACGCTGTAGCAGACAAAATGGCTTCTTGCACGTACATGAGGCTGAGCTGCACGATGCGATCGGGACAGTACCGCCCCGACGGCCGCAAGCTGAGCGTCTCTAGCACGGCCACGAGCAGATGCGGCGCCACCTGCCCGCGGAAGAACGCGCTCAATTCGGGCGTCGAGTTGCTGTGCTTGGGGTTGCCAAACACGTTGTAGAACCGACAGATGACCTGGAGCGTCCATTTCTTGGCCTTCCACCACGGATTTCGGCGCGCGCCGTCGTCGTCTTCGTCGCCGCCATGCACCGGGGGGTCGGGCATCGATTTCGTCAGCACCGCTTTCAGCAGTTCGAGCCAAGCTCCGATTTCCTCGAGCGTCATGTGCGGAGGCAGCGCACACTGTACACTGGACCAGAATACCTTGACTGTCAAATGCACCATGTGTCCAGCGTCGTCGGACGGATTCCTACGCGACATCTCACAATGGCGGCATGGATGCTGGACGTACCCGACTAGTTGCTGCAGCATGGTGCGAAGCAACGGAAATGTCATCGCGACAATCGTGTTGAGCGTATCTCGTTGCTAAACACGTTCGTCAGCAACGACAAGAGTGGGGACGACATGGAGACGTATGTACATGCGACGGTTTGTACTCGAAGATTTTCACCAGCTTACGCAGCGCGAGCAATGCCTACAAGACCCCAATCAGTTCGAGAAATGTAAGACGAGATGATAATAACGGACGTTGATGATGCGAGTCGCGTGGCCCGATTGCATCGCGGCGCAAATGTTGTCGACCAACAACGGCCATTTGTGCTACATCATTAGACGTGACGAGTAACGGACCATATGGGAAGAGAGTCGTCCATCGATACAGGTGCGTACGGGAAAGTCTTGGCGCGCGACGATGCTGACGCTTTCCACAAGCAGCGCCTGGATCGAGTTGTCCTGGGCGGCAAACAGCCCTTCCAAGATGAACGAACGATACTCGTCCTTGTCTGCGTCGGGGAAGGCCGACGGATTTGGGTCTACCGCTCCATCTCCTCGTCCATTGTCATGGTCGTCGTCGCTACCCCCGTCCAGTACTCCCCAATGTCGATGCACAATGTTCTTGAGTGAAATCGCCGCCGCCTGCCGAATTTCCCGCTGGACGTCGTCGCTCGAGAGAAGCTGGACGAGCAGGACGATGCTTCCCCTGACCGTGTGCAAGTTCTTAATCGCTTCCTCCGCCGCCTTTCGCGCATCCGCATCCGTGCTGAACGTATGGAGGAGAATGCTGTGCAACGTCGGCGCGTCCATCTTCGCCAGGAATAGGGAGATCTTGAAGTTATCCGTATCCGGATAGGGGGAACGTTCTTGGGGTGTTTTGCAATTTATATTCTTATGTATTGAAAACAATCCACTTATTTCTATGACTCCGGAGTATACTTCCGAAATAATAATGTCGCGAGTTTGGTCATTATAATTGGAAGTGATATTCTTCATTGTCCCTGGGTTTACTGTATTAATAGTATCGCATACTATTGATGGTAGCTGATTGGACGATGGGATTGACTAATCTAGGGGCTTTTACGAGTACAACGTTCAGATTTTGCCGTACATTAATTATATCAATACAAAGTTGTCTTTAGAATACAGTCACTCTGTATTTCCGTGCATTCTAATCGTTGTTATGCAATCAATCGTAATCACTTTCCCCAAAAACCATACTAGTGACTACTTCCAAGGTTTTGTGATATACTTCACATAACCAAAGTATAACTTTTCTACGGTATGCATTGCCACGCCGACTAATTCTATCGAAATAGGTTTCATAACGTTACATAACTATCGCCAATGTAACTCGTTGCAAGAATATCGTCAATGATGTTGGTATATTTATCCAGGTAAGTGTCGAGGTTTGTCCTCGTGTTGCACTCGTTTCGAGGGTACCTGTTTAAATTAGTAGCAGGTTTTACTATATTTCGAAGGTACCGTAAAGTTTTGTTCGAGGAAATCCACAATCTGATTCACGCCATTATTGTGGGACGGAGCGAGTATCGAGTACTGTAGTACTACCGGTAGTACTAACCTTGTGCTAAAACCTTAACGTTAGCAGAACAATTCACCCCTTCCCACTTCTTACAAAGTGGTCGACTTAGTCCCCTACAAGTGGATTAATTTACACTTATGCGGCCCTATTCACATCGTCCAAAGCATCACGCTTGAATGGGATTGGTGGAAGAAATGCCGAACTTCAAACTTCCTGATTGTCAATCCGAACCAATGAAATGTCAACATTCTGGTATTCGGAAACGTTGATTGGCTGCCCGGAAATAGAAATCCAAGCTGGTCCCACTTTCTGGTCCCGCAAGCGTTATGAATTGCGTCAGGGTATTATTTCATACGGGTTTGAAATCTTTGCTGCCACGACGACAAAACATTCAGTTCGACAACGGCTTAAATATATCCTAGTACAAAACATGCATTTAAAGAGTTTCAACCCATTGCAGTCGGACGGGCGATCCATCAATCACACCAAGCATCATGACGAGTGTGCCAGACACGAACGACGATGGCCAACTCTCGCTGCGGCGGTGCCGCTCCGGGTCCATCGGCGAGAAAGTCGACGTCCGCGAAGTGCTCAATGGCAGCGTGTCGTTCCGTCTGCAGTTCATGGAAGATACAAAGGCGCGGGAACTCAAGTGGGTTCTCTTCGCCGACGGCCGTCGCGGCGCCGTGGGCAAGCTCATCTTTACACTGCAAGCCCACAATTCCGCGCACATCAAGGTGATCGACATCCATCCCAACTACCGTCGGCTAGGCTTGTCCAAGGTGCTTTTCTTGGCCTGCATGGCGACGTTGAAGCAGCGCAACATCCACGAGTTACGTCTCGAGGCCGAAGAAGACACGCGTCGGCACCACAAGTTGGTCGCGCTGTACCAAGACTGGGGGTTCTCCGTGAAACAAAACGCCAAGATCTTGTTTCTATACAACGACACGGAAAGTTTCCGCAAAGTGCCGATGGCACTGTCCGTGTCCGCGGCGCCGTTTGTGCCGCTAGAACCAACATGCAACCAATCATTCTGCATGATCTCGTTGCGCACCGTGGACGGCATGTTTGTGGTCGCAACCGAGGACGGCATGATCGACACGACCAAAGGCGCGTCGCGCGATGTGTTTTGGCAGAGTCTCCTGCTCGACGACGATGACACCAGCAGTTCCAGCATCCTTCCGCCGACCCTCACGCGCAGCGGCAGTGGCGGTGGCGGCAAGGGCAGCACCATCTGCCTCCGCAGTGCCTACGGCAAGTTTCTGTGTGTGGAACCTGTAGGCACCGTCCTCGCCGACCGCTTCGTCAACTCGACATGGGAGACGTTCGATGTGTTGCCGCACCCGACTGGCGGCGGTGTGTCCTTGCGCAGCTTCCACGGCAACTTCCTCGGCCTGGACCCGTCGACTGGCGGCCTCGCCATCTCCCCCGACCCTGCCGCATGGGATGGCGATGCCATCAACCTCATGTGCAACAAGTCCAACCCGACGCCGCTGCATGTGAAGATCACGCGAAAGCACCAGACGACCGCGTTCGCCCTGTCGCAGCGGCGGCGATTCGTCGATCCGTTGCACCATGCGAGCTTAACCCTCGTGGAAGCGTGCCAAACGCTCATGCAGCTAAATGGGGAAAGCGCGGGAAAAGTCGGCCCTAGTGGCGTCTTGGCGCACATGCTGCACGATGCAAACGTCGTGCGCGACCATGGACACCCCGACTGGCTGCAACTCGCCATCTTCCTGTAGGATGACTACCGTCTAGTAGTAGTACTACTACTACATACTAGGGGATGGATGAGCTTACTAGCTAGCGGTCGTAGGCGGGGACTCGGGATGTTGTTTCTGCTGTGGACGGACGAAGACGCGATGATGCTGCGAGGCATTTCGTACGACCAATGGCTCCATCACACCGACACGTGGGTTCTCGGTCGCATGATTCCAGGGTCCATTGCCCATGCCAACTTGAATGAACTCAACCCCGACATCAACATTAATACCACCGCCACCACCACGGAAGGACAAGGGCGAGGAATGGCGCATGTCGACATGCCGTGGACCCCTGACGAGTACCTGTACCGAGTACTCGCGGGAAATCCCAACACCTGGCCACATGAAGCATTAGATGTCATTCGATACTTCTCCTGTCGCGTGTGGTACCTTCATGATGCGTACCCGGATGTCGAGACGACCGCGGACGTCGCCTCCAAGGAGCTGGTACGTCGGATGTATCGCCCAGTGAGAACACGGCTCATGAGTGTGTAGCTATACGCGCTGCACATGGAGAGACAGGTGCCGACGGCTGAACGGCTCGCGGCCCTCGATGTCGACGGAAGCTTGGCGTACTACCTGTCCCTCGGCGCCAAGTACCTCCCCGCGGTGTTGCAGTGGTGATGTTGTTCGTTGCCTTCAACATGTTGTGTTCGTTGGAAGTGGTTTTTGTAAAGCTTTTGGGTATATTTTCTCTCAATTTCACGAAATGTGATGACAAAACAGCTAAAAAAGGCCAATAAATTATCGAAAACAGGCGAATTCGCTTATCGTTAGGATCACACCACCAGAAATAAGTATATTTTGTCCAGAAAACAAGTTCTATTTCTGCACAAAAAAGTGGAGTAATATTAATATTATCCTTGTGAATTCTGCCACTCCACTTATTTAAAACAATTCCACCAGTCGAGATCTTCATTCCAGTATGGTTCTACTATAAATTAAAAAGCCAATGTATCGAAATATTTCGGTTTCACGGAGTACGAAGGTACACTCGGTTATTGGATCTGCAAACCTCAGACCGACCACCATCATGCTGCCGTCGCCGCGGGACACCGCAACGTCGCTGAGTCCGCTCAATGTCGATTTTGGCAGCCGAGCTTTACTCCGTCGACACACTGTGACCTTCCAAGACCCAACGCTCGTGCCGGCGTTCGTGCTAGGCAACCGCGACCGTGTCCGTGCATTGAGGGCCAAGTTGGACGTGAACTCGGCGTCGTCGTTTCCGAATCTCCTCGTTTTGAACCGGGCCATGATCGATCAGGCATCCCGCACTGATGGCGGCATCCTACAGTTGTCGGGCGGGGAGAGTCTTGTGATGGAGTTTCTGTCGGCGGACGACTTGGTATCGGGGTCGATGGTCTGCAGGAGCTGGCGAACGTTGTGTCGCATGGATCACCTGTGGACCAAGTTTTTGTACACTCCCGTCGAGCGGTACCCCCTGCGGCAACTTCTCCATCTCGAGGACGACCGAATGTATCCAGCCATCCAAGTGTACATGCACTTCCGGTCCTCCGGCCTGGTTCAACCACGCTCGTCCTGCGTGCACATTGGCACCAACGTCGCGTTGAAGCAGTCCCGCGGAACCGTCCCCTTTCGGCAATGGCTCGACTCCCAGCCGTCGCCGCTTCCATCCAGCACCCTGCGCGCCGTGTGCCGCCAGCTTCTCGTCGCGGCAACCGCCGTCGTGTCCACCGAGAGTCGCGAGGTCTCCGAGTTTCCGTTCGATGCGATGTACATGCACTATGACGAAGCATGCGGTGCCGTTGCTTCGTCTCACGAGGGAAGGGTCCCGCTGCTCCAAGTGGCGACGCATGCCGGTGACTTGTATCGGAGCGACCACGACTGGCACCATCGGCACCGCCGCCACCGCAACGACGACGACCACTTCTTTACAGGCCCCGCCCTGAACGACGGTGACGGACAGCTGCCTTCATCTCCTCGTCACCACCATCAGCCTTCGATCCCCCGTCTCGTGCTGTCGTTTCTCCACTCCGCATTGGACATTACCGTCGGCCGCGAAGTCGCGCATGAAAACCTGGTGCGCCGATGTCTCACTGGCCATGCTTCGATGGATCCCGCGCTCAAGAGCATGCTCGAGTACGGGATGTACCTGCTGCAGTGTCCCAGACACCCTGACCTCTTCTCGACGCTTCTCGTCCATCCATTCTTTCACGACGATTCAACCACAACTTCGTGGCCATCCGTGGACTTGACCTTGCACACCATGACACCAGCCACGTACCTGGCCAACGTTGTCACATGGTTTCACGCAACACCAGCCCTGGAACAACGAATCTTGTTCCCATTTACGTTTACGCCGTCGACGTGGGTATGTCACGACGTCATCCATATGACCGACGTCGACACGTCCGCGCTCCTGCGATACCGTTACACGTCTCTTCGAGCTCCAACGACGGCCGATTCGAATTGGATGGCGGTAGCTGCCGTCCACCAGGTACAATATCATTATTACAGTGGTTGTTCGCTTTCGAACGCTTCTTTATATATATATCGTAGGCATCGACGCTGCACAGTTTGGACTTGTCGCTGGTGCAATTGCCCACTAGCACCATACTGAATGCGCTCGGCCCGCTGCGCAACCTCACGGACCTGATTTTGCCCCAGACTTGGATGCCCAACAACCACATGGAACCGCTGGTCGCGGCCTTTCAAAGTCATTTGAGCAAACTCGAGCGAGTAGATATAGCATTCCTCACGGCACTGCAGACCCTCGATGACTCGTACTCGCAGCAACTGCGCATCGTCGATTTCGCCTACCCACCCGACAAGGCGGCCGTTATCAAGGCCGCGTGAGCGTCATGTTAACGTTATATGGAGTGTAACAATATTTAGACTTGTCGAGGGGTTGAACTATTATATATATCTATGAAAAATACCTATATGAGCATCGTGACTTATACTGCAAAGTATGTTTAATACTAATAATAACGTAAAAAACCAATTTAAGATAACGTTTTTGGAGGCGTCAGAGTTGAATGGACATAACTTTTTAGTCCTTTAATACGATATTTGAGTTTTGAACAGTAGTCTTCTAACCCAGTGACTTAGACTTCAGCCAAAGACTCTGCATAATCCAGGAGAGCAAAGTGCGCTTGGAAGTTATGTCGTTGCAAATCAACAATGAATGTATTAGGCAAGGACTGACGTTCAAGGCATAAAGTCAGCAATGAAGTCATGACTTTGTAAACGCGTGTACACATAATCATTCGCAAATCTGCGTGTGAATTAGGAAATCACTCAGTGTTTTACGAAATGACTATGTCGCTATATAAAATCAAGAATGTCATTTTGGAAATTACTGTGTGATCTCACTCCAGAATTGTAAAATTTGATACCTCTCTGACATAGTACAAAAACAGATTTCACAGTAGAAAAAAGGCGCAAAACCTAATCAAAATTTATGCACACAATGGCGCCAAATCGAGTATTTCCCATGGCTACTGCACCGTCATTGTGAAATTTTCGCTCGATGGCACACACCCCACCCCCAGCCGCCGGCCGTACTCGATCCAAACGGCGTGCGCCGAAATGGGGAGACTTTTCAGCTTTCCGCTGAGATGGAGTATAACGAGAGCGAAGATGGTACTGATCTCCCCCCTTAAACGAAACGGGGTAAACTTGATAATTTTTGAAACTTTATATTATCCAACCATATCGGAAGGTGATGACTTTTTCAAAATTCGAACACTTGAATCGTTTGGCATTGAAATGGATGACATCATTTCCACTGTGAGAAACTGCTGGAGACGCACTGGCATACTCAGCTCTGACTTGGAGACGCCCAGCGCTTGAATGCATGTATAAATGGTTGGTTCAGACAGCCTGCAAATACCTGTAAGAGTTAATTTACTGTGTGAATTGCATAATTTGCTCCGTTTCGTTTAAGGGTGGAGATCAGTAGTTGTATTTTCGATTAGCGTTTTGTAAAGAATTTCAAACGTATTTACTTTTTCGAACTTTACACACTGCTATTCAAAATAACTCATTCGAAACTGAATCACTTGATGTCTTGGTTGATTCCTGGGTCTTTTCGGAAATAACTCAAGCATTGGTTGAATCCTATAGAGATGCATTATTTCACGCAGTGTTTTCCTGAACAGTTTTGCAATTGGTCAAAAAATGGATTCTTGCTCAGGAGGTCTAGTGATTCCAATAGACAAGACGCGCATCTTTGACTTCATAATTGAATTATCAGTTTAGGCGATGAACTTCACAGGTAAATTTGTTACTACGTAGTACTTTCTACACATTTTGATAACCAATGTAGGATAACTTTTTTATCTTAAAGTATGTATGTGTCTAAGCATTGAAATTCTGTGTTTACTGTTAGGGTAAGCGGTTACAATAGGTTGTATATAATTTATAAAAGGGTACTGTTTTATAGAGTTATATGTGGAGGGATGTCCACCGAGTTTAACACTCGACAAAACCTCAGATCCAACCCAATGTAGCCCGTGTCGACTAGGGTAGTTCAAACCCAATCTTGAATGATGACTGTTACCAATGGCTTCTACTCCGTTTTTGCATTTCATTCACGTGACGGAATGGTCAGCATTATATGACAGAGGTTTTGACTCGAACAAATAACGAGGTGTGATTGGACTATACAAAGTTATCCTAAATTGGTTAAGTTCTCTTAACCTGGTTTTTTACGTACTACTAGTAGTACTACTACGCAGCAGTACATGTTGATCGAGGGTTACTACGACGAGGATGACGTTCTTGACCGATCGGTAATGCATACATATGGGCTCAATCTCGACCATCTCGGGGGGGGGGGGTTCACAAAGTAACTTTTACAGTAAGTTAGTCCATTGGCCCATTCCAAGTACATTGTAGTAGTTGGAATAGGGGGCGTTCAACAGGCAAGGACATGTCATAATAGAGCTCAAAGACCTTCTGCAGACTCTACGAACCTGTGCGTATTGCTCATACGAATGAAAACTCTAATAATACTGGTCGTCGCGGCGAGCGGTTTCGGTCCCATAAACCAGTGGCGTTGCTACACTTTAAAACCGCTCCAACGCGTCAGTCCACGTTTGTCGTCATGCTCCACAACGTTACCACGCACGTCAAGGGGTGGTTCACCAAGCGAGCGTCGTACGATCCCAGATCATGCTCATCCGTCCCCCCAGTTCCAGAAGGCGTGCACGTCGACCACATCCAGCCGTTGTTCCCGTCACTTATAGCCGACCCATCGACCGTGTTATCTCCCGCTTCGTCCTCTGCGACGGCGTTGCTTCCTAAAGCCAAAGCGCGACTCGTTCATCGCGTGGACGACCATACGATCGTATGCTCCCGCGTGGCAGTTGAAGACTTGAACCCAACGCACCACTTTGCGTTGTCGCATCGATGGGAGGAGCGCACGATGGCGCTCGGATGCGAGTCATTTACCGTTCGCTGTGACAACGAGCCGCCATATGCAGTGCCCCTGACACCCACCGAGGCCTCTCAGCTTGCCACGTACCTCTCCACGTTAGGCCCCGACCAAAGCAAAATTGGCATCTGGGTCGACTATGTGAGCATGAATCCGACGAGCGGGTCGGACAAGGCGGCGCAAATGAATGTCCTTGGCGCCGTCTTTGCCACGGCCACGACCGTTCCGACGGGGGACGGCCTCCACGCCGTCGTTCCGACCTCGGACGAGTACTTTGCCGTGCACCAAGAGCGTCATTTCGGCCACGTCCGATTCATCTGGACCGACATGGAATCTGTCGAGTTGCGGCTGTTGATGCGGCTCGCGACCGACGCCGCCGGCCGCGTCCCCGGCCTAACGGATTTCCTCCCGCTCATCGATATGCCGTACACGCTGTACGAATCGTGGCGCCTCATCGCCCTGGAAAAGCTCGTCGCCGTCGACTACCCCGCCACCGCCACGCTCTGCCGCCACATGCTCGAGCTCGCCCAGCAACCGCGCGGCGATGCCAACCAGCGGGAGCTCGCCATCACCGCCCTGCGCATCCGCGAACTCGTGCCATGTATGCATCAAGTAGACCCAGCCACGTGGCAGCTGCACTTGTTTGCAACCGCCCAAGCCACCGACCACCTCTTCCACACATGGGCCGTGCCCATGCACCTACACGGCCTCGACGTGTTCTTTGATCGACCAGACCGGACGTGGGATTCCATCGCGAGCCACTTTCCCGACGCCGACTATGGCTTCTTTGCCCCTCACGATGCTCCCCAGTCGCCGTACGGTACGTCGATGATCTCTCGGCATGAATGACGTGGCACGCTCTCGTGCCATCAAACACCACCACCAGTATTGGTGGTTGTGAATAATGTGGAATGTGCTGGGCCTCTCCTATATACACTGTTGGGCTCTAGATGAAAACAGTTGACCACCCGATTGACGTAGGTGGGTCGACGAGTTTTGCGAACATTGGGTTTGCCCCTGTGAACGAATTGGTTCGGCACATGGGGCATAACACGGTGGCCGCGGCGGCGCCGCCCGTCGGATCTGCCAGTTTCGTCGCGGCCTCGTGGACGTATCGGTTAGCATGGGACACGGGACACGTGGCCGTGGCGTGGGATGCCAAGCTGCCCCATCAAACGTACCACTTTGTGGCATCGCGTGCTTGTTTGCTTCGTGGAGTGAAGAAGCCACCGCCGCCATCTTCGGCCAAGGGCGGTACTTTTAAGCGTCACAACGACACGTTGTCAAATGCGACCACGACGACGACTCGAGGCAGCACCAGCCACGACAAGAGCAGCACCAGCCACCTCGACCTCGCCGTCGTGGACTACAGAGACAACGACGCGATTGATGATGATGTGGACGAAGCCAACAACGGCCGCACGGACGGCCGCATGCGCAAGTTTGTGCTCCTTGTCGCGAGGTTGAAACGGCTTGGCGCTGCCATCGCGCCAGATGTCCCTGACATGGACATTGCGATCGAGATCAAGACGCAGATGGAGCGCATTGCCGCGTCGTCGTCGTACCTAGGGCGATGAGGAGGAAGTGGAGGACGATGATCATATGGGGTAGTGGTGGTGAAGTTGCGGTTGCTGTAAGTGTTTTTTACAAGTACAAATTGTCCGTGATGATTCTGTCGAGTTGCCACATGCGACTGGCTGCGTCGTCATCCACTTCAAAACCTTTGTCTTGATCGATATCTTGACAGTCGTCGTCCTCCGCGCCACTTTTGCTTTGTTCATCTCTCCATGGAGACTGCTGGTTCTTGTTCACATGATCGTTGGGGTCTCGGCTGGGCTTGCCGGTAGGAGGATGGTGCTGCTTGCCTATCCCTTTATGTGGTAATGCATGTTTGAGAGCGTGCGAAGCTTCCAACAAGTGTATCTCGTTGGACTTCACAGTCGGTGCTGGTGCTACGGCCACAGCCAAGGTCTTCCCTGTGGTTTTGTGGAAATTTTGCATAGTTTTGGACAGAAACGAGCCCAGGAGAACAGAGCGGCGGCTGGTCGTCGGTTGGGGCAACTCATGCGTCGGCAATGCACTCCTCATTTGTTCTTCGTCGGCTGCTAGTCCGTCTCGAGATCGGTCGTCGCCCCCTTCCCGCCACCTCTGGATTTTACTTTCCACGTCGTCTAGATTCTTCATCACCCTCGTGCAACTAGAGCCAGAATGTCGTGCTTCCCGGTCGTCAATATGGTGTTGCAGCCTGTTCTTGTCGTCGCCCTACATGGAAACATGTCGACAATATACTGAGACGTAGAATTCAACACCCTTACCAGGGAACACCATGGCGCGGCGGGTTTGCACAGGATCGCAGTACCTTTGGCGACCATGTCTGCGGCCGTTCGCGCTTCGTACTGGCCGCGACTACCCAGTATTTTTCGAATGAGGTCTTGGACACTGGACTCGAGTCGCCTTGCTTTCCAGTCGACCAACTCGAGGGCAACCACGGGCGTCATGGCCACATACGTGGCGCCTTCTACGGCCGCCAACTGCAGCGACGACATTCCAAAACACTCGCGCGGCCCGAGGAAGCCCACGAGCATGCAACCATCCGCCGGACAAGCATTCTTGTCGAATCCGGTTGATCGTGGGGCCTTGTATACTCCCACTTGACCCTCTTTGATGATCACAAACGTGGACGCGTGATGGCCTTCCGATACAAACACGTGGCGGCCGCTAAACGTGACTTCGCCCATGTCGTACGACAGCCGAATGCAGCTTTTGTGGTCGTACTGGGCAAAGAACGACAGTTTCGACAAAAAGTCGGCGCGGTCGATAATGTAGTGCCGGATCTTGAACCCGGGCCGAGACGCAAAGTACTTGGCAAAGTTGCGCCGCTCGATCAAAATGAGCTCGGCGTCCGTGCCCGCGATGGCCGACGCGGATCGCGCCATGTTGGACACGAGGCTCATTTCGCCGAGCGAGTCGCCCGCGGACAGCGACGCGATGATATTGTTGTTGGCCGGCGCCGTGCCTTTGTTATTCGTGACATCTTCCAGCACAATGTTCACCACGCCCGACAACACGACGTACGCCTTGCCTTCCACCACGTTTTGCTTGAAAATGTACTTGCCCGCCTTGACGCTGTAAAACTCCATGATTTTCGCCAACTGCGTGGCCATCGCGTACTTTTCTTCGGGCGTGTTTGGGGCATCCGACACGCGAAACTTGTCAAGCAACGACGACGTGTCGGTGAGTCGACCTAGAAATGCCAGGTCCTCAGCATGTAACACGGCCATGGCGTCGGGCTTGGACGGGTCGCGGCTCGTCATGAGGCGTTTGGCTTCGTATCGGATGAATTTCATGGCACTGGTCGCGTCGAACCAGTCTATTTTGTGTGAAATGCTCGGGAACTCGAGCGCCAGCTTGGGGTTGTGAAACACGCGCCGGAACAAGTCCGTGTACAGCGTCTTGCCCATAAACTTGGCGTTGTGGCTGCGCTTGAACCGACGAATGAACCGCGTTAGGTACGCCACCACATGTGGGTTCTCGTGCAGCGTTTCGATCTGCCGCATGAGTTCCCACTCGTTGGTGACGTTGGTCGCGGCGATCGACTCGGCGTCCCCGTCCAAGACAAACGTCTGCGCCTTCACAAAGCTGTCGCGGTCCATGACAATGCACGTCACGGTGCCCACTGCAATCACAGCTACAAGAAAGGCAGAGGTTCGTGAACGTTACATGGGTGGACGAGAGAGAGAGAGAGAGTGTGTGAGTATAAAAGTGATATGTCGTTAGTTGTTGGAATAGGATAGTATTGCACGAGGTGAATGTACCGGCGGTGCGCGCTTTGCCAAACAATCCCATCTCCCCAAACCCTTGGAACGGCGTTTTGCGCACCAATTCGACGTCGACGCCGTTGGTTTTGATGCAAATCTTGGCCGTGCCCTATTGAAGTAGTCATGAAACGTTCTCGTGGAGGTATAGTAGTAGCAATGAAAGGTGAAGGAACTCATTTGGATGTACAGACCTCTACGATGACAAAGTACTGGTCGTCGAGCTCGCCTTGTTTGCAAATGAAGTCGCCGTCGGTATACTCCTTGAGGGTCGTCAAATCTAGCATCCGACCGCGCTGCTTGGGATTCAGAGCCGAAAACACATTCAGGTTGTCCAACACGCCATGCTCGCGCATGAGGAAGCGGTAGTGCAGGAGCATCTGGACGGATGCAAGCAGGACATTGCATGCCGCGAGGTCCATGGAAAAGCATCGCACGTCCCCCGCCGCCACCGCATTTGCAGTGCGTTGGGCTTCTCCACGCATTGCAAAAGGGTATTCACCTATACAATATATATGTCAACGAAGCAACGTTCAGGCCATGTACGAACGATATGGGTTATGATGAGAAGGGTGTGTCACCTACCGAAGTACTCGTATTCCTCGCGATAAGAAGTCGCTCCGTTGTCGTATTTCTTCATGCGGACGCCCTTGGAAATGACAACACGACCGCTTTCGACAAAGAACAGCCGCGTATCGGTCTCGCCTTTGGTGATGATGGGTTCATCCACCGCAAACGACAGCGGTACCAATCCGTCCATGAGATCCGATTCCGGCACTCCGTTGGCGATCACCACGCCTACGAGTACGATATGGCATATAGACACAGTCACTTGGAAACACGCACTTAATATGGGGACATTTGCGATGAGCGCCTTCTTTCGCTCCTCCAACGTTGCTTCGTGGTCAACATGGTGAATCGCGAGTCCATTCCATTTGGACGCAGCGCCAGGCGCCACCTTGTCTTGTCCCTTGAGAGATATCACGGAACTCCCGCGCTTGTTCTCACGAGGCCGTCCGCCCACCGCCGACTGCTTATGCCGCTTCCCCATCGTGCTAATTTGCAACTGCCCCAACAAGCGTTTCAAAATTTGCGCGCGCAACTTGCCGGCTTCTGATTGGCTACATCTGTGGTAGGGTATTTCACGATTTGACCGGAAAGTACTGACAGCAAGCAACCCATGCAACACTGGTGTGAAGGTACCGAGGGTGGTGATGAAGGTAGTGGGCGATGAAGTCGTCAAAGTCGCGTACGGGATGACGGGATGCAGCCATGGGGGTGAAGGAGGCGAAGGGTACACGGGCATACGTACCCATATCTTTGGTGGGATTGACTGGGTGAACATGTTTTCTGAGTGGGAGCGCCTGGGTGACCATCTTCTCCAACAACCATGAACGAGGCAAGCGTATGCGGATAGTACGATCGCATATCGCGCAGTGTATCAATCCATGGTAAGGTGTTACTTCAATGTAGGTCCTTCATCCTTTGAAAGTGCGATACTGTAGCGGATTTTCTGGCAAGAATGTCGGCCACACTGTTGGATATTTATGACGCTAAAGACGACTTCATGACAAGAGTTGCGTAAGTGCATGCATGTCTGTTTTACGCATCCCAACCATCTATTTGTTTAACCTTGGTACAGTACTTGGTGTGCAAGGCAATCACAGTGTGACGTTAACTAGTGGATTGACACATGGGACAAGATGAAAGACCATTCATTTTCCAATTTCCACCACGGAGTTCGCACTCCTTCTCGCTTTCACCGTGCCCGTTGCTGCCTTGGCTTAAGACCAAGTTATCCCCGGCGACGAGGCTCCCGCTTTCGAAATCGTCGGGGGCCATGAAGCCCAAGTCGGCCAGCACCGTTATGTAGCTGGGCTCAAGCTGTCGCCCACTGGTGAGACCGCCGAGTGCGGCGGCAGTCTGATCGTTTTGACAGCGGCGCATGGTCTACTACCTTCTGTGGTCGTGGGCACGCACTTTTTATCCGGTTTTGCCCACGGGGAACTGCCACTGACCCCAATCAATCGTAATCTTGGCCCGCAACATCACGACCATCCAACCTGTGGCGGTGTCGTTTGAATTTGTTCCGGCGGACGTGCTCACTTGGGTACGCGGCTAGGGACGCGTCGAGTGTGGTGCCCCAAAATCGCCAGTGCTCAAGGAGGGGTCAGCGTCACGACCTGCACAACACCAGGGCTGCAGCGGCTGCGTTGGCCGTCGCCAAACTGAGCGCCAATAAGTTGGGTGCTGGAGAAGACGCGTGTCAAGGTGGTGGCACGGGGGGAGGACCGATGACCATCGAAGGACACGGCGCCGCGCCAACGATAATTGCTGTAGGCGTCGTCTGCGACAACGTTGGACGGGAATAGGGAAAGCAACGAACAAGCTGATGTAATGCATTCGTACAAACAACCAGTGTTACGTACTGGTTTAAAGTAATGGTGTTTATCCACACTGTACGGTACTATACTCCCGCAATGTCGTGTACCCGAGGCGGGTATCCGGGGTCGGACCAATAAACGTCTTGAACGCGGGCGTGGCTTGCATGGGAGGCGACAAGTTGATCACGTCCAGCACGTCTTGGAGGGAACGAAGTCGCGTGGCCAAAGTGGGGACTGGGAAATACCTGATCCAAAAGTCGACCCAGGGGTTGGCGGGGGGAAGGGGGGGCAGTTGGAACCCGTCGCGGGTGAGGGCGTCGTGAAGAGATCGGAACTCGGAGAACCGGCGGGAGATGCCTGGGCGCGCGTAGGCCATGCCGGCTTTGCCAGGCTTGAGCCGCTTTTGCCCAGAGATTGTCTGATGCAAGTCGATGCAAAACAGCACGTGGATGTTGTGGACCGCGTTGACGTTGTTCTTGGAGTATTCCCACGTCGTGATTTCCAGGCGAGTCATCAAATGACTAAGGACTTTATTCATTGATAGAGCTAATGTAGAAACCGCCGTGGGGGTGGTTTACACTCTTCGGGGCGACGACGGACGTTGTTTACGCGGAAAAACGTGGCACAGGGTACAGAATCCACCATGGTGAGCCAGCCACGCGAACCATAACCACTACCATATAGGCCGCGCGATTTTGTCCTTTGAACATTTGGACGTTTGTGCAGAATCGCCAACATACAAACTTCAGTACAAAGAAGAAAGAATCCATCAAAACACCTATCGATCGATTCTTCTTTGTACTGAAGTTTGTACCGGTATGTAAAAAGGGTGGCTAAAACCTCTGCCAATGATTCTTGTGCACGTACAGTACGTAATTGGTTGTGGTAACCAGTTTAGAATAAATTACTACGTAGTAGAATATACACAACAATTGATTAACCTATTGAAAGTAGGAGAGTCGCGTCGTAACCACCCACCCATTCGTATGATGAATCCCAGCATGCGTTCAGTGCCACACCAAAAACGGAAATAATATAAAGAACTTTATATACAAACATTAAAAAAAGCAATCCTATAATTATCATAGGATTTTTCGCTTTTCTTATTTTTTTACAAAACAAATGGTTAATTATTACTACTAGTACGTAGTATTGTGAATTCGCTATAAACTTCTTGTTCTACATAATCAATATTGAAGCACGCTGGAATTTTCTGATTGGTTGAATATACTTGTCTTTTCTGTAAGAGCCAATCAAATCCACTCAAAATTGGATTAGCCAATAGCGTCGATTCGGGGTCTGGATATTCGTATCGAATCATCCACAATAATATCAAATTAACGCAACACTGGTTGCAACCCAGATTGCTAGAAGTCCCCGAGAATGGACCTCTATGCTCTCCGAAATTGACAGACTCTCGTAACTGGTGACGTTACTGTAGGGAGTTGTATGGGTCCAAGATGAGGTCTCACAGGACAAGATCGACGTAGCCACCACTTCGACGCCGACATCAAAGCAGGCAAAATGCATTACGTCACCCGAAGTAGGCCATATCTATCCACCTTCCATGGGTGTTGTTGCTATGACGTATACCAGACTCACTCTTCCTTAGCCCAGTCCATCCAAGAGCGCGCCGTAGTCGTGGTTGACGCTTCGACTGCTGTGCGAATTCCGATCCAGTGGTTCTCCTTCGTCCGGCAACACTTGGCGAATTTTGAGGTGGCGCGTCGACTTGTTCGTTTCAAAGTCCATCTCTTGCACATGCAGCGTCTGGACGCGGCACGTCGGGCGGACTTCGTCCGCCTCGTCCATGCGCTCAATCTCGTCCACAGTGTGAAACATGAACGCGCTCTGCAGCGTGATCGTAAACATCGTCGGCTTGGCGCTGCTGATGTCAATCACGATTGGCATCCCATGATTATCGGCGGGGCGGATCACCGTGGACGAACTGCCCAACAATGTGCGCACGACAAAGTACGAGTCGCCGCCCGCAATCGTGCGCGCACACGCTTGCAAGATGGCGCTGACAATGTGCACACACTCGTCGTGCGATGCGGCAAACCGACGGACGTACCCCTCCAGCACCTCAAAGATGTCGTCAATGCTCTCCGTCTCCCCGCCGCCGTACAGAATGTTGTTTATCAAAAATAGCTCGGGGATGATGTCGCGCAGCGTCTGTTCGATGCTGATGGGGCGGGGCCTACAATCAAGTTGGTGATTATGACTATATTATTGTTGCTACAGTATAATTGGACAAATGTACAGACCGTGGTAGCACAATATGCTTGAGCACATGCGCGTATTTTGTAAACAAGACCGCGTAATCCGAGGCGGACGCGGCGGTCGCCGCCTTCTTCCGGATCGCGGTTTGGTCCAGCGGGTTGATTTCCCACAGCAACGGGTCCGTCTCTCGGAGGTACTGGAAACTGCTGTACTTGTACATTTCATTGTCCGACTTTTTCGCTTGCATTTGGTTCACTTTGCCTAGGTAGTATATGTATGACCCACATACAAAGTAACTGCGCATACAACCACCATCGCAATAGCACGCCGGCATGTTACTGTATGGTTGTGTTTATGTTCTAAACTCGACCAACATCGACACAACCAAATACTATAATGTACAGGATGAATCAGCGGATATATTTAGCCAATCCGATTGCCGGAAATCATCATCAACAAAGTCGAATTAGTGTGTGACTTCAATTAGTGTGATACCAATAATCACCACAGGACACGTTTACATTCAAAATGTCAGTACAATGAAGAATCGATCACTAGATTTGGCAATGAATCAGCCCAAAAGTCAACCAAAATGGACAGTATCACATACATGTCAATCCACGTCATCATAGAGGTCCCAAGCATTATCAACGCTTACCTTGGGGTGACGGAGGCAGCGCCAAGTAACAATGAAATGACGCGCGGCAGATGGCGTTAATCCACCCGTTGAGCTCGACGTCGGACTCGCCATCTCCCACACGAAGCGTGCAGCTTCGTCGACTAAATGTACGGTAGTCAGCACGACTACATCTTTCAACGCAGGACCACACAACTCTATCAACACAGAGTACAGTACCTGTACGAGTGGCACGTCATCTTGCTGCTAAACTTGACCAAACAGATGAAATCTCCACAAGAAGGCGCGATCGTCAACGACGACGGCATGTCGCTGTAGTCGTCGTCTTTTACACAGTGCACTTTGTCTAGAACGATCGCGCCGCGTGGAATGCCGTCCTAGAAATCACGCAAATGGAAGACACGCCAATATCCGATCTTTATACATTGAAACTATATAAATATATATAATATATATATATATATATTGTGAATTCGCTATAAACTTCCCAAATAATTCGCGTGGTTTGTCTAATCAATATTGAATCAAGATGGAGTTCTGATTGGCTGAATATACTTGTCCTTTATGTAAGAGCCAATCAAATCCACTCAAAATTGAATTAGCCAATAGCGTCGATTCGGCGACCAAATTCGATTCGACGGGGTCTGGAAATATGTACCGAATCCACAATATATATATATACATTACAACGTCGGCAACCTAAATACCTTTTCGCTCTTGAAATAGTACAAGCGGTTGCCCTTGAGCTCAAACCACCGCAGCTGCCATGCATTCAGGCCACTGCTTCGCTTTTTCAACCACCCTGTCTTGTCTGGGGTCTACCAGTGAGCATCGTCGTCACGATTCTCAAATGTCCTCATCACATGAAGCTTCCGTACACATCGCTGGAATGGATCATCTTCGAACAAGTTGGTCGTGGTCGTGGGGGCGGCGAGCGCATGATATGTCTTCGTCGACGACGATGCAGTCGATGGGGGCATCGGACCGACTGCCGCCGCACGACGTTCGGCCATCCCCGACACGAGCAGTTTGCGCTGCTGTTGCTTCCACTTGGTGTCATTCAACATGGACGGCGGCAGCTGCATCGTTCCCGCCATGACCGCCCCCAAGTCTGTCGACATGCTGCGTACCAGCAGCGTCGCTTTGGTCGCCGAGGACATGGAACTGCCAGGGCTGGCCATCGTGGTTGGCGCAGCGTCGGACGAGAGGCTGCGCACGTGATGGCCTGGACTAGTGGACGATCGAGGGGTCGCGGGCAAAGGCTGGTTGGACGCAAATGATTCGGTGGTTCTTGGGGGGAGTACTGCTCCTCCTGACGACATTGCCGATGCTTCCGCCGATGGCAGCAACGGGGTGGTCGATGTCGTCATGCCAGACGCCTGCAGGCTACCCAAAATATGATCAATCATATGCATAAAGTAGGAGCATTCGTACGATGGCGGCCACGGAGCGACGTCGGGAAGGCTGAGCATCTTGGCCAGCGCCACATCGATCCCCGACGCCACCGTGATCTACCATTGAAAAGTTATATATTTACATATATATCACAAGTGCTGAATATAGTAGATAACTAGAAGACATGGACGACGGACATGCTCCATGGACAGTTCCTTGCGCGCCAGCGGCAGCTGTATCGTCAGGCCGTACAGCTGGCGTCCGATCCATTGCAATGAAATGTCGGGGTGGACACTCGCGTTCAAACTAGATGGCAGCAGGATGACAAGTCAATCGTGTGACATATTCTCTTTCCCATGTATAGAGTACATGATAACGTCATCACATATATGGCGTCGCGATGACGTGATGTGATTGTACCTTTTCATCGTTTGCGCAATCATCACGACCAACTCGCCGCCGCGCTCGATGGTCCAGCACGTCATGTACCCGCGAAGATGCGATTCTTCCAGCACCCACCGCTCGGCGCCATGGGACCACGGGTCGTCGGCAAACAGTTTCTATATCGAGACCAACTAAACCAACTAAGCCCAAACTAGTTAGTACCTGCGCGGACGCGTTCAGTTTGGTCAGTTCGTGCATGAGCTCCATGGGGTTCATGGCGATTTCCTCGTTTCGCGTCGGATCCAGCAGGTCCCGCGGGTCGATCCACCCGCCAGAGTCGGCCGTGACGCGGCGGCGATCGTGGGGGTCCATCCCGCGCCAGCTGTTGGTCTTGGGCTTCTCGGGGGACGTCGACGCGGTGGGTGACGACGTGGCGGGTCCCGTCGTCGTCGCAGTCACGTCACTACGGGAGGATGCTCCAGGCTGCTCGACGACGGGTTTGGTGAAGCGCTCTTTGATGCGAAGGAATTGATCCTTGAGGCTGCTGCAGGAATCCGGAAGGTACAACGAATACGATGTCACATGTCGCTTGGGTGACTGTGGGAACATTTGCCGACGACTCCGGCTGTACTCGTCGTCAGAGTCGGTCGAGGAATGAGGACCTGGGTCGGTCACGTGACCTGCTTCCACATCCTAAACGTCGCACGATGATGGCATGAGAAGGACTACAGGTATGTACATACCTCTGCGATGCGCTGGAATGCGCGTGTGGCGGCCGTCTTTGTCGGAGTGCGGCGATGTCGCGATGGCGATGGCTTGTCCTTTGAGGGGGATGCCACGGGTTTGGATGGAGATGGGCTCTACTCGTGGAAGGTCAGGGTTGGTCAAGGCGCTTCCTTTCGTAGTGGCATCATGGGATGTACTCGTTTGTGGTCTTCTTTGGTAAGCTTAAAGGTAGAGAAGCCCAGGTTCAACACGGGAAGACTGTACTGCCGCGAGTTGCGTCGATGCGCCGTGGGCGACGCTGGAGGCTTGTCGTCCGAGACAGAGGTCACGGAGCGCTGCAGCATCTCGGGTGGCGGCATCTCCAAGGACACGCTGCTGTCTAGACGAGGCCGGCGCGTCATGCAGTTGTGATGGTTGTTGCTTCCTTCCTGCAGTCGTAGTACAGTGTGGGCGAAAAGGAGGTGGTGAAAACGGTTTCATCGTGTACGTCGGTTTTTAATTATCCCACGTGAACTTGGAAAATGTATGCAATTTAAAACATTGATGGTATCACAAAACTTGGATTCTATGTAACGGTCGGAAGCGCAGATCCATGGCCGAGACGGGCGCCATGTTGTCGGTGGCGACAAGGAGAAAGGAAGATGCATCATGGTACTTGGTTGAGACGAAGATGGACAGACGACACACACGCAAGGAACTACGATTCTATTGACTACAACCACGGGAGCTAACGTTATGACTCTTGTGATCAATGCTGGTGATCCGTATCTGCGTCTTCTTGGAAATCCACGGGCTCCAACGACGGTGCCGGGGCCATCTTGCGATACCCCAGCAGCAACGGATACATCTTCTCCAGCGCAGTGTGCATGTCGTGCGTGGCCTAGTAGTAGGACGTGGATCAGTGTGGTCCCACGAGGATGATACCGACGACACGGACCTTGGCGCCACAGATGACAAGCTTCCCCGACACGAAAATAAGGAATGTTAACTTGGGGTCCACCAGTTTAAAGATCAGGCCCGAGAACAGTTCGGGCTCGTACTATACATGTTCCGACATGAAAGATCATTCCACATGGAGACCCCCTTCCTTCCATGCGCCGCCACGGCGACGGATACTGGGAAGGACATGCATGATTGAATGTGTCGTACTGTGCAGAAGCGAGAATGGTCGTTGAGCAGCCCTTCGAGGCGGATGGGGAACCTGACGTCGCTCGTGCCCATGATGTTGCAAATCTTAAACATGTCGTACTGCGCGGGAAAGTTGAGTTTCTACATACAGCACACATGTGAGACGACGAAGCGACGAATATGTGCACCTACCTGCAGAACCCTGCAGTATTTTCTTGCCGCGAGCCGGCAGTTGGCCTCTGTGGATGCTCCTGTGATGACAATCTATGTTCCAAAAGACATGAATACACTCGTTCCTATGCACACATCGTCGGTGGGTATCGATGGATGCACTCGACCTTTCCTGATGAAAACATCAACGCTGTTGTCTTGGGGTCACGTAGCCGCATGATCACGGCAGCGAATTTCTACATGCGTCATCGTGAGATAGGATGTGATGGGATCATCCGTACCTTGGGGTTGTACTCGGCATTTCGTGCATGCAGCGCAATCGTCTTGAGGTCCAGTGGCGTCTTGACGTCGATCGTGCCGACAATGTTCCTGCATGATTGTGATCTCAACGTCATGGAATAGAACAAAGACATGACGCATGCGTACTTCACATGCAGCACCAATCTCTCGGAAGACCATTCGTCGCCCACTTGAAGCGCTTGATGCGCATCCACGATCTGGAGTTGGGACTCCTGGCGCGACGTCGCCATGTGAGTTTGGTAGGTTTGGCGGTACCAGCGTAATTATATATTTCTTTCTACCCGCCAATGGAATTCGGTCCAAATGCTGGAATTTAATTACATGGCACAACACCTTCATGGTGGGGAATGAGCATTATATTATTATTTTATTACAACTCCAATAGAAATGGCCAATCAGAATCGCCACCGACGAAAACGCGGTAACTGAAACTGTAAAGTTGATGCCATCATCCTGAAGTTGCCACCGACGATGCCCCATGCTAACGTCATGCTACCCCAAGCTGCTTTACGGCCCAATACACTCCTGCTTGTCCGTACCATGTAGAATCGAATGCGAGCTCTTGTGAAGAGCTTAAGATTAACCATGGAGGAACCAAATGGATGTGACACCGCGAAGCAAACTACAGGTCGACGACAGGCCAGCTGACACAGTGACAGCGCCGCCCGTACCAGTTGCTCCATCCAAGCCGACACAAACACAGCGCCGCCCGACGTCGTGGCCCCGCTGGCCGCTGTCACAGTAACCCTGACAAATGCAGCGACATGGTTCAAGCACGTTAAGCGGATCTTTCGTTGCTTTCCTTCCGCTCAAATGTACGCATCCAACCCCAAAACGTCAGCTGTGTCCACGAATGCTAAGGATTCTCATGTCATAACAGTTAATCAACGACGATTTCTTGTTGTCTCATCACTGGAATACATGATTCCGCTGCGTCCGCTTTCTAAGCTCATAGATGCCCTGACGGCATGTACATCTTGAATGTTTCGCAGTTGCTCAGGCGGCATTCATCCATACTTTCTTGGGCGGAAATGATGTTGCAGGTGATTACGTAGTTCATTATATCAAAGTAATTATTTTCTACCCAATCATGTGCCACGCTAGCCTATCCATCCCTTCAGCTCCTTCAGTTGTCATGTTTCCCCACGTCCTTTCGATTCGCTCTTCGAATGAGCTGCAGTATGCCCCCAGCTTCAAATACTGCAGTGGCTTCTACAGCTACACCCACTATCACATATGTGACCCCCTTTTGACAATTACTAGTAAATTGCTAGTGAACTTATATGACTCACACGGCTACAAGTTTCGAGCTCAAGGTGCATGTCTCGTGCCGCCAAATCGATCCACGAGCTTGAACGGAAGAGGGTGCGACGATACATGACCCTTCACAATATTTTGAGCTAGTTCCTCGCCACGTTATTTCAATGTAGTATGTACTTCCAGTTAGTACTACTGTACGTACTTTTTGCTTACTTTACGCTCGAATTCTTTGATGCACTCTTCCGGATAATATTCGGACGTGACCATTCAGATCCAAATAGAATATGATGAGCACGACGTCGGGTGTGCCCGTAGTGGCGTCGGACCGCGTAAGTTTGGAAGAAGCAATCAAAGGCCTGCAAGTGGCCATTGAAAAGTACCAGGTAGTCGGCACACATGCATGTCCTATATACAGAATCTACCCAACAAACAAGGGAGAAAGATATGAGTCATTGCGATCATCAATGTCCACGTCCTAATAGTGCGCCTACGTAGGTCCTGTACAAGCTGTCCAAGCTGTACCTCCATTTCAAGGACGTGAATCCAGTGGAAGTGCGCTTGCATGAAGCTGGTAGTGTATCCTTTAACTACTAGCACATTTGTTGACATGTATGAAAACAGCATGTTTTGTGTCGATGGCATCGATCAAGCGGCTCCTCGCTGAAGCCACGACACCTCCCCGTATACATCCAAACCATTCACTTTTCATATTCTCATCATACATCTGTGACAGAGTCCGGCAAACAGGTGGCCTACATCGCAGAGGCCGACCACCACTTGAACAGCGCCAAGGCCATCTACAGCGTATTACAACCTTTCTCTATATACACAAGCCATGAAATCGCATGTTCTCACACGGTGTATGTAGGACTTGACGCTCCACGAACCAAGTCAACTCGAATGCAAACGCGGCCTGGCCAACATCTTGCAAGAAGGTGGCAGTTTGCGCTATGTCCAAGAGGTACTACATCCGAGATTGGTCGATCCCGTTCTAAGGTAATTAACATGGTCACGATATAGAAACTCGGTGAAACCCAATCCATGTGGGCGGAAGCGTGTGCTGTGTACGAGGACATTGGTGACGCCCCCGCCGTGGCCGCCTTGGTAGGCCACCACATTTTGCCACGTGTGTTTCGTCGTCGTTCCCAGTGTTTACTGCAAAATCTGCCTTGACCTCTTTACATTTTTCATGGTGTTGTTGACCATGCAAGCGCAAGAAAATGGATGCGCTGCGCCTGGCGCATGAAGTTGAAGCATATACCCAAACGCTACTGGAGCGAAAGGTAACGTCGATCACATGCAGCAGACAACCACCACGTTGCAGTCATAAATATCTGTGGTTGGTAGGGAGAGAATCGCGAACGCGACGCCATCTTGAAGGCGTTTATGAAGTTTGACAAGGACAACTCGGGTATCTTATGCCTCTATCTTTGACCATCTATTTGCGATTGATCGATCGATTCGTATTGTTCGTATTCCGAAACATTAATTTTGTTGATTTTCGTTGATTTTAGTATTTTTCACAGGAGAAATGGACGCATGCGAGTTTGCGGCCTTGTCGATGGAATTGGGCACGTTTCCAGCGCTCTCGGTCGATGAAATCCAGGAAGCGTTTGTGCAGGCAAGTATATTTAAATAATATTTTGTTCTTGTTTGGTTCAGAATAGAATATACAAACTCTAACTAGTTATATGTTAAATATTAGCTGGATTCATCAGCGGACAACAAGATCTCGTTTGCCGAGTTTTGGCAATGGTGGAGCACCGACGAGATTCAAGCGTTTGCCGCCAAGCAAAAGGCTCGTTAGCAAATACTAGTATTACAGTGCAAAAGTGGTCGCTGGGATATACCCCTAGTACGCTACTACCCATTCTCGAAACCAAAAGTAAATACTGTAGTAGTTTCTACCTTCTTCTACTCATATACGTATACTATAGTATGGATCGTCCGATGCATCCCAGTAAGTTAGTGTGAATCATGACTAACTTACTGGTACTACAATACTAGTATGCTCTTTCAAAATAATCCAACATATTTGGCTTCAAGTCTCACACACTAATAGTATGCTTCAATACTTTCCACTCTTACTACATATTAATACTAACGTTACTACAGACTACTACTCGATCAACTTGACACCACTTCATCACGTTCTACTGATGGTTAGTCGTACATTTAATTGTAAAATGACTCGAGGGGCCCGAGGCACTGCCATAACCGCAAGACCAGGTCTGGAAACATCTGTCGACACACAAACTCTTCCACTATCCGTTGCTGGAGTCCAATGGCTATTGGCCCTTCTTCTATGTCACGAATCTCCCCACTTTGCAACAGACGCCACGTATGCGGTGGTAATTCGGCGGCATGTTGTTTGAGATTCCGAATCCATCGCACGAGATCTACCACACTCGACGTGTCGTACTGGCGGTGCCGATGGACGTCCAGCCCCCGTGCTTTCACCCGCGCCCCCCAGTCCATCGTCCCTTTCCTTTCTCGTCCATCATAGTCATCCTTATCATGACAAGTCCAGGAAATATCCTGCTGCCGTTTCGTCAGCTCCACATATGCGTGGTTGGCCACCATCTCAATGTACGCCAGCTTTTGACTGGCAGGCCACAAGAATGGATGCCGCGTCACGTCCTCCATGGCCAAGCGCCGAGTCGGGTCGATATGTGTCATGGCGTTCAATAGATCCAACGCTTCCGCCGACATCTGGGGTCGACGGGGGATCGGGGGGGGGACTTGGGGGGTCGAGGTAGGCATGTGCCCTGGATCGACCTTGCCCTCAGACCAACCAAACGATTGGCCGTCGTGGCCACACAATGCAAAGGCGATGCACTGACCCAACGCGAGCACGTCGTCGGCCAGCGCCAGCCGCCCTCGACACGTTGTCCTGTCTACCCATGTCGACGTCCGACAAAGCAACTTGCATGACGTGGCAGCAGCAGCACTCTGTCCAACGAGCCAGAACGCACCGGGGGTTAAGTTTCCGTGCACGCGATCGTGGCGGTGTAAACTCGCTACCGCCATCACCCCGCCTCGCAAGATGCGGACCACAGTTTCCATCGAGTAGTAGTCATTGGTTTCGAACGTCTCGAGCCACGTTGTCGTAGCATGTTCGTACAGGATAAAGTGACACGAAGGGGGTGCAGAAATCCTCGTCGGTGCGAAGACTGTACCGACGCAGTTCTGTCGTTGTTGATCTCTGCTGGTGGTGGTATTGATATCGTGGCTGGAAAGATGGGGGGATGTCACCACCTCGTCGTCGACGAAGTGCAGCAATCGGTGGTCGGAAGAGACTAGCCGATGTAGGAGCTGGCCATGCGCGCGTTCATCCGCGGCGGCGGCAGCCGAGGCCGGACGACACACGAGCACGGGACCCCACTCGATATGCGCGCCATGAAGCACCGCGTCGTTGTCGGCATGAGTGCCCGGAGCAACAACGACCGATAGGGGGCCATAGGTTTGAGTATCCATTTGTACGACGATGGGGGGGTCGGCTGGGGAGGAAACCTCTGGACGGTGGCAAAGAGGTGTAGCCACCGCCGCCGCCTCGTCCTCCTCGCCATGCAAAACCCGCGCATCTGACCGCAAACTTGTGGTATATGGCAAGCCAACTTGCGTGTCGTCGTGTCCAGCGATATGCGATCCCTCTTTGCCGTTCCCCGAGTCTTTGGCTGGTTTTGGTTTGGCTTTGGCATACATGTGTCTGTGCTTGGATGGACGAGAGGTGGCCACGGGTGTGTCGGGAGGGATGAAGGCGGTGGCGGCGGCGGCATGCCCGTCGTGGATACGATTGCACACTGCGACAAGGTCCGGTCTTCCGCCAATCAAACGGCCAGAGGTCACCACCACCCCCTCGTACATTTGCTGTTGCCACGGCAGAGTCAACCGGGCATACACGAACGCAAACAGTTCCGACGTGGCATGTTTCACTACAAAATCGACGGTTGCAGCCGCCATCGCTTCGTCCATCGTCAGCCGTCCATTGGTCACCACAAGGCGGATTCCGTCTAGCCAGTTGAGTCCTACGATCACTTGCACTGGGTTGCATCCGTCTCGATCGACCACGTCCACCCATTTTTTCGGGACGGGTTTAGAGTTGTTGTTGCTCGTGGCGTTGTAAAAGTTCAAGAGCAAGTTGCACACACACTCGTGGCGCATGGCGCATGCCATATGTAGCAAGGAATCGCCCGACGAGACTTCGACGTCGTACATGAGCGCCGTGGCGGCGGGAAGGGCCAGCAACTTGTCTAGCAACGCGACGTGGCCGCCGCCTTGGACGGCCAACGCCAGACACGAAAACGATAACGTCAGCGATGACATGTCCAGCAACGTCATGGCTATGGCCACGTGGCCAATATAACATGCCAAGTCGAGCGCCGTCCACTTTTGTGCATTCACGGCCGTCACACTCAAGTCGTGGTTATTTGGTTGGGCGAGGAGAAACGTCACGATTTCCAAATGTCCCTCACCCACCGCCACATGCAAGCACGTGTCGCGACGATCGGTGACCATACGAAGGGATAACGCTGGCTTGGTTAAAAGAAGTTGCAGCATATTCAACTGGTTCGCTTCGGCGGCAACATGCAGGGCGGAGCGTCGGCAGTCGTCGGTCATGCCCCACGGAAACGAGTGGCGGCCGACGTTGCTCACCAACTCGTCCAGGCCGGGAATGTCCCCGCGCGAGACAAAGTCAAAGAAGAGGCTGCAGAGAGCGTCGTGGCACCACGACGCGGTCGAAGTCGTCGGCACGTTCTCCAACGAAGCCGAGGTCGCCATGTGGCCATCTTGGTCGTCCAGGACGTGAATGGTAACCCCTTGCTGCTCAAGCCACGACACGACCGAAGCATGCCCTTGGAACGCGGCGAGGTGGAGCGCGTTGTCGCCGTGCACATTCACGACATGCAAATCAAACGTCCCTGATGCATGCAGCGCCTGGACGAGCTGCACGTGGCCACCAGACGCAGCCAGAAGCAATGCGTTGTTGCCGTCCGCGTCCATGATGGTGTCGAGGCGATGGGACGCGGTGTGCGGCATGTGTTTTGCTCGAACCATGTCGTCCACCACTTGCATGTTGCCGTCGCGACTCTGCCGAAGGAACCACTCGTGCTCGGCTACCGCTCGTGTCAAAGCATCGGCGTCGCTACATTTGTCGTCGATCGAGGAATCGTTCTTGCGTGCGTCAGAAGGAGCGGCACCATGGCGACCCTTCTGGCGGCGCCTTGCCATCGCATGTGGTAAAAATGACAACTGAAATGGAGGCGTCGACGTCGTTGATTGGTGGATATTATCCGGCAAATTGCCGTTATCGAGCGACATATTGACACTTTTCGACATGCTGCATCCGTGGAACCTCCTTGGTGCACTGCGCCGACCTGCGCGGTTGCTAAACCGACTGACCAGTGCCCATCACAAGTACCTGGACATGGTGTGTGCGTCGCTTTCTCATAGCCCGCTCTTCTTCCCCCAGGGATTCTTCAGTGACGGTTGGGGCGACGTGCACGTTCCATACATGTTGGAAAAGCGTCTCGCGACCAACGACAAGTATGCGATCCAGCCCATCGACGCGATGACGTTGACGCTGCTTCATCCTACGCCATATTCGTCTCGTCTGAAACGCCGGGCCAAAGGACACACGCGTGTTGCCGGTCGGTTTCCCACCACCCTCCGCGACGGCGACTTGCTCCTTCCACCCGAAAGTCAACATGCCTGTTTTGAACTCGTCCTTTCCGACGGCACCATGCTGGTGAAAGACGCCTCACAGAACCCTCGCATACGAGTTCGTGGTCGCGGGGAAGCGTTGGTCGTGCTACTGCCAGGCACAGGGGAGCACGGATGTGCGCACCGCCGACGCGCGATCGCCGCGCCTCTCGCTCATGCTGGCGTGTCGACGTTGGTATTGGAAGGCGCGTTTTACGGACAGCGCAAGCCAGCCTTGCAAAAAGGCTCGAAACTTCGACGGTACATGTCATTGCCATATGGTATGTCAGGATGACGTATCAACACTGGTAGAGTCAGCGACTTGCCGATTCTGGGCATGGCCACCATCGAAGAAACCAAGTCGTTGCTATGGTGGGCCATACACGAGTGTGGGTTTGAACACGTGGTTGTCGCAGGTACGCAGGCAATTGTCTCTCTTTTATCCCAAATATTAGACTACTTTTATGCTGAAAAATCGCCAAATCTATCGATCGATCGATTCAATGTTGCATGTCAAAATGGTATCACACTAATTGAAGTCAAACACACACACACACTAATTTGACGTTGATCATGGATTTTTCCTGCAATGGGATTGATTGGCTCGATTCTTTTGTGTATTTACATTTATTTGGATGTGTGTGTCGCTCCAGTGAAGAATAAACACAATATATATATATATATATATTGTCTACTCGATTCGAAACTGGACCCTTAGCAGAATAATACGGGATTGAATTAAAAAACCGCCTCAGCCAATCAAATCACGTCCTGTCGAATTTCTACCAATCCAAACGTTTGATTCGGCCCAGTACCAAATCGTTGGACAGTGTAGTTTGTACAAGATTTTTAAATGAGATCAAATGGATTCGAATGCTATTTGGTGAAATCACCAATTTGGGTGAAATGCACAATACAGTATATGACGTTGTCGCACATTGCAGTATGTTGCATTCTCATGCGACGCCGTTATCAGGAGGCAGCATGGGCGGCCTGCACGCGGCCATGGCGGCGTCCCTGAGCCCATTTGACGTGGGGGTGGCGGCGTGGATCGCGCCGCCGTCTGCGATACCGCCGTTTATCCACGGACTGCTGTCGCACTCATGCAACTGGGAGTCGCTTCGTCGTGAGCGCGACGACCTGGCGCTGATTGACATGCTGCTGGCTAACCACGACCAACGATCATATCGAGGACACGTGGCGCCTTTGCCTAGCCACGTACGGATACAATGTATAACATCATTATGGCGATTTATGTTTCTAGGGTAGGGTGTCGTCCGACACATGACCCTATTTGTAGTCTTGGATGCGATACAGTGACCACGGGTTCCATGCCGTGGATCTGTCTAACTTTCGTTTGTGGATACGTTTTGAAGCTTTGATTTCGAAGTTAATATATTTTTATGAAATATAGTTTTGTTGTTAACGCGTCGTGATATATATGCATCGTCTGATTCTGGAGGGGACATCACATATTTTTCAATCGATACTCTTTATAGGACGTCAAAGCCCGACTGGCAGCATTTCTGTCCTTGACCAACATTGAAAACTTCCCGCCGCCGCGGCGGTCCGACGCGGTTATCTTTGCACATGCGACGGAGGATCAATATGTGGGCGAGAACGCGCACCAGTGGGAGGTAATATATCGATTAGTATGTACTTTAGTCAGTATAGAGACCAATGGATATTGTAGTTGGTGCGGCGGCGATGGCCGGGCGCGCGCTTCCAACACGTCAAGGCGGGCCACGTGAGTGGGATTTTGTTTGAAACGCAAGAGTTCTTGGCCACGATCAGCGAAGTTCTGCAGCAACTCAAGCAACCCCCATATATAACTTCGCCATAGTAGAATATTACATTGCCATACCTTTTCATACTACTAAGTATTGTGCATTTACCCAAATTTGGGCATTAGACGAAGTCTAGTTAGTATATAAATGGTTTTGCCCAATGCGAAGGGACTGGGCCGAGTCAATCGTTTGGATTGGCAGAAATTCGACAGAGCGTGATTTGATTGGCTTAGGCACTTCTTTAATTACCTTTTAAGGCTGAGGGCTCCAGTTTTTCGAATCAATTTGACCATACTAATACTGTAGTTAGTACTATTAATAGTACTAGTAGTAGTTAACAGTAAGCACCAGGGAGATGCAGGAACTGGCGAAAACTCATCATAACACGAAGTTATTGAAGGCCAAAATCGAGGCATTCATGGTTGGCGAAAGCGAAACTGGAGTTTCCTCGCAGTCATCCAACTTGTTGGACATTGGGTGTTGTACTGACACGCTTTGTATCTGCATGTTCTTCGCGCCATTTCGCAATGAAAACATAGTTTGTTCCGGATATTTCACTACTTTTGCGGATGCAATATTTTTATTGCGCATGTCCGACAGGATCATGCGCATATATCGAAAATGGACGAACTTTGATGTGGTTTTTCTCGAACTGTGTCATCCTTACTGCAATACTACTTGTACTACAAGATAGTACATTACTAGCTCAGCCTATGCAGCATGGTCTGCACATGCACAGCTCTCTCTGGCATAAGGCATCTTACCCGCATGTACACGTTTGTTGTTGAAATACGACGAATTTGCCTAGGTCGAAGTTGTCTTTCTCTACAGCTGTTGATTCAGGCGACATGCAATAAGGTGTTGTTGATAGTATTGGTTGTTGTTATGAGGAATTGAGAGTTCCGTGACCCGCTGTGGAGTGTGCATTGAGAAATCGCTGACCTGCATCGCGCCTTTCGCATCCACATTCTGTACGATGTATAGATCGTTTTGCAAAACGTAATTAATTATGGAGATGAATAAAAATACGCATATTGAATACAAATATCAACATAAATATGTTCAAGCGAATAATAATATGTAACTGTCGCGCGCACGTACACGTCGTTTGATTCCGTGGAAGTGGCAGATTGAGTTCCTGGTTGACTCGCACGCGACAACTTGAATCAAGATGCATGCGTCCCCTCGACAATGGCACACCATGATTTGAAGGAGTCAAGGACCTTTCATTCTTCATAGTGATGTGTTTGTGTCCTGTTCCCGCATCTCCCAAGGATACGTATGAGTAAGTGGGTGAAAACTATGTACCCTTGTCAAGTTCACCAAGACTTTTGTATCGCAAGTTAACAGAGGAATTAATTGAGTTATGGGAACACTAGTACAATACGTCTTAAGGTGGACTTGGACAGCAAGTTGTGGATTCAGAAGGTAGTGATGGGAATGGAGAAGTCGGAGGCAGCAGGCAAGGAGGAGGGGCTTGGTACTGCATGTCGTAATGCGACCAGTCCTTCAATATCGTCGACATGTATCGATGCATCTCCACTCGAACTACACATCACATATTGGACACGTGAATGAAAGGAAGTCTCTTACCAGCGCGGTCGGTCATGTCTCGGCGGTCCATCTCCTTGAGGATCGTTTGGGTGTCGAAGCGTGTGGCGTGGATGAGCGTTTGCATGACGAACTGCCGGCGGAGGCTGTGGGATGACTGCAGAACCCCCGCGACGATGGCCGAGGACAGTGCCCGAAGTGGATACATCCCAAGCACACTATTCAAGTTGGCAATCCATCGAAGCATCGCGATCTGGACTTGACGTTTCGCCAAAATGAGTTTCACGAGTAATGGCTAGAACAATATGAGGCCACATTGATCAGAAGGAGCGTACCGCATATTGGAGAAAGAACGCGGCGGCGTCCTCGGCCTCGGTGGGCGTCGGGTCCAGTTGCGCGGTGCGTTGTTCCAGCAATTGGATCTGGTTCTTCACGTACCACACTGTCACGACCTGTTTCTTCAGGTGGATGCGCTCCAGCTTACGCAGCTCCTCGTAGAGCCCTGCATGGATGCCTGCCATTGGACTCAAGGTAGATAAGATAGAACTGTTGTTCGAACGTGCAAAGATCGCATGAGACAAACGAACCAGCATTTTTTATACTTGTACTCCACGTACTTTCTTTACAAACCCCAAGAGACATTTCATCATTTTAAATATCATTTCTTGGACGAACTGTCCACAGTTGGCGGTGAAATGATTGGTCTATAAAATTATAAATTGACCAATCCTATTGAGGCATTCAAGATTTGCAAACGCTAATATTAATACATCGCCCAATCGATTGATTATTAATATGGGTTTGTTGCACGAGGATTGGCCCATTGATCCGTCGTCGGACCAATCATTGCGTCGCATGATAGTTGGTGCTGTGCCCTGAACATCATCTCCGTACTATTACCCTCGCGCATCGTCATCATGTCCATGTCCGGCTTGAGCGCGTTCCTGACCGCCACGGGGGCTCTCCCTCCCGCCGGCCCGGCCACGAACCTCATTGCCGAGCGCAAGACGATAATGTCGGCCTTCTCAACGCTGGATTTAGAGCTGCAAAAGGGTCCCAATGGGGAGGTCGTCGTCAACACAAAGTCGGCAGCGCGAGACCTCCTCGACGCGCGCAAGGCTGAAAAGCAGCAAGAATCGTTGTACGAACAAAATGCCCAGTTCCATGCCAAGCAAGTGCTGGAGAACAAGCCGCCAGTGGTCGTGACGGCGTTGACCCAGGCCCTGGACTCATTTGCCGCGGACACGGACGACCGGTTTCTCACCAAGGCGTCGGTGCTGCCCGGGTCGAAGAAAGGCCGCAACGTGTCGCGACGAGCACGTGCACGCAACGACTCGAACAAGGAAAAGATGGAGAACTACTCGAGCAAGATTAAAACCAAGTCCACGATGCAAGTCAAGCGCGCCGAGCGCAAGGAAAAATACAAGCATATCTACTAATGCTGCTGCCCTATTTTATACCTAAGTACTACACACGACCCCCCTCGAGATTGCATTGTTGTTGACCGTGACTGCCTGCGCTAACGTTATCCGAGTCGTGCAACGTTGTCGGTGGTCTCCTATGTAGCCCCTTCCAATGTTTTGAGTGGGTTGATGTACTGCATTGGCCCTGTACACTGTACTACTACTTTCTTGCACGACGTGCCAAACATAAGACAGTACACCTGTGACGTGGCACGCTGTGGGGGCGACCAACAAGGACAGTTCGTGGCACGCTATGGTGCAAGTGTCTGAACCTTTGTAGGCACGTACAATGTTTAGACCACTTGACAGAGATCTATTGATGTGAATTGCAACCATTTCGAGAGACAATTTTTTATGTTTATTTTTCGCCTTTGCCAGTGATTACAGATTGTCGCACTTTAATTGTCAATTTTTGAAACAAGGTCCTGTACTACTATTAATATTTAATATTAATAGTACGTATAGTATGGTATGAATTTCCAGACTCCGTCGAATTCAATCTCGCCGCTGAATCGAATCACGAATCGACGCTATTGTCTAATCCATTTTTAAGTGGATTTGATTGGCTCTTGCAGCAAGGATCCCATGAGAAAAAGGAGAAAAGAAGTATCAACAAAGTTTGTCTGGATGCCAGTTGAATTTTGGAAAAATTATTCGAATTCTGATTGAAGTGCAGACTTCAACACCTCCATAAAAAGTTGGACCAAATTGGTCCATTTTATTTATGCCATAAAACACCTGATTCTCAAGAAAATTGTGGCATACTATTGATAGTAAATTTTTGAAATTTGGTGGCATCCAGACGCACAAAATTTCGAAAAATGGAATATTTCGATTTTGGCAACATTTTCTTGGAAAAACGGCCATTTTATGCCATTTTTATGGCATCCAGACCCGCCCTTATTACTGTAATAGTACACCATGTGACAATCCAAAATAACACTTTGCCAGCGCCTAGCAATTAATTATTTTCTATATTTACACACTGCTCATTGTTTTTTAATTGCATTTATTTTTTCCCATACACCAAGCCAATGTCTACAACAACTACTCTCATCGACTGTACTGTCACCACCACGTTAACCCCCCACAGAAGCCTCATCACCGCAGTTCGGTCAACCACCCCCTCCTTTTTCAACGTTGTACTAAAAAATCATCCGAACTAACACTAATTGCGAGCTCGGGTTTCCTTGGCTCAACGTAAATTACTCCGCCGTAGATGCTCGAAATGGCACAGTAGACATATGGACCGAGATACACGTGGTTTTTGCATGTGGGGGGCTTCGACTAACTTACTACCCCAATGCATTCATTAAAGTTGGGCCAGGTATTAAGTGATAAAGGAAATCATATGTGATAGAGGATCGTTGGATTGTAAGTATCAAGTGTCACGAGTATCTATTTCCAGGAGGTTTGTCAAGTGAATTTCAGAGTGACGACAAGTGCCATGTTTGGGACGTTGAGGTATGATGGCGATAAAGGTCGCATAACTTGACCTCATCTTGAGTAGCAAGCGACTACTATCGAAGCAGCGTCATGCTGTACTCGCTCCCCACGGGTACGTCCGTCGAGGAACTTTGGCGGCGGCCGAGTGATGCAACGAGTGTAGGGCCATGGTGGCATTGATGTTCGCGGCGGCAACCTTGTCCGGGGAGACGCGCAACGAAGAGATCAAGGAGTCGAGTGCGGAGAAGAAGAAGAAGGAGAAGAAGAAGACGCACTGGCACACGAAGCAGCGCCACGAAGAGTCGGATCAGCAATCCATCCTCGTCAAGGACAGCTTGAAGAAGTACAAGGAGGACCTGACCGCATTCGACAGCGTCGCATCCCGCTTCGATACGTTCGCAACGGCCATGGCCAAAGAAAAGGACGCCAACGGCGTGCGCCGCAAGGCCATGACGTTCACAGGTGCCGTGTGTCTGTCCTAGCCATCACCACTCACACCTTCGCCGCCCGTAGACTTTCTCCACTCGCTCGTGCTTCCCCGCTTCCGCCTCTCCCATCCCGTACGTGCGATCCCTCCCTCCATATTCTTATGGAATATGGCGATATATATATAAAGAATACTAAACATTGTGTGTGATGCCATTTGTCGATATATATATATATATACATAAACTATATGGGATGATGATGGATGTATGGAGAGTTTAAGTGTTTGAGATTGATATATTTGTGGATGGTGGCAAGTTAGAATCGGTGGTATTGTAGTGGAGTTTGGTGTATTTATAAATATATATATATATATGGTTCTCATCATTCTATTTAATATATCGTGTAGCCACGCACGGCGCAGTACACGTGTCCGTTTGTGGGCGATGCGGACGGGTTGATTTCTTATGAAGAATGTCACTTGCTCTACCACTTGCTCGAGATTCCAGTCGAGCACTTTGACGTGGCGTTCCACATGTTTGATCTCGACGGCAACGGTTCGATATATATATATATATATATTACTATTCCCCGCTCTCGTGGAAATAATATATATATGTTGGCATAGGCACCGTGGACAAGGCCGAGTTTCTCGAAGTGCTGTCGAGTGTACTCAACAACATCAAGGACCTCCGCACGTCCACCTCGGAAAAATCCACCAAAGATGACGACGACGCTGTCCACGGTAATTAATTTCTCTCCATGTGTCCAATATAATATATGTATATATATATATTGAGAATTCGCTATAAACTTCCAAAATTCGCGTGGTTTGTCTAATTAATATTGAATCACGCTGGAGTTCTGATTGGTTGAATATATTTGTCGTTTCTGAGAGCCAATCAAATCCATTGAAAATTGGATTAGCCAATAGCGTCGATTCGATTTGACGGGGTCTGGAAATCCACAATATATACATCAAGTAGAAAAGATATGATTTCGACGATCGTGCATTTGATCAGACAAATCGTATACTACTTTTAGTAACTCGACCTTCATGTGCGTGCTGCTGTTGTACTGAGTTTTGGTCCGTCGGTGGTAGTACTAGTAGTAGTACTCGTAGTAATACTAGACCGACATTTTCTCTTTCATCGACAAACATGTCGCATCCCATATTACGAAAGGTTGGACATTTTGAAGTCATCACACACTGGTTCGATGTGGAAGCGAGCGTTGAAGAGTGATATGCCATTTGATTGGCTACTTAATTGCGTGTGTAGTGTTTTGATTGGTCGATTGGCTAATCCATACTAGTACTCATTATATGCGTGACGATTGTAGTGGAGGCGTCGTACCATTTGCTGCTCCATTTCTTTGGCAAATCGGGCAAGAAGAAGATCACGGGGCGGGAGTTTGTGGCTGTGGTGCAGGCGCTGAAGGAAGCGTTGCTCCGGGCAGAGTTTGATATGTACGCTACATCACCGTCGGCCACGACCAAGGTACGTACGATCTCATGTATTCATTTATAGAGGGAATTACGGTTAGGAAAGCACGATCTCGGTGCACGACTTCGCGGTCACGATGATCTCTTGCTTTGACCCCAAGCACTTGCCGAGGATGCTCGATCGATTGCACCTGCTTCGGGCCACCGATGTACTATATCCTCCTAGTTCTCGTCATCGTTTGCATGTGTCTTGTATGGACTGGCATTGGCTGGTTGTTTTACGTTTGATATATATATATATGTCCAAAACGATGTGGTGGTTATATATGTCGTGGACGATGTAGTTGGTGTGTGGATAATATATATTTATATATATACAATATATATAATATTTTACAACGTATTTGCTTGGATATGATGAATAGGAACGTGTGTCGTGGACCGAGTTTCGCGAATTCCACAGCGTGATTCAAAACCATTTGGCCGACATCAGGCTCGCGTTTGAGCTGCAGCGAGGCGGCGACGAAATCACCGAAGGTATACCTATATATCTATATTTATATATTTGTCCAACGATACCTTCGCAATATATATAATAATATATATATTTGTTCAACGATGCCTTCCCAATATGCTATATTATATTAATATATATACTATCCCATTGTATTCCACTCGATTGTATAGGCATTTGTTTCTCCAACGATGCCTTCCGAATATATATTAATATATATATATATATATATTATCCCATTGTATGCTGCCACTGGATTGTATTCTTCTGTACTTATATTATAATTATCTCTATTTGCTTGTAGATGACTTTATCAAGGCAGCGTACATTGTGAGCGGCGTGCGGCTGCCGGCGCATATCGTGTCGATGGCGTTCCGCGTGTTCGATTTGGATGGCAACGGATCCCTCGACCACGAAGAAGTGCTTCGGGTACGACAAACATGATACTTCGCATATTCACATACTTGTATTGGACTGGCAAAGACAACTCACTAATCTTGTGTATTGGTTGTCGTTGTATACTAGTATACATATATATATATATTTATGACTACAGCTTATGCATGGAGTATTAATTGGGTGTATATGATATATATATATATATAGGTGCTGTCGGCGCGCAACAACCAAGCTGCGTTTCATAAGTCGCACCAATCAACGTGGTCCAAGTTCTGGGCGTGTGTGACCACGACAAGCGACTAACAAGTCTACATCAACCATAGCTAGTATATAGGATATGGTAGAAGGGAGTCGCGATAATAACACCACGGAATGGGACTTGTTCTTTTTACTGGTGGTGGCCAAGCTTGTGTATATATATATTTAATAATATTCAATGCACAACACTTAGGTATTGTTGTGTTTAAAGCTGGAGCGATGAATGTATGAGTATCGACACATAACCAAATAAATGTACTGACAGAATCACCAGAAGAAATTAGCCAATCGGATTGCAGAGAAAAAATCACCAGTTCAACCAATAATCAACAAACATCCTACATCCATATGAGACTAAGTACTTAACGTTAGTGTATATCAGAGCTGGAGTGGTGCTGATACTGTTCACGCCAGGGGCGATACATAGTAACGTTACAGCTATGTCATCCTTCTTGATAGGGTACACACCTACAGCAGAACCATTTACTACAAACGTGTAGGTATTCTATACTATATACCTTGTATGACAAAGGAAAGAAATGCCAAGAAATGCTAGACTGGCAGACACCGACGATGGTAAGTACGTTGATAATTCAGATATTTACGACCCGGGATTGTGCTACGAGTTGCTTGGCCCGTGCAGCAACTTGCTTATATATGGATTCACAAACTTGGATGTGGGATCCAGCGATGTTTGCAACTGAACAAAGGCTTGAAATTTGGGGTACACCCGTCGCATGTCGGTTGCGTTGAAGTAGTTGTTCTTTCCTGGATGGGGCCGGGCGTCGTACTTGGCCAGTGCGCGGTGCATCGCTTGATGGAGAGGCGCGATCTCCGCCGCAAACTGCGACGACGTTGTGCTGTGGTACACTATCGACGACACAACCACCGTCCGACGGTTGTAGAACGGGGACAACCACCCGTTGTCCGGTTCAACGTACCGCATCCCGAGGAACAGCGTCACCTACAGTACACACATCGCATCACACCAGCCAGTTCAGATGGATACGACATGGAGTGATGCGATATAGAGAAAAAGGTGGAGAGAGCGTACCAATGTCGAATGCGACAACGTTTTATGCACCGCCAGGAGCTCCGTAAGGGCTTGCAGATCGTTGTCGGCGCCGATCATGAGCTCGGTCTCAGTGAACAACCCACCAATCATGTTGTTCCTGCCGTCGACGCCCAACGTCTTGTAGCTGACGTCGATGCATGCATACGCCCCCGCCGGCCATCTCGACCAGCCGAGCGGCGGCGGCGACGTTGGCGCTGCCGAGCGGCCGCCCCAGCATCCCCCCGCCGCGGTCACTGCTCTGGTTGTGTTTACGCGGAGGATAACCGTCACAGACTGCGTTGTCGCTACGTTACCATACAGGTACCACTGCACTCTGTCGTACGTCTACATGACAAAGATAAGCGATGACCGGACATATATGATGAATGTACCGCTTGCAAGAGGCGGAGGTTTTGCTGAAACGAAGCCAGGGACAGCGTAAACGTGATTTGCTCCATGCGCCAAATGGGAACGTGCTGGAATGTGATGGTGCTCACGACACCCAACGCCCCCATGCCCACTCGCGCGGCATCCAGAAGCGGCGAGCCAGACTTGAGCGTGAGGATGGTTCCGTTGGCAGCAATCAAGTCCATCCCGACGATTCCCGACGAGATGCTGCCCGTCTTGCCCGTGCCGTGGGTTCCTGTCTGGGTGGCGCCGGCTACGTGACGTTCATTTCGTGAGATCAATGTGTGTTTGATGTTGGAATAGAATGAACGTTACCGGCAGTTTGAACGGCCACGGCGCCGAGATTCGGCAACGCACGACGTCTGGTTTCAAGGTACGAGTTGATTGCGTACAGAGGCATGCCGGCTTGGACGGTGATGGTGGTGGTGTCGAACGATACGACGGATGCGTAGTTGTTGAGCGTGATAAGGGTCGCGTTGGTTAACACGATGGGCGAGAACGAGTGACCTGCACCCGCGACACGGAGACTCGTTGCCGCCTTGACGGCTGCTTGGAGCTCCACCACAGACGCAGGACTGACGTCTTTCGTGGGATAACATGCTTGACGCGTGTCCCAGTTGGTCCACGCCGCGGCCGCTTGCGTCGCCGCACACAGGACAAGGACAACCTTCGATAGTGCCACCATGGTGACAACTCGGAGATTATTGCGCCCTCCCAACTCAAATGTGAAACGGCTCAACTTTTCAGCCAATCAACGCTCTCTATTTTTGTCCATAAAAATATCAAAAAGGACGGCTGTATTTACTGTAAGTACTGGTATTATATTAATAACTAAGCGGTATTTAGTGTGATGTTCGATTAACAGTGAATTGACATGGCGGATGCAACACTGAAACCTCGCCGAGGCAACAACCCGTCGTCCAACAAGGGCAGGCAGCCAAAGGGCGGCAGAGGCGGAGACCGCCATGCACCTTCATCTGGACTGTCTTCCCGCGCTGCTGCTGTCACCCCCGCGGCACCGACCATCCATCGGCCGCCGCATGTGAGTACGACCATTTTCACGCCAGACATGCCGCGGCAGCAATTGTTGTTCGCGTCGTCGACCGCCCCGCAAAAGCTGTACGAGCCATCGTCGTCTCCTGCCTCGCCACTTGCACCCATGTTCCCTCGACCCCACGCCACGAGTATGAACAGAGGCAAGGCCTCTCCAACCGTCCCATCCTTTGACACAACGCCTTCATCCCGCACGACGGGGAACACGTCGCTCTACCTTGCACCCGACACACATGAGGCCACAGCTTCATCGCTCCGTCGCTGGAAACTCGTGAGTCCACAATTGCAGGTACTATCAGAAGCTAGCTATACATTCCATCGATCCTTGCATGCTGATCATCCACGTAGTTTATCGTCCCGGACGCAGTGCCAGGTCCATGGAGCGACATGACCCAGTTCCATGCGATCGCATGTGTGGGCTTGGAAGGCGTCGGTAAATCCACCATCCTGTCCATGCTCTGCGGCCACGACCGCCGCAACGCTGCCCCGACCAACACTCCTTGGTTTCCAATTCAATCCAATGGTCCGAATCATATCTCAACGGATTATTTGAATCCAATATAAATGAAATATCCTTCTCCTTTGAATAAATGAATTCGAATAGATTCCGTCCTGCACAGCACCCACGAAACCAACGGCATCGACATGTGCATCACACGGGACCACGTGGTGTTTCTCGACTGCCAGCCCCTCCTTAGCACGTCGGTACAGTCGTGCTTGTTCAGCTTATTTAATATTTGGTTCATTTATTCATTTATTCATTTATATATTAGATGATGGCAGAGTTGGCCCAACACCACGAGACGCCCAAGTATGGCGCCCTGGCCCTGGAGTAAGAGCCGACTACTAATTAGTGTGCAGACGGAGCTCACACTATTTTCTGTCACGAGTGTAGCCAGCAGATCCAGCTCACGTCGCTACACTTGTTGGTGTATTTGCTCTCCGTATGTCATTACGTGGTGGTAGTGTACGACCGATTGGACGACCCAGGTAGAGCATATGCGTGTTGGTTTTATATAGAGTTTTGTATGTGCGTTGCCAGATGGGACTTGCTGTACGATCTAAACAAAACTGTACGACCTGTGTATGATGTATCTGTATATCCGCATATAGAACTATGGCAGCTCATTCAGTTGGCCCAATTGATCAAGGCCCGATACGATGCGGCAGGGGACGCTACCACTATCACTCCTACTTATTCAAATCCCACATCCAAATTCATTTTCGTGGCCAACAAGGTACTCCCGGTAGTCGCCGCATTTGATTCCCATACATATATATATATATGTATAATAAATTTAATATATATATACAAAATATATAATATATATTTATATATGCATAGATGGCTCCTTTGACACCGAGCCAACTCGAGCGACACCGCCAACACCTTGGCCATGTGATTGGAATTCCTACTTGTCATGACGATAATGATCATACCAGTGCAGCAGCACATGCAGACGGCGATGACGTCGACGCCGTTCCCATCTTCTGCCTGCCGCCCTTCTCGGCGACGGCATCGGATGCACATGCCGCGGAAGCATTGCGGGCACATGTGGCCCTATTGACAGCCCGCCTTCCTGCCGCCGCTTCGACCGAGCCCGTCATGACGTTCCAGGACTGGCTCGCCCACGGAAGTCGCTTGTTTGAGAGCATTCGAAAGTCCACACCCATGGTTGACTATGCCAGGTTGCTGCAAAACATCGCCTCGTCCAAGGGTTAACATGTAGTTATTGGTCCAGTTTTGAAGAATACTAAAAGTCCTCGCAGGTCTCGATCTATATCGTACTAGTAGTACATATATACACTACAGTAGTACATATTAAGCAGGATGTGTACGGAAACGGAAGGAGTGAGGTTTGGCACAAAAAGAGGAGCTTTACGATGATTGCGGTGTCGTGTGTATATATTTGATAGCTTTCGCTACAGACTTGTTGCACTATTGCCAAGTCGATTCGATTCAGTCAATCGATGTATCGACCAATCAAAATCAGATCACGTAATCAAGTAGCCAATCAACGACTAATGCAACATCGAATTCGTGTGTGACTGAAATTAGTGTGAGACTGGACGATCTTACATACAAAAGTCATGGACAAAGAATCAGTCGATAGATTGTTTGTACTGACTTTTGTATGTCAAAATCGTACTAACGTCAGTACTACCGTATAGTGTATATATATTGCGACTCCTGTAATAACTGATAATTTTCTTGTAATAACTGATATTTACTTGTATACATGTTGAATATACTTTAAATTTGTATGACGCAATGGATTAGCAAAATTTTGAGAACGAGTGTCGGCTGGTTGTGATATACCATCTGTCGCAATACATATACACTATGCGGTAACTTAATTTATGTCACATTCGATATTGAATTCGTCCAAGAGTAGATTTGATTGGCTCATTGATTCTTGATCTAGCTTTTGATTGGTTGATCGATTGTCTACCGATTTGGTCCTGCTCATTCGATTGAGCACACCCCCCACTCCAATGTTCGAATCGACTTGACAATAGCAGGAGCGGGTAATCGACATGTATGTTGGTTGCTTTGAATACGAAATATATCACACGAGTATTCGCTTTTGGATCGTACTAGGCAGTTTTCACGAGTGTGACCTTGATAACAACAACTATGTGCCATGTTGCCGTCTAGAAAATATCGTACACAAGTACAAGGTCGCCGTCGTCCATGTACAGTGTTCTGTACTAATAGTAATAATATATACAAATGCGGAAATAATAATACCAGGGAATTGCGGGTGGGTGTAAGTTATGTTTTGCTACTGCATGTGTACAGTGTACTAGTACAGTACTAGTCCCTAGCTTAACCAACAACTACAGTAACTGGTAGGGGGGTACAGTAGTTAGTGGTTAGGACGTGACGCTCGACCGCCGCCTTTGCCGCCACGGAGCAGCTTTTGAGTCAGGTCCAGGACATCTTGTCGAAGGCGTTCAATTTCACGGGTGTGAACTACCGCGTCTAGTAGTAGAATGACTTGAGAAAATATATTACTTACGTTATGGTTCGAACACCCACAACAGACCAACATTCTCAGACAACACACATTCACAATATTATACCGTAGGGCGTCGTGTGCTGCAACTGGCGACGCAATTCGGCTTCGCGTTTGCGATGCCGTTCTGTGACGTGGCGGAGTTTGGTGGTACATCGGTCGTGCCACCCTTTGTGCAACTGGAGCACCCATGTATCTACCCCATGATACTACGTCACAACAAGGGAATATATAATATATATGGCAAAAGCAGGGGAATACGTCACTAGAGCTCTGTCGCAGATACATTTTTGAAAGCTAGGACTGTACATACCAAATAGGTGGGGCGACACGGTGGGGCAATGGCGCCGTTGAAAGCTCCGCACGAGATGCAGCACGTGCGATGGCACCCACCGTAGCTCTTCGTCCATCCCCGAGCTAGTTGGCTCTGACCGGCTCTTGAGTGTAGTTGGATGTGTGACAGCGTTTTTGGGTGCTAAGTACCGCGGAAGCAACTCCGACACCAGGCGACCCCACGCATCTAAGTTGTCTTGTGGTGGCCTTTCAACGTACGACGCGCCAACCAATGTCTCATGCATCTACGGGAAGCCCAAGTTTTAGAATTCAAACCAGATATAAGGCATGATATAAGCAGATACTAGTATATCATAATACGAACTCGAAAGCGTGCAAACTCCGCCGTGTCCATCAGTAACGCACTCAATCGTTTGTTGTCTGCAATCAATTGCGACAGGACGCCCGTCGTCGCCTCCTCGTCGTCATTGTCACCGTCGTCGTTGATTCGCCTGTGACGATGTTTATGTGCAGCCAACTCGATCTGCAATTCCTGCACTCTGGTTCGACACTTGTCGCAGTCTCGCTCGATTTCTTTCCGACGCGCTCGTTCTCGATCGAGGTCCTCCCGCAGGACTTGGTTCTCTTCCACGACCACATCCATGTCGTTGCTCTGCCGAGTGGAACTAGTGGCTTAGCAACTAGAGTATTCTGACACGCAACTCTGTACCTTGTCTCGAAGTTGCCGACGTAGCAACTGCACCGTGTCGTCCGAGATCTTGGCCTGTTCAATCTTGTCTACATATGCTTTGGCCATCTATGTACATCAACAACAATGCGTCGAATCCTCTGCAACATCAGTCCATCTTGTGTACATTGGTTGGGATATCGTTAGAAGTTGGTTGGATTAGGGGGATGTGTGTGTACTGTACGAACCTCCAAGTCCTGGACCAAGGCGTCCATACGAGCTTGGGCTAGTCGCTCCCGCCTTTCAGAGTCGCGTCGAAACTGCGCAAACTCGTGTCGCAAGGTTTCATGTCGACCGAGGGCGTCCCCTAGATCCTGCTGCTGCTGTTGCTGCTGGTTGTCTTCGCCCATGCTGTTTTTGTGGCTTGTCTTGGCAGCCGTTTCAAGCGCTCGCAGTTTGAGCTGACGAAGGTCTGCGCCCAGGCGGTAGTACTTTTCCTTGCAATCGGTCAACTCGACGAGCACTTTCAAGTGTTCCGACGCATCCACACAACATGTAGGGGATGGTGATCGAGAAGAATGAAGCATGACTGGTAGAGCGCTCAACGCCACAACGTCGAGAAAAGGGAAACGCATCACCATGATTTGCCAAAAATAGTACCCCCCCATCCCCACAGACGCAGTGCACAAGTTATGATGCTAATGTTACAGTACATCATTATGGACATCAAGCTTCGATTCCAATGCCACTAACTTGGTTATGCTAGTGCCCTCAATCAAACATGTTTGCGATCTCTCTCGCATACTAGTATGCTTTCATATTCGTGTCATATCACATGTGACAATAGCACCACACTCTTCCCCGTGAAACCCTGGGCCCAATACAGTACTTGTATCATCCAATACATTGTCGACATTCATGCAAGTCTAGTGTACGTTAGATGGGAAAGTGAAGCGGACGTCCACTACCTACAGTAGTCGTCTCCTGGCTGCACTTGATTTCGTGTAGAAGGGGAAACTGTATATCTGTGTATTAATATTCATTCCACATTAGCTCCACTATCACTCATCTAGAAGTGCCTGGGCTAATCCGGTCTCGCCTTGAGTTGTGGCATGTCGTTGTCGCCCTCGTCGTTGGTCGTCCGCCGCCGCCATCTTGTCCAATTTGGCTTTTCGTTTCGTGTACTTGTCAATACCTTTCATGACAAGGGCTTCGCCTTGGTGGACCCTGGCTTCGTGTTCAACGTGCCCTGGTATGAGCTCTTCGTACTGCTCCAATCCCATCGACTTGACCAGGCGTGCATACCCTTGCCACATGGTTCCCGCGGCCACGACGATCATACACATGGGCAGGTACACATTGAAGTCGGTGCCGAAGAAGTGGATCATTCGCATGTCCGTGAACAGCGTGTGGAACGCCGCGCGGTCTGTGACGCCGTGGCGGTTGAGCAACAGGCAAAAGTTGTAGCCAAGGGAAAACTGCAGTCGGCACTGCTGGACTGCCGCCGTGAGAAGGCTTAGCTCGGTCGAGTTGTGCGCGCCGTGGAGCGCTACTCGGCCAAACCCTCGAATGGAGAACAAACTTTGGTAGACGCACGTGCCCATGTACGTGAGCACGGCGCCGAGGACCAGCTGGACAGTCAAGCTACCACTCTTGGCTGTAGTTTCTGTAGAAGTGGCAGAGGAAGTAGTGAGCAACTGGCCCAGTGGGGACAGCCGAGGGTTGACGCCCATAAACACTTCGCTCCACAACACCACGACCGACCCAAACACACAGCATGCCGTGGCGGCGCCCACGATGTACGGCCACATAACATGTAAAGCGGCCAGCATGGATGAAGTGGGCGACGAAGTTACACTGCCACTGAGGTGCTGGTCTTCCTGGTTTGCCCACTGAAGCAAGCGCTGCGCGGACCAGCACACTTCCTGCCATGCTTGTTCACATCGCCGCAAGTCGGCCTTAATGCGCTTCACGCGGCCATGCAGCAGTATCACGTCGGATTCGGAAGGTAATGCTGGATCGAGCTGGACGTATGACGTGACAGAAGGAGCTGACGACGATGGCCGCAGTGGTTTTGGTTTATGGACTCGTTTCATTCGACCTCCCGTCTCCTCGTCGTTGTTGTCGAGGCCCAATGTGTCTGTGACATGGCGCAAACATTGCTTGATGTATTGAACATCCGGCGTGAGAATGATGGTGGACTGCTCCACCGCATGAAAGCGCCGGACCGTGTCCTGGACGTCACGCACGACGTCTTCGTACGTGAACATGGCTTCGACGCGGTCGTCGTGGATCTGGATCGCGCGAAAGTATATGCGCCGCAACTGGTCGTGTGGACTCGCTGAGCGCCACACGCTGCGCGGGACGTTGACGAGGCCGAACCCGAGCAGCCCAATCAGCCACAGCAGGCCGTACGTGTTGGATAGCGTCATGGCCAGTCCGACAAGTCCAGAGAGCGTGAAATGGTCCACCACTACAAGGTACGTCAGTAGCGCGACACCAGTGGCGAGAAGGACCGCGTAGTGCCGGAGGAGATACTGTACGGACGCGCGGAGCTTTTGCTGCGGCGTGAACGCACCGCTCTGGCTGTATTCGATGAGCACGGGGAGGATCACCCAACTAAGAATGAACGTCAACCAGTACAATAGCTTCCATCCTGTCAAGAGAGACGCATGCGTGGAGGACGACGCTGCCACAGTCGCCGAGATGTCCACTGGTAGCAACACGAGCCCCAGAAAGCCTGCATACCAGCTCACAAATACAAAGCTGTAGACGAGGTACCCGACGTGTGCATCCTTGTAGTAATGGAGCATGTACCCAGTGAAGAGAAGGAGCACCAGGCATTCGCCGCTGAATGCTATCGACATAGCCTAGAGCAATGATGGAGGTGCTTGAGGGATGATGATGGAGTTGCTTCGAATATCGAAAGTGTGTTGGAAAGGATGCATATCCTGAAACCCTAACGCTAAAATCATCCAATTAACATGACATATTATTTTTTCATAATGCAAATCTACTAGTATTTCTTTCAGATACTTTGATTCTGCTACTACTTGTACTACTCTACTATCAACTATTATTACTGGTAATAAACAGTGTACTGTACTAACGTGTACTAGTATTAGTACTATTAATACCATACCGTACGCAATAACCCTGCGATTTCTCGTCCAGGGTACCTCAGGCAAGGCCGAATTCACAGTCACTGTCAATGGCGGAATCAGATATTTTGATCTTGTGATAAATACTAGTATACAGTATAGCCCATTTAGAGATACGACAAATATCAAGCCAAATAAACATCTGTATACAATTTCTCCGTGGCATGATAGTTTTTGTGAACGCGAGGAGGACTCCAGGGTACCTACAGTACGTACTATTATTAATAATACGTACTAACTTACAGTTAGTACTATTGGTAGTATTCTATAGTATAATCAATACTCCGGAGTATATTAATTGTACGTCTTGCAATATTAATATATTATTGATGATCCCTGCTCTGAAGAGAGTGCAGCGCGGCGTCTTGGATGCCACCTTGGCGAAGTTCCAGCTCCTACATATGTATATGGGGGTAGAAAGGCCAGCAGCGCGTTCATGCCGTGGAGACCCTCACTTCGAGATCCATTCGGCGGAGATTCGGCAGCGTCTGGAGGACGCGCGGCATAGCTCGACCAACTCGACATGTATTTGCCGTGCATCTTGACCTCTTCGACGTGCATCGAGCGCTCAAATACTCGAGCCAAGGACGCCACGTAAATCTGTAAACAAGTGCACGGTCTTGAGCGTGATTGGCCCAGTCGCTGGTACGACCCATGACTTTGAGTTCGCGACGTCCACAGCGCATCTCCCTGGAAGTCCCACCAGGTAAACGAAAGCTCCTACGCCGTCAACTGCGCCAGCATGCGATCAGAAAAGGCCACGCGGCGGCAGTCGGTCAGTCCAAATGCAACTTCGTGACGCCGGATGCCTCGGGTGTATCTGTAGTATTTTTAAATAGATTCTATTTAAAAACCTATCAATCGTGAAATCGTTGTCTTTTTTGTCTTTTACGCTTGGGAAAGCAAGCTCAATCACTAACGAACATGGTTTTCTGCATAAGAATTTGTTGCATTGGAAACCTCGAAACTAAAAAACTTAGGGATGCTGGTCGATATCACGACGAATTCTAACGCCAAAGTCAAGTTCAGTTGTGGACGAGACATTTCACTTGAGGAGTATTAATATATTTGGTATTTTAATCAAAAAGTACCCCTCACAGAAAATTTTAGGTCACACTTTTGATTTGATGATACAAAATACACTAATAAACCTCTGTTTTATATATGCGCTCCCGAATTCTACTTGCCTCAAAATCCATTTGACGATTCAGCCGTTCTATCTCCGAGCTAGGATACACCACCCAAGCTATCGTTCGTAAGATGACATAGCGTCGACCGTTTAAAATTACTACTATACTTACTCTACATGATATCTGTTCAAATCCCATTAGCCTCTATAACATGGTAATTTTACGTTGTCGAAAGTGGTCAAATCGACGATTTCAATACTTAACTCAAGTATGAAGTCAGCCCATCAATGGTCGTGTAAAGCCCTCAACTTCAAAAAATCATTGTGCAATCATAAACCCTTTAAATCGATTCTTTTGGGGTTTATTCGATATAGCGAATTGTTACCTCTCCAAAACTCTATGTTTCGCTGTACAAAACGAAAAAGCGACTGAAATATTCGAAAATGAAACTCAAGCAAAACTCGGCGCATCGGTCACGTTAGTACATTTGCCAGAGGATTTTCAAAAGCGTCCGGATACGGTTCGGATACAAGTCTGTGTACAATTATCAAGACAAACATTTGGACCAGTTCGATAATGTTGCGCAGCGGTTTCATGGACGTTTTCCCGATTGGACAAATGAAGAAGATCTCATAGTTTATAAAATAGTTGAATGCCGGACGTCCTCCATTGACCACATATCCCCATGAGTATCTGTGTGAATGGGATGCCGATAGCGTCTCCTTGTATCTCGGTTAATAAGAGCACCTACCCCTACTGTACTAGGTCACGGAGTCACTTAGATCAACATCGTCATGCAACACGGACAACTCTTGTAACGTTACTTCCAGAATGATGTAGGCAACCTTTAGGAACCAATCGTTCCCCGTCCATCGTCGTCGTGATTGTTTGTGGAAACGGCGGTGGCAGTTACATTCCTCCTGACATTTCATTGGATGATTTTCAAATCAACCATCTCTGGTAACTGATTGGTTCTCTAGTTTTTATTCAATTTCTTATTGGTTGAAATACCAAAGTCGTCGATGGTCGAAGTGTTTGTAAAAGCTCGTTTTACCAACGAAACCATCATGCCGCTCCAGGCGGCAAAGAAGCTGCTACGGCTCGATGAGGCCGTGGGTTCCTTCGCCGTGCAACATGACATCACGAAAGTCCTCGATGGGCTGTATGTCGGAGGTAGGGGCATCGCCGACGACCTGTTGGCGATGCAGTCGCTCGCCATCACGCACGTGGTCAACTGCACCCAAGACATTCCATGCTATTATGACGGTACTGTCCCATTCCCTTCCTCTATCTCCATGCACGACCAATGCGCATCTTACAAGCACAATGTGTTGTAGATTCGTTGGAGTATCTCCGCGTGCCGCTAACCGACGACCCCGATACTGCAATCGAAGCCCACTTCGAAATCGTTGTCAAGTTCATTCGTATGTACAGTAGCTTTCCATCCAATATGTATGTATCTCTCCTGTGTAATGATGGTAACGAACTGTAGATGATGCGAGAGAGATGGGGCAGACTTGCTTGGTACACTATGTCCGACGCTTCTTCACGCATGCGTTTCCCCTGATCTGACTTTTAAGATGTGCATAGGTCCATTGCTCCCGTGGCATGAGTCGCAGTGCCACCTTTGTGCTGGTCTACCTCGTCGAGAGACATGACATGAGCGTGCTGGAAGCCTTGCAGTACACACGAGCTTTGCGTCCTGTGATCTCGCCCAACGTTGGCTTCATGGGCAAATTGCTGGATCTGGAGCAGCGCCTCCATCAACGGTGTAGCGTCGACCTCCACAAGTACCGAAAGGATCGCTATGCCGCGATCGAAGATCTGGTCGTGCCATCCCCTGCCAACGATGTCGACGAGGCTGCTATTTATTTGAACCATGTGGCCAGACATTAAAATTTGAACCACAATTGTCCTATCCGGATAAAGCCAACTTTCCGTTGTATTATCCGGTTTCACCATGAATGCCCAAACCACCACATCAAAATGTCATCAAGCATGTATCTCCATTGGAGTCGATGCTGGATGACTCTTTGCTGCCTTGACATGCCTTTATCACTTAACAGTAAGCTGGTCATTGATGACCTTGATTGACAACATGATCGTATCAATCATATGCATGACAGCCTCATCTCAGGTCCATGTCGCAACCCATAACACAGTGTCGAACTCTGGATGTCCAGGTGTGGAGAGGTTGCACTCAGTGAAGCTGGCATCGCTCCATACGCACCTTCCTCGTCCTTTCGCTGTCCTATTCCATGGGTTGTTTCACCGTCACGTGTACCGCCAGCGGACTCCATCCCGCAGGCCGCTTCATCTTGTTCGATCCTGCGTCGTCGTTACGGTAGAATTCTAGGAGCGTTTCGCATATCAAGCTTATTGCAAATACCTTGAACTAGTACTGATTGGTATGACGATTCAAATCAAGCTTGGGTTTTGTATTCATTACTTTTTCATATAACTCTTATAAGGAAACGTGCGTGCGCCATTTGTAATCAGTGCAATCGCGGACGCCGACAGACAGACGGTCCATACGTACATGGTGCGAGGCACAGGACTCCAAGACATCGACGAACACGACGAAGGAGGCGAAACAAGCAGCGCGACGTCGTTCTCCTCCATCATGTCTCCTCTTCCCGTTGTGATCAACCCACGACAAGTGAACGGCGGAAGCGACGAGGCCCAAAGACTCCGACACGCTCGAGAACACAATTCCCTCGCAGATTCGATCGCACCGGTCATGGAATCGCCAAGCATTTCCCCTACAACACCACGTATATACTCAGCAGGACACAGTAGTTCGGAAGGCATCCTTCTCGTGACAGATCAAGGCGTGCGTATCCAGCACGGATCCATCTCATCGTCGGCGCACCATGACGCCATCAACACCAACGAACTGTCTTTCGAAGAAGAAAATATCAACCACAATTCCACACGATCGTCCTGGTCGTACCAGGACCACCAGCATCGCATGCATCGAGACGATCCATCGCACTTGACCCCCGTCCATTCCGAACACCTCAGCGCGTCCCACGTCGAGCGTCGTCGAAGCGTCAAGGCCCGCCACGCCCCCGACGGATCGTTCGCGTCTCTCTTGCGCAACTCGTTCTTCGCGTTCCGGCTGATCTCATCGAGCGTGGTGTTGGTCGTCGTCGCCAGCGCCTGTGTCGTACTGCATGAAGTCACGTCATCCATGCACCATTGGTGCACCAACCTCACGGACGCCACGGGATACGCGCGCATCGTCGCCCTGTCGACCCTCGCCAACGCCATCCTCGTCGTGCCAGCACTCCTGCCATCGTACTGCGGCCTCTACCGCGTCTCGAAAGCACGCAAAGTGATTCGCCGCCCGTTTCTCCAGATCTGCGAGATCATCGTGGTCGGTCAGCTCGTCGTGTACATCATTCAGGTCCTTCTCTGGGCTTTCCACATGATACAAGAGCCGACGTGTCCTGCCGAAGTGTACGCGTCGACCAACTCGGTCACCCGCGCCATCATTTACGTGAAACTGTGGTCCATTCTGCCCTGCGGACTACTCACGTGGTGGCAAGTGACTATTTTTTGCCTCTTTCGCACCCACCTCAAGCTTCAAATTGGCTCGGCCAACGACTCGAGGCATTCGGCCAACCTCAAAGGCTGGCTCAAACGGTATGTCGTAGTAACGTACTTTTCGGTTTGCAGTTTGAAAACTCAGGTCAAATTCAGTGTACGTTTGGTTGTGATCTGAATGGATACAGTATGCATATATTATTGTCCTTTTCACCCGTTCGCAAATTGGGCTATTAAAATCCATGTGACCCAATTCTTAAGCTTGTATATACACTGTACTTGGTCCGAGGCTTTTCTTCATGAAAAGTTATAGTTTGCTCATGAATATATTATAAGTAGTAGTATTGTATTTAATATATATATATATTATATAAAAATATTGTGTTCCTTTCTGTATCATATTTAATGTAAAATAATAATTATTTTTAAAATATAAATAAGTTTTGTATCATTGCATCTATTTTTTTGTACAATTAAAAATAGAAGTAGTGATCTAGTTTTGCTTTTAGGTATTTTTATATTATTTAATAATTTATGTGATTGGATTCGTGTGCCCTTTTGATGCACTTGGAGTCGAACATATATCCAAGTTGTCCTCAAATACATCTAAAGACTTTTGTGTTTCGATCGTCTCCGATGTTGTTGATTTGTGGACTGGGATTCCCAGATGCATATATATATATATATATATATGGTTAGCTCAAGCTCAACATTACCTATATATAAAAAATTTCATTTTGCAATGTCTGTCGTCCATAGCTTGTTCACTCTGCCGTCGTTTGGCCGTCGCAATCGCATCATCCGACAACTGCGCACGGACCTGTTCAAAGCGGCTTTGACTGGGGACCTCGCGCTTGCTGAATCATTGCTGACCCGGGCCGAGCAACTCCTCGGTCGCGAGTTTGCCGTTCGGAAACTGTATCGCGGTATGTATGTGCATGCCTAACTGAGCACTGGAACCATTTATAGTGTGCATATATCATTGATTGCCTATATATATATATATTTGTGTAATTATATACGTGTCCAATGGTCTGTTGAAAAATCTGTACGAGAGCTGAAGCAATGAAGAATCCATCTAAATTCGTGCTGTTTTGTTCAATGGATGATTATGTATTATTTTTAATTTTTGGAGACTATTAATAGTTTTATAGTTCTGTCTAGGCAGTACGTGGGTCGATGCATATATATATATGTATTAACACGAATAGGCTATCCAAACATTGTTCACTATGTCGATCTCTGGGGAATTGACGACTTGCCAGTTTGATTTTTTCCCATGTATTGCCCCCTTTTCGCTGATTCACGAGTCAGCATTTTTTACGCTTCGTCAATGTATGGTGGTAGACTTGTCTAACGATATGGTTGGGCTAAACGATGATTGGTTCAAATGTCTCCATCGTATAATTTGATTGGCTAGGTCATTCTAAAGATTCATTCGATTATTCCACAGAGACCACTTGGAATTGACACATATATATCCATATTAGAACCCCGGTTGTGGTTGTGGTCGTTTGCAACCTCTCGCAAGAATCCGCTGCATGTGGCCGTGGCCCGCGGCGACTGCGCCATGATCAATCTGTTTGTCAAGTTCCGCTTCGACGTCAACGCGCTCGACAAGGTGGCGCGTGTCAACTTCAACTTTGGCTTGTTCTTCAAATGGACGCGGCTCTTGGTACGTTGCTACCCTTTCTCATCTGTGGCATTTGTGTTGGAAACAAATCGATGGCATTCAAGTTGGAAATATATTGATGGGAATGGGAATGAATTTTATATGTATGTAGGTGAAGACACAAGACTACCTCCAAGGCGCGAACGAGTGGGTATTTCTGAGCGTATTGGTCCCGCCGCTGCATGTGGCAGTCCAGCAGGGCCAGATCGACGCGGTGCGGACGCTGCTCAAGCACCATGCTAATGTCGACACGCTGCCCCGCGCGTCGTTTTACTGGCCCGCCGCCGTGAAACCCGCCATTTTCTTTGCCGACCATGTCCAAGTACGTTGACCATCCAGGATACTTTTCATGATATATATATATTCATACGTTCACTATATATATATTTATGTATATATATATGTACTAGGTAGTAATTAATATATTGTGAACGGATGAATATATATATATATATATATTTATTTAACGTAAGATGGCACTCATTTGCCAAGAATCATGCGTTCAATAATCACACTAATATGTGTTGTTACGAAAGGTGATGAAATTGCTACTCGCCCACCAAACCAACCATTTGTATGTCGTCACCCACGGCGCAACTGTCATGACACCACTGGTACGTTATCTATAAAGTGCTGGGAGCTATATAGTAGTATCTAGTAGTACTATTAGTAGTATGTAGACGACGCCCGTGTGTCGTAGCTGCATGCTGTGGGTCTCGACGTTATGTCTTACTCATATATATATATGTATCCTGCTCGTGTAGCAACGCAACATATTAACATGTCGGACCGCGCAATCGACGCTGCTGGAAGAGAACGGGTCGGACGTGGCACTCACGCCACTACATGCAGCGGCTGCGGCCAACGACGCCGTCGCGTTGGACGCTTTGCTGAGATTACGCCACGTGGATCCGGATACGCTGGGGGAGGTCGTCGCGGGCGTACACAAGCGTACGGCGCTGCACTGGGCCGCCATCTCTGGCAGTGCCGCGTGTGCGATCCGACTGCTGGCGAGCCGCGCGAACCCTGAAGCGAGTGACCGCGATGGCAGGACGCCGCTGCACTGGGCGGCCCGAAACAACCACGTCCAAGTGGTCCAGGTGTTGCTCAACCAAGCCAAAGTGAACCCGAACGTCCAAGATAACGACGGGGCGCCCGTGCTGTTTTTCGCGGCGGGGGCGGAAGGCGTGGGTGCCGACGTCGTGTCGGCGCTCGTGGAAGCGGGCGCGGACTTGGCATATACAGACATGGACGGCAACACCGCGCTGCACATTGCCCTGATCAACGAGAACCGGACCACGGCCGTGTCGTTGCTCCGAAATGGCGCCGACATCACCGCGACCAACAGGGACGGACGGCGCGCCGTTGACTGCACCACGTCGACAGAGCTCCAGTTTGCCGTGAAAAAGGAAGCCGGCGCGAGGGACGTCATGATCAGCTACACGCACGCGCATGCGCCCGTGGCTAAAGGCGTGCGCGACTTCTTGGTGGAACATGCACGCATGACGTGCTGGATGGACACGATGGACCCGTCCGGCATTGGCGGCGGCGCCGTGTGGCGCGAAGAGATTGCGCGCGGCATCTTTCATGCCAAAGTGGTTGTGGCCGTTGTCTGCGACGGGTACTCGCGCTCCGAATGGTGTTTGAAAGAGCTCGCGTTTGCCCGCTTGGCTCGTACTCCTGGTACACGTCCACAGTATTGTCGTTTTATGCCGTTTTACTCAAAATGTGGCTGACTTTTGGGCTGATTCGTTACCAAATCTATCGATCGATTCGTTGTACTGGCTTTTGTATGTAAAACAATCGTACTCGTTCAAGTCGTTCCATTCGAATTCGATGTTGAAAGGTTGGTCCAAGAAGTGGATAATTTGATTGGCTACTTGATTCGTGTGGTGGGTTTTGATTGGTCGATTGTGTGCCGATTTGGTTCGTCTGGTCCTTCGATTGACCACCCCACTCCCATTTCGAATGTTGTTTTACCGTGGTTGTTCGTGTCATACAACCCCGCCATGGAGACGACTATTTTATATCGATGTGAAAATACATGGTCATGGTTTGATGCCGTTTAATAATGGTCAGTGACGTGTGGAATATTAAAAAGATAGTAAAGTCCGCTACCTGTTTGTGTTTGCAGCTAGTACGCGGCCGAAGAGGCCATATTAAGTGCCCGCGTAGCGATTTTTTAACTTTACAGTGTAATATTAATATGGAATACTAAAAGATAATTCTGACAAAAAGCCTGATATGTTGGGGCCGAATCGAAAATGAAAACTCGTTGTGTGTTTGAAAAGTTGTTTTCATTCCACGTGGGATATAATATATTCACTCTTGGAGTGGGATATAATATATTCACTCTTGGAGTGGGATATAATATATTCACTCTTGCAGTGGGATATATAATATATTCACTCTTGGGGATCGTCGCAATAAGACCAATATGGACATATGTGGTTGTATCAAAGTGTCGCAGCGAAATCGACTGATTATTCTTGTTGTAGCGGTTGTGCTCGTGGTAGACCCCCATGGGATGTCGAGTGACGTGGAGCGTTACGTGGCCAGCGAGTACATTTTGCCGTTCGAGTCGTTCGATCCGACCAACCCCGTGCTTCCCGATCACGTGCTAGCTGTGATCCGACAAGCCATTCAAACCAAGCACATACCCCCTCCTCCTCTCTTGTCGTCATCACTACCTCCGTTATCCCCACCTCCAAATTCCACGACCACCTCCACTCGTTCATTCCCTAATAACCAGCAGCAGCAGCATCGTATCCTATCATCCCCCGATGCATCCAACACACCAAACGACGACATCCCCATGGTGTTGGTGTGCTACACCACCACATCAGACAGCTCCATGCAGCAGCAGCTGCTCCTCCGAGTAACCGAGTCGCTGCGCCGCCGCGGGTTCGTCGCGCGACTCGCGTCCACGTCACTAGCCACTCTGGATTTTCAAGACGATGTAGACGCGGCATGGATGGACGCAGCGTCGTCGGTCGTGGTGCTTTTAGGTCGGCAATGGCATCAAGACATGGCCGGACTTAAGCGGCTCGTGACTCGAGCCAGTCGGTGCAAGACGGCCGTGGTGCCCGTGGTCGAGGGCGGGCAGTTCCTGGACTTCTCCAGGCTGTACAGTTTATCCCGGACGTCGTGGTTTCCGTTCGTGGATGGCATCGGTTTTCACGCGAGTTTCTCCCATTTAGTCAACCAGTTGAGCTTGGAATTGCCCCATCTGGCATTGGCAGTCCAAGACCTGCCTCGTAGTCGTGGCGGTCACGGCCACACGTTTCTTCGAGTGTACAATGACGATGATGCAGAGACAAATAGCCCCAGCGACCGCCCAATCTTTAATGTAGACAAACTGGCAATGATATAACGACTATAACCATATACTACTACATACTAGTATTGAAGCGTGAGTCCATGTAGTTGTAGTAGTTCGTAGTCTATGGTGTAGGACTCGTGAAGCCATAGGCCCTTTGTGATGACAGTATAGGCGACAAATACTTCTTCGCGTGGTTGCAACGCCTTCTCGTGTATTTTCTATAATATCTAATATATATATATATCACTCGAAACTGTACCATGTACCTACGTGTGCATGGGGAGCGTAGTCGGCCACGTTGTACTCCATAATAATGTTGATCCAGTCGGTCAAATTGGACAAAATATACAGATGGATAGGTGGCCGATCGAGATTGAACTTGTCGAGAAACGCCATCGCACAGGTGGCAAATACGTCGTACTTGGTGATTTTCAAAAAGTCAGAGCGGTTGAGAGCTTCCCCCCCCGATCGATGCTGCCCAAGACATACATGCACCGACTAACAAAATCGTTCAGTACATATATACTTCGAAGTAGTTTGATAGGGGGATGGGGGGATGATAGTGGACTAGTACATAATTAGTACGTACTGGCGCCATAGACTAAAGCACTTTTGAGTCTAGGCGTTCGAGCCTTAAAATGACTGGTTCACTCACGTTAGCCCGTTGTGGACTTCAGAAAATGCCAGCATGATATGCGTCACGCCGTCTGGAACCAACGATATTAACAAGATGAATTGTCCCCAGGAAGAGTGCACAGACCGATTCGCCACCGGCGTCTTCAGTGACACCAGAACTCGACAACGAGCTTGTCGGGGGGAACAGGAGGGTAAGTCAATGGGCGATGATTGTGGCCGTTACGGTTGAGACTGGTGGCGGCGGTAGTGATCGGACTGGGCGCGATGCCGCCAGAGTTGTTGACAAACTGCTCGTAGTCACGGCGGTGGTGGTTGGAACAGGGGTCGTAGTATTGACGTGAAGCGGTGTTGCTTGAGCTGAATTCGCCAGTGTTGAAAAGCACCGCGACGACGGCGTCAAGCACGACCACACAAGAAGAATGTAAGCATGAGTTGAGACGAGGGGCGGGGGGGAGTCAGGAAGCGTACCATCTACGAGGACGGTCATCTTATTCGTATGAGGAGTGTACTTCTCGGTCCGTGGAAGTTTGGTTAATAGCAGGATTAGCATTATGCGCGGCTAACAAGGTATGCGGCACCAGATGTTGGGTCATGAGAAACATGGGTACAGTTATGGAGGAATAGTTCAAGATTGTCAGGCGTACGACTTAGATTTGATTGGCTTAATAAATCAATGGCGATTGGTGATTGGTGGATGGGACATAGAAATGTGTCATATTATTTTCTAATCTTCAATACCCACAACATTATTTCGACACGAAGCATTTTGTCATCCTCGACGCGACAGACCCTGCGCCACTAACCGTTTTTTGCTATCGTCACAGTTGACATTTTCCATAGTGGTGAGCTCGGGCCAAGAACGAACTCGACGCGATCAAGGCCACCATCGAAACCACAGCCATGTCGGCCGCCTACATACTGACTCAACGTGGGCAGAAATCTAGGAAAGTGCCAGTCCAACGACCTCCTCGAGGCTGTGTATCCTCTTGTGACCAAGCCTGGCCTCCTGGGCTATTCCTGCTTATACCCACTCAAATTTCGAATCGACTTACTGATAACAATATCAATATCGTATCGTACGGCAACCAACATCAAACGGACGACGGTTACGACGCCATGAAATCGACGGGAATGCAACTGTCTCCAATCAACGCGTTGTTGCATCCGGACAGTCAACTCTGCCGTCCTCTGCACCCGACTAGCGCATGCGTGGGGGTTTTCGTGGGGACGGCATGGTATTCATGGGACTTGTTGGACCTCGTCATGCGTACCTGTGTCGGCAACCGCCGTCCGGAAATGGCCGCCCCGGTGATGCTCGACGCGACGGATCCCAACTAGTGCCTTTCAAGATAGTATTTTATATTTATTCCTTGCTCATGTTTACAGTTAAAATAGATTATCTTGTGACAACATACACATAACGAAAAATAGATTACATCTAGATTATTTGCCTATATTCCTGTGGTCACTCGCCCACCCACCACCCCGTGGTATTAGTTGTGATATTGTATTGCTTTAGCAACATCGTGGATGCTCTAGTGTACTTAAGTGGTAGTGCAAGAACGCTTGCGCCTCAAAATTTTGAGGCAGCACGCTCCTTCGGCAGTCAAGACAGAGCAGCCTTCTGGAGCCACCAAGTATGATTCCAAATACCACGTATAGACTTCGTCGTCTTCCGCTTCTCTGATCTTGATATTTAGCAGTCGGAACACATTCTCCAGCCGGGAAAGGCAGATACGGCATTCGTCCAGCGTCATTTCTTTGAAGGGGTCAATTGGAAGGGGGGCTATGGCATCCAACGAGGCGCGCTTGATTCCATCACTCCAGGTGCCAAACTCCGGCTGGAGGAATTTTGTCGAGGCGTTCATCGGTCATCAGGTCGACAATTCTTTCTCGAAAAACGTTGACTGGTAATCCAGGGGCATCGCCTTGATCCTCGCCTTCATGGTGTTCATTCTGACTTTCATCCTTTCTCGTCCTTGGGCCTAGAAGAAAAGGTCATGCTCCCTTTGCTGGATTTGGCTTCTGGTTGCGTCAAAACGGATGTGGCGAATCGTATGCCCACTTGGTCGATGGGGGGAACTGTTGGGTTCCAACTGGCTGTTCGGAAATCCATACCCGCGTATAGTTTTTCTCGGTTCTTGAATGATTCGGTCAGGATTTGTGTTTGTCGTCTATTCGAAACCACGTTGTACCCATGGTTCAATGCACTCAGACGCGCTTGCTCCATTTCTTCTTTCAATCGAGCTTGTTTGGCCGCTTGTTCCGACGCAAGATCTTCTTTTAACGTCATTTCAATCTCACGATCTTCGGCTGCCCCTTCCATTTCTTGATACGGCGTTGGGGGGGCAGGTGAGGGGGTTGTGCATTTCCTTGGTGATTCCTTTGAAACTTCCTCCCGGCAGGCGCACCAATTGTGATGCTGTTAAGGCTCACAATAATAAGATATCGAGGGTTGTTTCGGAGGCTTGACGTCAATGGGACAAATATCATCGATAGAGCACACAAGGGGATGTTCGGGGTGTTCGGGGAGGACAGGCAACTCAGGGAACCCGGGGAAAGCAGGGGTAGCTGGGAAGGTCGGTAACACAGGGGGTTGAATAGTCGATTCAGGAAACCCCGGGAATGCGACCTAGGTGGGCTGGGAGACGTGGGGACCCCACGTCTCCCAGCGTCGATCATGTCGAAGATGAGCTTCAGTTTTTGTTCGCGGGATTGGTACATCGTACTCATACTAGAATGACTTTGTTCAAGAAGCTACCACCTCTTGGCGGCCTCGTTTTCTGCATCTGTACATCCACTGGGCGATTCCCAGTTGAGATTTTGTCGGTTGAAATGTTAGTTCGCATGTCTGACATACTCTGAAGCAACTTCATCAAAAGCTTGGTTAATACGCTTGACATATGCGATTGAGGTTGCTTTTGTGAATCGAGGCATTGTTATATTCTATTGGTCTATATCACATTCATTGACAAAAAAGTCGATCTATTGGACGCTAATTGTATAACGTAATATCAACATTATAGAATTCATGATACTCACTCAGGCTTGACAAATGTACGATTCCGATTTTCATAATACTCACTGTCATCAATGTCAAACACATTTCGACACATTTGCTAAATTGTATAAAACCCTGTTGAAGCCCGCTCGCGAATGTATGCGCATTCCGATTGAATATCACATCCTTCACATAACTCCTTCAATGTGTTTTTAATCACCTCAATCCTGATGAATTGATCTTGCGGAACATCCAACGTAATCTTAGTTTGTTTGCCGCGTGTTTGAATTGTAGTACGCATTGTTGTTACTCGAGTGTGTTGATCCTATATGCTTAACAAGCTTGTATCAGGATTGAATTCTCTCAATCTCTGACCCCAAACGAATCGACAAGAAAAATGACGAGCTCACAATGGAATGCGTCCTCGCCTCCGCATCATCAATTCCACTTGCTTTCGTTCTGTGTGGTGGTCGATATAGTCTAATTCACTCATGTACCAATGATTAATGGCATTTTGAGTTTCTTCAACTTCTAAAGTCAAAATTCTTGCGATGTTCTTCGTCAAAATCCTCATGAGAGCACGTCGTTTCCAAGTTGCTGTGGTCGCCATT